GGGGGAGGGAGGTGGAGAGTACAGGAGTGGTGAGAGATTGAGGAGGGGGAGGGAGATGGTGAGGAGGAGGGTGTTGATGGCGAGGAGAGGTGGATTGAGGAGGACAAGTGTGATGGTGAGCTGGGAGTGGTGGTGGTGGTGAAGGAAGGTGGATGGAGAGTGAGTGAGCAAGGGAGGCAGTCAGGGTGACTGGCTGCTTGCTGGGCGGCGGGCGGCGGGCGGCGGGGAAGAGCCAAAGAGAGACGCCGACGCCCAATCCTCCCAATTTCAAAAAGTGGGGGGTCAAATAAGATCTCTATCTCGATTCTGTCTGCCCTTTTGTCCTCTATTCTAATCTCAGGGGGGGGTGCATTCAACTTTATCCAAATCTCATCTAATGCCTCTAATGCCTCATTAACGGTTTATTAGACTCCGCTAATCGGAGCTTTGTTTTATCCCTTTGAGACACCCATGCACTTTTGTGATGCTATCGATCCAGCAGCCGACTCGACTCGTTCCATGCATGCACGCTCACTGTTGTGGCAGTGGCAGTGGCAGTGGCAGTGACAGTGGCAAACGACCACTCCACCGATTCTAGGTTATATATTAACGCGGATGAGCTTTTACTGATCCCGGCGACAAGAGCTGCGGTGACGGTGACGGTGACGGTGACGGTGACGGCGCCGAGCTCCTCTGCGTCTGCGCCTCTGCGAACATCGAGTGATGCAGATCAGCACCTGGCCTCCCTCCCGTCAGCCGTCAGCATCAGGGACGGCCCGATTCCGCCCCCCACGCGTCCTTGTGCCGCCCGGCCTCGCCCCCCGCTCGCTTCTGGTTCTGGCGGAGATAGAGCTCGTCTCGTTCCCACTCTCGACTTGGCATTACTGCCCGCTCATCCCCGCCGGTGCGCGGCGCGGCGCTCTGACGATCGCGGCGTCCCTAAACGCGCAAAGCTGTCTCGGATGAGGATATGGATCGGCGGCTCCTGGGCCATGGGGGCTGGGGCCTGGGGGCATGACGCGTTAAAAAATGTGGGACAAAAAAGTTCCGAGCCGGCGGCGATCCGGCGATCCGGCGAGCCGAGACGGCAGGCAGTTGCCAGGCAGGTCGCCGCTGGAATCACCCTGTTGGTCTTGGCTGCTTTGTGTTGGTGGCCTGCATGGCCTGGCTATGCTTTGTTGCTGGCTACTTTTGCTGGCTACTTTGCTGGCTACTTTGCTTGGTTTGTTGAATTGTTGATGCCCCCAGGCTACAGGCCAACTAGGCCAGATCGCTGATCACGATCGCTGATCTCATGATCTCATGATCGCGATCGCTGGATCGCTGGAATTCCACAGGCACTTGTCTCGACTACTACTCTATCATGTAGCATGCAATGCACAACTCGCCATTCCATCCGCTCACATCGGGATGCTTGAGCTCAAAGCTGATACCTACGCTGCCGGCGCAGGCGCAGGCAGGGTGCGCCACCGCCACAGGGTGCGGGCATGCGGGAGCCAGGAGGTTTTCTCTCTGCGATCTGCATGTGCGTGCTGCACGCGCACGCGCACGCGCACGCGCACGCGAGTGTAGCGGGTTTGAGTGCAAGGATGGCCAAGGTAAGATGGATGAGGTGAGGCCCGTCCGTAAGCCCCGTGCCAGTACGGCGACGGCCAGCACATATGCCCCGCGAGCCCAGCATACCGCACGCACGCATCGGGTTCAACGCAAGCGCCAACCACACCACATATCATCGATCGCGCACCCTCCACAATTGCTCCGCAGGCTCTCCAATACATGCATCTAAAACAAGCGGCGGATCGGCTCGATGATCGCCCCCGGCTTCTTCGTGACCCGCGGCATCGTCTGGCGCTGGAACCCGGCGCGCGCATTCCACTCGCTGCCCACCGGATTCGCGAACTGCGCCTCGTACTGCCGCACACTGGTGAACGGGAACGGGAGGTCTGTCGGCAAGAACTTTGCGGCCTTCCGGTCCTTCTTCTCCGAGATGATGACGTTGGCGCGCCCCGCGTCTTTGCGCGCCTCGGCGGACACACCCGCCGTCGTCGCTGTGCGCTTCTTCTTGCGCTGCCGCACACCCTTGCCCCCCCACCCGCCCCAGCCAGGCAGCGTCGTGTCGACCGTCTGCGGCGCGTCCGCGTCGATTGCCGCCTGTTTCTCTGCCGTAAAGTCCGCGACGACGTCGTCGCCCGCGAACGCTTCGGCCACGAGCGCGCGCTGCGTGAACGCCTTCACGCCCGAGGCGGGGAGGAGCTCGTCGTCCGACGAGTCGGCGTCGGCCGGCGCAGCCGCAGACGCTGACGCCGCGGCCTTCTTCTCGGCGCGCGACAGCTTCTTGCCCACGTCAACCGAGATCTCGATCGCATCCACGTCCTCGTCCTTTGGCCGCGCCGCCTTTTTGAGCGCACGCACAGCCTTGGCCTCGGAAGACTTGTTGACGGCGTTCTTCTTGCGCGACGGCCCGGCGGAAGCGGACGCGTCGAGCCACGGGTTGGAGACGGATTCTGGCGACAGCGACGGCTCGTAGCGCGACACTTCCTTGACCTCGGCTTTGTCCGCCTTGTCCGTGCCCGCCTTGGCAGGTGCATCCCCGGCCTCGCCAGGTCCAGAGAACACCATCCGCCCCTCGCCGAGCTTGAGGACCTGCGCGGCGTCCTCGTCCTCGCTCTCGCTCTCCTTCTCCTCGCCAAACATGTCGATGTCGCGGCGCAGCGCCTCCGCCTCGTCCGCGACCTCGCGCATCCGCCGCTCCTGCGCCTTCTGCATAAACTTCATCTGCATGAGGCCCTTCTTGCCCGCCGGCGCCTCGGCCTTGTCGAGCGCCGCGAGCTGGTCGAACGCGCGCGCCTTGATCGCCTCTTCGTCGCCCTCGTCGCCCGAGTCGCCCGAATCGCTCTCGCTCGACTCGCCGCTGTCCCGCCCCTGTATCTTGCGCTGCAACTTGTCGCGCAGCTCGAGCATCTCGACGCGCTGCGACCGCCGCTCGGCCGCCTCGGCCTCGGTGCCCTCGCCGTCCGCGCCGCGGCCGAAGCGGCTGCGCGCCCCGTGGCGCAGCGTCGCGCGCTCCCGCGCCCGCTCCCGCTCCAGCCGCTCGCGCTCCTCCTCCGCCGCGTCGGGGTCCAGCCGCTCCAAGTCTTCGAGCGAGACCCCGTCCGCCGCCGCCTTGGCCTTGCGCTTGCGCGCAAGCTTCCGGAACGTCTTGCTCTTGATCTTGCTCACGTACTTGGCCTTTTGCTCGGCCCGGAACATGAGTTCGCGCTGGTACCGCAGTTCGGCGCGCCGCGCCTCAATCTCCTCCGGCGACAAATCTTGGCCGCGCAGCGCCTCGTCTTCGGCCGCGGCCACACCCTTGTCCGTCAAGTTGGCGGCGGAGAGGAGCGCGTCGACCGCACTCTCGAGCTCGCCCTCGGGCTTGAAGCTCGCAATGACTTCGCCCGCGCTCTTGTTCCCCCCGCGCGCCTTGGCTTGCAGCGGGAACGAGAGGTGCTCGGCCTCCTTGACGCGCTTCATCAACCCGCTCCACTTTTGCCCCTCTTCGCGCGTCTTCTCGTACGCAGCTTCGCGGTCCAGCCGGTCCTGCACGACAGTCGGGAGCGGCGCCGGGAGCACGCCGGACTTGAGAACCGAGGACGACTTCTTGTCCGTCTTGGAGGGAAGCAGGGCGCTCGCGCCAGACAGCGCGGGGTTGGACGAGATAAGCGATGCAAGGTCGACTTTTGTTTCTGATGTCAGCGCAGTTGTGTGGGAGGTAGCGTACTGCTCTTCAGAGCCAGGTCGCCGTCGCCGACACCAGGAGCGGCCTGGACGGGCAGCACGCGCCGCTTCTTGGCCGCAGGCTCGCCGGTATCCGCCTTGCGCTTCTTGTCGGCGCTGGCGAGGCTGTCGACGAAGGCGTCGAGGCCGTCTAGCCCGGCGTCTTCGTCGTCGTCAGAGAGGTCGGAGGGGAGTTCGGGGTCCTCGTCGAAGACCTCTTCGTCGTCGTCGTCGTCCTCATCCTCCTCCTCGTCCTCGTCCGCCATCTCCTCGTCCCCATCCATCTCCTCCTCTTCCTCCCCCCCGTCCTCATCACCCTCGCCCTCCTCGTCCGGGAACGCCGACTTGAAAGCTGTCCGTGGCGAGCGCTCCACCTCCGGGTCGCTCTCCTCATCCGTCTCATCAAGGTTGACATTCAACGGCTTCGCAGGCTGGAGTCAGCGCCTACCATCGCAAGCTCCCCCGCACCCACCTTCATCACCACCTCTCGCCCCTTCTTCCCCTTCCCCTTCTTGAGGTTGGAAAACACATCGCCCCAGCGCTCCTCGTCGCTCCCGTCCTCCTCCCACGCCTCGTCCGAGTCAATGTCCTCGTCGTCGCTCTCGCCGACCTCGGCCCCGTCGTCGCCCGCAATCTGCATCGCGACCCGCCGGATCCGCGCAGCCATGTCCTCGTCCTCGTCCTCCTCGCGCCCCGGCCGCTCCGCCGCCTCCTCCCGCGTAAGGCTCAGCTGCTGCGCCGACGTCCGGTGCCGCTTCGGCAGCTTCTCGTCGAACGTGTACGTGTCGTCAACGGCGGCCTGCGGCTCGCGGCGCTGCTTGCGCTTCCCACCTCCGGAGGAGGAGGCGGAGAAGACGCGCGTGGATACTGCGCGCGCGTTCTTGCGGCCCATAGTGTGGTTGATGCTTGCAGTATCTCGTTGCGTCTGAACTCTTGAGATCGTCCAAAATCTCTGATCCCACGTGCGGTGCCTGGGTGGCGGGAAATGCCAGGTGGGCTAGCTGTGGTGATACGGCTACACCGCGTAATTGCAACGCCACACGTCGGGGGCAGCGGAGTTATCGGAACGCGGAACCGCCCGGTACGCCCGCTGGCTGGCTGTCTCGCTGTGGCCGCCGTCGCTCGCAGGCTGCACGTCGAACTCGAGCTCTCCAAGGCTACCACCATCACCCCACTCGTGCGTATCTGTCGCCGTCCGGCCCCCCCCCTCTTCCCTTCCCATCTCCCCTTCCCCGCCCGCCCGCCCCCCGCCTCTCGCCGGCCTCCAACGAACCAAGTGCCGCGCAGCTCACACCAGAAAATGTCCGCTCTCCGCCTCACCTCGTCGCTCCGCGTCGCCTCGCGCCAGGTCCAGGCCGCGTCCCTGCGCAGGGGGTACGCCGCCGCCGCCGACGAGAAGCTCAAGCTCTCGCTCGTCCTTCCCCACCAGGTGGGTTTGTGGAGTGGAGGATTGGAGTCGGAGTGGAGGAGTGTGATGGGAGGGTCAATTTGCCATGGTTTCGCGCAACGGCCTCCGCCAAGTCCGGCAGCTAAAAACGATGCGGAGAGGGGAGCAGAAGGAGGATAAGCAGAGGAGAAGAAGCGGCGGCGTAGCAGCGGCACCCCGCCCACATGAGGAAGAACGCCAATCTAACCCCAGGCTCTCTTCTCCGCGACCGGCGTCACCCAGGTCAACATCCCCGCCGCGACCGGTGACATGGGTATCCTCGCGAACCACGTGCCGGCGATCGAGGCGCTGCGCCCCGGTGTCGTCGAGGTGATCGAGGACGGCGGCAAGTCGGGCAAGTGGTTCGGTGAGTTGTTGATATGCGCACGCTCACTCTAGTCTCCACCGGCTTTGCGACCATGCACGGCAACAACTCGCTCACGATCAACGCCGTCGAGGCGTACCCCCTCTCGGACTTTTCGATCGAGAACGTGCGCGCCGGCCTCGCCGAGGCCAACAAGGTGCTCGGCTCGTCGGCGCCCGAGGCCGAGAAGGCCGAGGCCCGCATCGAGGTCGAGGTCTTTGAGGCCCTCCAGGCTGCCCTTGCCAAGTAGAGCGTGTAGAGAGTAGGGAAAGGCCCGGTACACGGGCTCCATCGCATGCAGCGGTGCAAATGGCGGGATTGGGGTTGAGAAGGTGAATGTGCCGTGGGTTTGAAAGCGCGAGAGATGCGGGGCATCGAGAGAACACCAGAGGGGCAGGAGGCGTGGCGTGAGTGTGTTTACATGAGCATGCTGCTCGTGGCGGTGTCGGATCGTGTCAGCGTGGAGATGCCCGTCAAGGAACTGAGCAGCAAGTGAGCAACGCGTATCAGTCGGAGTTTGTGCAGCTGGATTGAACGCAGACCAGCTGCAGCACGTTTGAACGAGGACGCCATTTTGCTGAACGCGATTTGCGCCCGAAGCAGTCGATTGATAGAGTGATGCGCACAACCACTGATGTGGGTGCGCATGGTGAACCGCACTGTGGCAGCCGCATAAATCTCAAGCCCACAGCATCCTCCATCTGCCCAGTTACCGCCCCGTTGTCGACGCCATCGCATCTCGCTCAACGTGAATGAACGCCGCAGTGAGAGCGCCCCATAATCGCTCTCCCACAGCGCACTCCGCAGACATGCCACACCACCACTGGACCTCGCCAATGCCCCTATCTTCCGAACTTGGGTCACCGTGTACGCACCTTTTCCACCGCACGATGTCACTGTCCACCGATAGTTCGGACACCAGCTGGAGTGCGGGGCAGGTTCGGACGCGTCACAGCAGCTACACGACGCATACCCGACGCCGGTTCGACACACGTTGCACCATGCGTGCGTGTCGTGCGCTACGGGGTCACCTTCCGATACATGAGATCGCAGACGGTGTCTAAGACCCCGGCACCGACACCGACACCGACACCGACAAGCCTGGTACACGCAGGCAGCTGGGTCGCTGAAACATCCCTTACGCCTCTCCACCACGAAATCACTCACGCGTGGCGTGCGCCTCTCACACATCAGCCACCTCATCTCACGCCACACCACACCCCCAACCCATACGGACGATGGAGAATGCATCCATCAACAAAGAGCAGAACGAAAACGAAAAGGAGCCGCAGGTACAACACCCGCGCTCAGTCCTCGAATACACTCGCGCAACCTATGCTGCAGCGGCGCTTACTTGGACGACGAGAACTTGGTGACGGCCTTGGTGCCCTCCGAGATGGCGTGCTTCGACAGCTCTCCGGGGAGGATGAGGCGGACGGCGGTCTGGATCTCACGCGACGAAATGGTGCTGCGGTGGTTGTACGATGCGAGCTTGGACGCCTCGGTTGCGATGCGCTCGAAAATGTCGGCCACGAACGAGTTGAGAATGGCCATGGCCTTGTTCGAGATACCCGTGTCGGGGTGGACCTGCTTGAGGACACGGTAGATGTAGGACGAGTACGACTCGACACGCTTCTTGGTGCGCTTCTTGCCGCCCTCCTTGGTGGACGACGAGGTCTTGGCGGCCTTGGCGGGCGCCTTTGAGGCAGCGGCGGGGGCCTTGGAGGCCTGCGAGGCGGGAGCCTTGGACGCGACGGACGACTTGGGGGGCTGGTGTTAGGGGGAGGTGGCGGGGATGAGGAGGTGTGTAAGGGGGGTAGGCTTACCATTGTAGTGTTGTTGGTGGTGGGGGGGGCGGTAAGAGAAGTAGACGGAGTTGGGTTGAGGTGAAAGAGGCGGAAGGTAGAGAGGCCAGACGACTAGTTATAGGTTAGATGACAGAGTGCGAGGGCGATGCAAAGAGTTGCAAGAGTGTTTGGATGCTGTGGTTGTAGGATCGAGTGGGAGGCTGATGCGGGAATTTAACAACATAAACGGTGACGTGTATGTAAATTCATTGTGCACATCATCGTTGGTGTCTGTCAATCCTCTCCACCACGCCTCGAGCCCTCTCGCTACTCTTGTGTTGTGCTTTGATACTCTGCACTCTCCCTCCATCCCATCCTATATTAGTTACTCGCCTCTCCGCCTCCGTCTCTCCTTCTTCTTCCACTCACTACCCATCTCTCAACTCTCACCCTCTACCTCTACCCCCCACCCACCCCAACCCCAACCCCAACTCTACTTCACAATGTCTTCCGGTGGCAAGTCTGGTGGCAAGTCTGGCGGCGAGAGCAAGTCGTCGACCCGTTCGGCCAAGGCCGGTCTTCAGTGTAAGTCGCGCGCGCACCTCCCCACCTCCTTGGTCTTCAGCTAACCCCCAGTCCCCGTTGGTCGTATCCACCGTCTCCTCAAGCGTGGCAACTACGCCCAGCGTATCGGTTCGGGTGCCCCCGTCTACCTCGCCGCTGTCCTCGAGTACCTCGCAGCCGAGATCCTCGAGCTTGCCGGTAACGCAGCCCGCGACAACAAGAAGTCGCGTATCGTGCCCCGTCACCTGCAGCTCGCCGTCCGCAACGACGAGGAGCTCAACAAGCTCCTCGGCTCGGTCGTCATCTCCCAGGGTGGTGTCCTCCCCAACATCCTTTCCGAGCTCCTCCCCCAGAAGACCGGCAAGGGCAAGAAGGGCGGCAACGCTTCGCAGGACGTCTAAGTCCCTCCGACCACGGACGCGGCGCTGCGGCGCCACGAGTAGAACCCTTCGTCACTTCGTTTTCGCTCGCCTACCTTTTAGCATCGTCATGTAGTGATGCAGATTTCCGAGACCTACTGTGTTGTGGGATGGGCATGTCGGGGTGGTTTGGCTACTGGTTGTGAGCGAAATGCTGCAGTCTCTCGATAATCGCGGCGGTACACCAGCTGTCTCCGTCGTACTCCGCATGTGCTTTCTGGGGTTGTTCGCATTGCATTGCTGCGAGCAGTAAGAGCGACCGTAAAATGGGGTCACCCATGTAGATGAGGCGGGCGTGCGTATGCATCGGTTCAGTCCATTTGTCTTTGCAGTCCGGTTCGAGCTTGCTACGGACGATCCAATGGTGCAATGTTAGACGCTGCGGGTGCACCTCTGTAGCCAGATGCGTTTCCAGAGTGGGGCAGGAATCGATCGCCACGAACCGGCTAATCCGGCTAATTCGCACTCTCGTGTGGCAGATCCATGTGAGCTGCGGTCTGTCGTCTGTCCTCGCGACCCGTGTGCGTTTCGTGCAGCTCCCTCGACGTATAGTGGACTGATAAATCAGAAGGTGTCAGGGTTGGAATGGTAGTGCTCGTTGTCCGGCGGGAAGGGGCACATCATCGTTTGTTCGTGTCCGTGGCGCTCTTTGCGACCGTATCTGTGCCCCGTCTTCCGTGTTTGTGGCTGTTCTAGACCTTTTGTGCTGCGTGTTGCTCAATTTTGTGCTCGCTTTCAACGCCCGACTCACGTCAGGCGCCGCGCGCACGCAAAGCGTGGCACTATTGGCCTTTCGCCACCTCCGCTCGATGTCCCGCAGACGTCTACGCCACTGTGGTCTTCCTGGGTGTTCTAATATCGATTGATCCAGTCCCTGTGGTGTTTGTAAGACGAACTGTGCCAGCCGCGCGACTCTGCGTTGCATCGAGCTTCGAGGTGCACATTGTCCACCAGGAAACATAGACGGATAGCCTCAGTTGAGTGAGCGTTTTCCAGCCGATCAACAAACCACTCTCCAGACCAAGACGTTTCGCAGATTCTGATAGTGTTAGATGCACAGAGAATCAGAAAAATAGCAGTTTCTGCATGCATGGCCTGCACCGAGCTCCAGAGGGGACAAAAGTCGCGAAAGTGGCACTTTCGGCGGATGTGTGGCGCGGGCTACAGAGGTCTGATGCCCTCCCCCTTTTGCGACAGTGCTCCTACAGCTCAGAACTAGGCATAGTTGCTGCATAATGGTGTCCTATAGCAGTGAGTGGCCAAATAGGGAGGCCGTTGGCTGAGACGGCTACAGCAGAGGACGAGTAGGAACTGGCAATATGCAGGCGCGAAGAGCATCAACCTGCATCTACATCATGTAACAGCATTTAAGAGGCGGCTAATACAGCGCAGCGGCCGTGCATTTACATTGAGGAGGGCGGAAGGCCGATCTGCCACTTGACGTGGATGGGGACGGCCTTAAGAAGAGTGGGGCAGGCGGACCAGATTCGGCGAAGGCGGATGTACAGCCTACGTATACCCGACCCTCACCTCAGCGTCTTCACGCGTGTTCACGCATGACGCATGACGCAGCCGACGCATCCCTGCCTGAGCTCCATACGCATGCTCGCGTCCCAGATCAAACGTCGCAAAGCCCCGTTTGTCCGTTGATGTTGATCCCGCTGATCCTGATTCTTGATCGGAGTCATGGATGATTGAGATCACAGGTCACGTGTGGTTCCTTGATCTAGCCTTTAGATCAACTCACCGTGAGATCAAGAGCCGTGCCTGAGAGCCACACAAACAGTGGCACTTTGCCCTCCATACGCTCTGCTGTGTACATAGCCCGCATACATAACCTCCAGACTGCACCGTATCTGCTTTTCATACCGCACACTACCTCTCCTCTCGCCCACTCCACCACCACCACACTCCCACAATGGCCCGTACCAAGCAGACCGCCCGCAAGTCCACCGGTGGCAAGGCGCCCCGCAAGCAGCGTGAGTCACTGCCTCCCCCCCGCCCCCCAGCAACCGCTAACCCCCAGTCGCCACCAAGGCCGCCCGCAAGTCGGCGCCCTCCACCGGCGGTGTCAAGAAGCCCCACCGTTACCGCCCGGGTACCGTCGCGCTCCGTGAGATCCGTCGCTACCAGAAGTCGACCGAGCTCCTCATCCGCAAGCTCCCCTTCCAGCGCCTCGTCCGTGAGATCGCCCAGGACTTCAAGACCGACCTCCGCTTCCAGAGCTCGGCTGTCCTCGCCCTCCAGGAGGCCAGCGAGGCCTACCTCGTCTCCCTCTTCGAGGACACCAACCTGGCTGCCATCCACGCCAAGCGTGTCACCATCCAGCCCAAGGACCTGCAGCTTGCCCGTCGCCTCCGTGGCGAGCGCTCTTAAGCGCACGGGCATGGGACCCCATCTTCGTATACATTTCGATTTGCTCCTTTGTACTGTCCTTGCCTGGCCGGTCTTGATGCAACCGTGCTAGCCTCGCTTTTGACGTGTAGGTGGTGGGACGGGGTGGGGCGCGTGAGCGGGCAGGAATGACCGCCGTAGATATCCCGGGGCAGGTTCGCCATTGATCTCCCGTTCCTCAGCACCCTCTGTTTGGCCACTGGGGGGTCTGCGGGTCATTTCGTATCGGCCTCGCTCTTTAGTGAAACCACGGGGTTGAGTCATAATGCCCCGTCTGCCATCGACCGCCCCACTCCGGCGTCAACTCGCCCCACCACACAAAACCATGCGATGCAGTAAATATACACAATGCTCTATCCGAACCGCGCCAATGCCCCCGTCTCCTTGACGATTTCTCCGCGCGCAATCCTGCGCTCCTTCTCCTCGGCGCGCTGCTGCGCCTCCACCTTTTCGCGCACAGCAATCTGACGTCAGCGCAACACAACCGCAGACTCACAAGAGTGGGATCCACGACATTCTTCTTCTTCTTGGACAGGAAGCGCTTCATCGCCTTGCCCTTGCCGCGCATCTTCTTCTTCGTGCGCTCGGCCTTCTGCGGGCCCTCCTCCTCCTCGCTGCCGCTCAAGCCCTGCGCGTCCGCCTCGTCCGCATCCTCCGCCTTGCCCGTGACCTTGAGGCGCTCGAGGCGGGACAGCTGGCGGAAGGAGCGGGCCTCGCGCTCGTCGTGCGTCTCGCCGCCCTTGGCCGGCGCGATGTGGCCCAAGAAGTCGGTTTCGAGCGTGATGAGGCTCGACGGGATCTTGTCAAGCACGGAGCGCACCTCGCGCTCGCGCCGGCGCGTGTGGCTCTCGAACACGTCCGCCTCGTTCGAGTCAAAGTTCGCCTCGCCGGACCCGGGGACGAGGAGCGACGACACGCCGCGCCCGTGTCCGACAGCGAGCACGTCGTCGAACGGGCAGAACTGTGCGTGGTGCACACTCAACCCGGGCGTGGGGAGGGTCAGGTACACGTTCGGCGCGGGCTTGTCCACGTTCTTGTGCGGGTCACGGTATGTCGTCACGCCCGTGCGCCCGCCGACGGCGAGAATGCCGCGGCCCGAGTACGCGAGTGTCGCGGGGTTGTTGCGCACGGTCCACGACCGCACCTCCTTGCCCCACATGCGCCCGTCCCAGATCTTGACGGTGCCGTCGAGCCCCGCGGTCGCGCAGTAGCGGCCCGCCGAGTCTGCGCTCGGATCGATCGCGATGCCCGCCAGCGGGCCGCGGTGCGCGAGCAGCTTGACGTGCGGCGTCGTCATGTTGGGCGACCACAGCGTCATCGTCCCGTTCGCATGGCCGAGGTGGATGATCGCCGAATGCGGGTTCTGCGCCATCGCCGACGGCGAGCCGAGGCGCGTCGCGAGCTGCGTCACCATCTGTCCCGTCGACACGTCGTGGTACTTTAGGTGGCCGGCGTGGCCGACCGTAGACAGCAGGTAGTGGTACGGGAGGTACTCCATGTGGGTGGGATCGATGTGCTGCTTGAGCTTGTGGAGCTCGACGCCATTCCCATCGTAGATGTAAACATACTTCTTCTGCGCGACGGCGAAGAAACTCTCGTTCTGCAGGAACTTGACGTCGCGCACCGCCTCACGCAACTGCGTCTCGCTCAACAGACGCCCCGCTTGCCAGTCAAACGTCGCGACGTGCCCCTTCGCCGACGCGATAGCCAAGTACCGCCCATTACGCGTATAGTCGACCTTGTACGGGCCCATGTTCTCGAGCTTGAGGTCAAAGCGCTTCCTGGCGCTCGACACTCCGACAGCCTGCACGATCTCGTCCTGCCCTACACGCCACGTACGCTCCTCCGCCTCTTCGTCGACCTCGATCCCGCCCTGCCCGCCGGACACGGGCGCGTTCAGCCACTCATTAACGTCCGCACGCTCGGCTTTGGCCCGCTTCGTCGCCACGTCCTGCCGCGCGACCTTGGCACGCAGCTTCTTGTCCGCTATCCTCGAGATGCTTGCGTCCGGACGCAGCGGCTCGGCGCCCTTGCCCGAGGCGAGGTTGCGCGCATGGAAGCTGCTCGGCGTGCGGGTGGTGGCGAGGATCGAGGCCGTAGAGGGGTCGACGGCCTCCTTGTCCGGCCCGCGGTTGACCGTCTTGTGCGCCGACTGCGCCTTGCTGCCGTGTGTTGGGCGCTTGCGCTTTGGTGGCCGCATTGGGCCTGCGGAGGCGATGAGAGCGTCCATGGTGGATGGTATGCAGACGAGCAGGTCTGACGATCATGGACTGAAGCGGGCCATCCAACTTTTGTTGACACCCACGTGTAAATCGGCGCAGCGGAATCAATTGTATCACTTGCCACAACGCGAGTGTTGTGCTTCGATTCATGTCGCGGCATGTTCAGTCTCACCTAACCTTGTCCGAATCCTCCAGCTCTCCGACGCAGCCATGGCAACAACAACACGGCCCGTGGCCGTGCATGCCGTCCCCCACGCGCAGGCCCACGCGCAGCAGGTCGCGCCGCGACCCAACATCTACGGCGCGACGGCACACGAGCTCCGCGCCGGCCCGCGGAATCCTCTCTTCCTGATGCTGCGCTCCGGCATCGACAGCGAGGTGGACTACGCGCTACCGCGTCTCGTGCTCGCGTCCTTTGAATACAGCGACAAGTTCCTGCTCGAGCACTACATCGACTCGGTGAGCGCGCTGCGCGAGTGGCCGGAGCGCTGGCTCGACGAGCTCGAGCGCGAGCACGCGTACTACGAACTCCTGCGCGCCGGGCGCAACGGCGACGAGCTTGCGCGCAAGGCGCTTGGCGCAGTGCCCGCATTCACCGCCAACCCGGTCGTGGAGGCGCGCGCCTCGTACTCGCTCCAGGTGTTGCGCAACTCCAGCTTCGTGGGCCAGAACGCCCGCACCATTTCGCGCACATCGTTTATCAACTTTGTCACGCGCTTCTTCGACCTGTCCCCGCCGTTTCTTCTCGAGATTGTAGCGCGGTCCCCGGAGCCTGTCCAGCACATACTCATTCTGCTCCAACAGATCTCGCCGTACCTATACGTCGGCCCTCCAATCTACAAGCTTCTCTCCGAGGTCCTTCCCTACGTCGCGACGAACACGCGCGACTCGACGGTCCTCCAGCTCGTCATCCCCATTCTCATTACTGCCTTCCAGGTGCCAACTTTTCCACCACCGCCAGACAGCTTCATTCAGCACATGCTCCACCTCCTCACCCTCAACCCCCCACCATCACTCCTCTCGATGGTGCTCGACCTGCTCGCAGCTGTGGCCCCGCAGGCGCCGTACGCACGAACTATCCTCTCGGACCCATCAATATCCGCGCACCTTCGTCAGCTCACGATCCTGCTCAAACACCAGGCCAAGACACACGAGATGGCGCTCGAAGTTCCGCCCGAAGTTCGCAGCAAGAACATTTACAACCCTGCGGCCGCGGCCCACCTTTCTCGTCAGGCAGCCATGAAACGCCAGCGGCAGCGTGAGATTGATCAGCCACAAATGGAGGTCTTTGGCGGACCAGGCGTGCAGCGCGAGGTCGGAACGGTTGCACCAACATTGAACCCCTCCATTAGGAAGGAGCTCTACACCCTGTCCGAGCCCAAGCGCTCTATCGCCTGGTGAGTTGACACGCTCGTACAGCATCTGACCACAGGATGCACGAGACCTTTGTGTACTCGTCCCAAGCGCAGCTGCTGCAGGTGTCCTTCTGGCATGCGTACCGCGACTTCTTCTCAAATCCAGCGACGGTCGAGCAGTTGTTGAGCGCCTCCGAGGTGATAAAGAACGTTCAGGTTGCGTTCCCGGCGGCGCAGGCCAAGTTGTTCACGGAGAAGGATGGCGAGCGCAAGTTCATCATCTCGGGGCTGGGTTTCCGACAGGGATCGGACGGCGCGGATAGATTTGGCTGCGTGTGGCGTGGTTGTACTTCGCCTACAGGACCATCAAACCCAGGAGAGTTGCTGGCACACATCCAGAGCGCGCATCTTGATCCGATGCCGCCGGCTTGCGCCTGGGGCTCGTGCCAGCACGCTGGAGTGACTGTGGGGCACGTCCTGACGCACCTGCCGCTCCTTGAGCCGCTGGACGTGCCACAAACGATTGCTGTTGATGCTCGTACACCGACCAACGTCCTCTACTCGCCCGTCATCACAGACAAGCTGTCCGTGCAACTTCCACACACCGAGCACATCAAGATCCAGGCGTGCGTGACACCGCACGACCAGCACCGCCAGCCTTCCGGTGCGGCCTTCCTCGCTGCTCTCGTCATCCGCGGCCTCGCGCGCAACCTCGCCACTGAGATCGCTGCCGCGCGGCCCGGCGAGGTGGGGCTGACGGACGCGCAGCGCAAGGAGAAGAAGCGGCACCTCGCGGAGGAGCGGTTCGGCCTCCCGATTCCCGACGCTGTGCTGCGCGAGGAAGAGGAAGAGGAAGACGCCGCGCGCGGCGGCGACGACTATGGCGCGGGCGCGAGCATGGGGCTGGCGGAGATCGAGCGGGCGCGGCGCGCGTTCCACGCCGTGCAGGATGCCCTGCTTGATGTCGTCAACAACAACGTGACAGGCATCGGGGCGTACATCAGCGACGCATTCGTGGTGTAGAAGTATAATAGGGTTGTAGCCATGTCTCGCTCATGTATCCGTGCGACACGGTGAGTGATGTGGGGCGAGAGGGGTCGGGGAAGCAGAGGAACACGAAGAGAAGTTGGACGAGGTCGAAACGCTGTTGGTGTTTAGCGTCGTGCGAGCACACCGACACACTGTTGATCGCTCGCCGCGATGACTCGCACTACACTGATCCCCGCCATGGCTTACATATATGCGCCTGACGCACCAACAGCCTCACCAAGCTCTCAACTCCCAATGTCCAACAACGACTCTCCCGAGTATCTGCCGAGCAGCGAGGACGAGATCCAGCGCTTGCTGCAGCAGTGCGCCATGCTGCAACGCGAGATCGACAGCCTGCGCGAAGCCCTCGCCGATGTACGAGAAGAGCGCGACGGCCTGAGCAAAGACCTCGCCGAAGCGAGGGACCCGCACACCTCCCTGCAGCGCGAGAACGTCGACCTGGGGTTCGGGATCCAGGCGCATCGTGAACGCAGGGAGGTGCGTAACGCACATGGCTCGCTGTCCCACACCCACGACGCGCTGCAGGACGAGCACGACGAGCTGCGCGCCAAGTACGAGGCGCTGTGGATCCAGCACAGCGAGCTGTGGGCCAAGTACGAGGCGCTGCGGCCCAAGGCTGCTGCCCAGGCCCAGGCCGGATGGCCTGACAGCAAGATCAAGAACGACCTGCGCAGCCCGCGCAGCCCGCGCACCCCGCGCACCCCGCATACGCCGACGTTCCCGCCGCCCCCGTCGCGCTCTGACATCGCAGAGACGTGGCGCTCCACGAAGGGCCTCACCCTGCCTGCCGTCCCGCGCGCCGAGGACGACAGCAGCGACAGCGACAGGACGGTCATGCCCACCGGCAGCACGCACACCCGCCACTTGTCCGCCGACTCGTTGGCGCGCGGCTTCCAGGGCTCGTCGGACCAGCCCGAGGCGAGCACGAGCACGTATGTGGCGCGCGGCCCGTCCGCCGCGCCCCGCTCGCCCCAGAACCGCCCGACGCCGTGCCGGTTCTACGCCGGCGGCGGCTGCCGCAGGGGCAACAAGTGCTGGTTCAGCCACGACTCTCACAACCTGTGGGTCAACAAGGACAAGGACCAGAACCTGGACAAGGGCAAGGGCAAGGGCAAGGGCAAGGGCAAGGGCAAAGCCAAAGCCAAAGAGCTGTAGCAGATATGATGTGAGGCCAGAGGGAGTTAGTGCCAGTAAATAGTTAGTTTTATCGAGATATGCATTGATGTACTTGTGAGGGAGGCTGGCTCGCCAGCTAGAAAGCGAGCGGAATTGGGCTGCATTCGACACTATGCCTAGACTGTAAGCTGGTACTCGTACTCGTCGCTGCCGCTCTGCGACACCCAGAGGACCATGGCGCTGTGCGTTAGCTTGACCGACCACGATGCAACTCACGACAGCATGACGCCCGCGTTCATCCCGACATTCGCAATGCCAAAGTAGATGTAGTCCGGATTCGACTGAAGGTACTTGAGGATGAGCACTGTCAGACTGCCGGCGAGACCGCCAGCCATAAGCGCGACGCCGATGAAGAGGACAATGCGGGCGCGGTACGCCGCCGGCCCGTCGGTGCCCCACGAGTCTCCGCTAAACGCGCTGCGAAGGTGGGTTTTGTCGAGCATCGAGGTGACGAGGAAGCCGACTGGTGTGAGTCGAGTTGCACAGCAAGGCAAATGGAGGCACGAGACGGAGCCTCGAGCCCATCGTCACTCGATCTCCCCACTACATGCCACACTCACGCGTCGAGCAGATCGCAGGCACCCAGTCCACAAATGCAATGTGCACCTCGTTATCGGACGGGATCTTGCCGTACTTGGACAGTGTGCCCGCATCAATCATGAGGAAGTACGAGGCGGTGAACTGGGCGTCAGGCTTGTCACCTTATGTACCCTACCAGTGCACCAGAGATGTACGTGCCCACCTCGCGAGCCTTGGGCCCGATGTCGAGCTTGGGCAGCGCGAAGCGGAACACGCGGCGGGGGTCGTAAGTAGCCTTGGGTCAGTAATGAGACTCTCGGTAGCACAGTCTGTCGTGGGCGCTCTTAGCTGACTCTGGCGCCCACAAAGACCGTCTCAAAAAGGCGAGCCTCTTGCTGCTGCACATGCTGGTTGACTCGCAACTCACCCGAGGGATAGACATGGCTGTGGATGGATGGAGGAGGATGAGAGCTGGATACGCAGACAACTTGCTGTTCAGCCGGCCATGACGCAGGGTGGCGATGACGGAAGCAATTTCGACCACCAGGAACATGAGATGACTGTTTGGTGGGACGCGCCTGCCTTCCTCCATCCGCAACATCCTCGACTTCGCGCTCACTCTCAACTACATCTTCAACGCACACTCATTACAGGGAGGAGACGCTGTCCACCATGGGCATCCAAGGCCTCCTCCCCCTCCTCAAGGAGGTGCAGCAGCCGCGCCACATATCTGACTTTCGAGGCAAGACGTGAGTCAACGCGTCGGCCGACAGACCCTGAGCAAGAGCTCCAAGCTGACCCCAGTCTCGCGGTTGACGCGTATGTCTGGCTTCACAAGGGCGCGTTCGGGTGCGCCGAGGACCTCGTAAAGGGCCGCAAAACGACAAAGTTTGTGGACTATGCCATGTTTCGCGTGCGCATGCTGCAGCACCACAACATCAGACCCTTTGTCGTCTTTGATGGTGGTCCGCTGCCCGCTAAGCGCGGCACTGAGGACTCGCGCGCCAAGTGAGTACTGTTGATCTGACAGGTGTCGGGTATGTGTTGTTTACCTGCTCACATCAGATCACGCGCTGATCATCTCGCCCGCGCGAGAAGCTACGAGGCGCAGGGGCGCGCCAAGGACGCGCGCGACGCGTACACCAAGTGTGTAGACATCACGCCCGAGATGGCTTACCAGCTCATCAAGGTGGGTTATGGATGTAAAGCGCAAACTCACTTCAGGCGCTTCGTGCAGAAGGTATCGACTATGTCGTGGCGCCATACGAGGCCGACGCGCAGCTGTACTACCTCGAGCGAGAGGGTGTCGTCGATGGCATCATCACAGAGGACTCTGATCTTCTCGTGTTCGGCTGCAAGACAGTCATCTTCAAACTCGAGAAGGACGGGTCGTGCGTGTCGATCGAGTCTAGGCGCTTTGGCGAGGTGCGAGAATTAGACCTGACCAACTGGACCAACCTGCAGTTTCGCCGCATGGCCATGCTGTCGGGATGCGATTATCTCCCATCAATTCCAGGAATCGGAGTAAAGAAGGCGCATCGGCTGCTCCGGCGCTGCAAGACCGTCGACAAAGTGAGGTGCTCGTTTCCAGAGCTGAGCTAACACCAGGTCTTGAAGTCTCTCCGACTCGAGGGGGCACATCTCATCCCACCCACCTACGCCAAAGACTTTGAGCGAGCCGAGAAGGCCTTCCTTTATCAGCGCGTTTTCTGTCCCCACGAGCGCAAATTGGTCCTACTCAATGAGCCACATGAGGAGCTCAGCGAAGACGACCAGCAGTGGGTCGGTTTAGATGTGGAGATTGAGATCGCTCGTGGGATGGCCACTGGAGATCTCCACCCAGAAACGCGGACACCCATCGACGACCTCTGGCCCCACTTCCAGCCAACACCACGGAAAGGCAAGGGTCTTGTCGCCGGTTCCGGCGGGACACTCGATGCTTTCATCAAGCGGATTCCGCGCACGAAGTCGACACCAGCATTGCGGCCAAGTCACCCACGCATCGGCGGACTGGCCAACGGGCCCACCAGGATGTCAGACCTCCCAAGTCTCACTCCCAAACCTCTGCGCAAATACAATTCTGAGCCAGCCCCCATCCCCCCGCCACAAGCCAGTGCTGGAACGAAGAGCAAGTTTTTCGCCAGGAAGGTTCAGCCTGTTGTTGAGGAGCCGGCAGAGGTCATCGACCTGCTGTACGAGGACTCGACACAGGTTGCGTCTCCACCTCGGCTTGAGCGCGAGGCCACTCCCGAGGATATCCCTTCGCCCATCCAGCGACACCGCTCGCTCTCACACATATCTACCATTTACAACTCACCAGCCGCGGAGCGATTGGATCTTCAGGAAGACGCCGACGACGATGACGTTCCCTTCACGTCCCCTGTATCCGTGCACTCTGGCTTTGATACCATCCCAGGCTCAACTCCGCGCAAGAGCAAGGACTTCGTCGACGAGGCTGAGCCACCTCGGCCGGAACCTTCGTCGCCGACCCCGACTCAGCGCTCGCGCTTGTCGCAATGGCTTGTTCCCCCCACACTGCCCGTCTCACAGGCTGCCGCGACGATAGCCTCGTCGCAGAGATCAGACTGGTCGGAGGAGGAGTACGGACCAGAAGATTATGTCGTCTGCGCGCCTCTGCGGCCCGTCACAAGTGTGCTCGTTCCGCCATCCTCGCCATGGCCGAGGTCTGTCCAGCCCGCGAGGGCCATACAGAGCCACCTCTCATCCGAGTCGGCACCGGACGACGAGATTGTCACGCCGTCACCTTTGAATGGATCTAAGCGACGGAGACCAGTCGAAGACTTGGACCCAGCCGAGCAAGCTCGAGAAGCACGTGCGAAGACTGTGGCCGCTGGGTGGCGAGAGAAGTACGCTCTCAAGGCAACATCCTTCACCCCTCCTGCGCGCCGAACCGGCGGCCGCCCCTCGGTCCCCGGCTTCCCCGTGACTGCCATGTCGAACGCATTGAGTCCGCTGTCCATCAATATTCCTCGCGAGTACGAGACACCGAAGGCCGCTGCACCAGCGCCTTTCCCAGCCAAGTTGCGGCACGTTGAGGCGCGCCGCCAGCCTGTTCCAGCGGCTAAACCGAGTCCTCAGCCGTTCGGCGTGTCGGGCTCGACGCTGGAGCGATTCCGCTACAAGAGACAGTGAAGACGCTACCGACCGAGGCGCGATTGTATGTATCAGTATTCTGTATTCGTAGACCATGCATGCATGATTATACACTTGGGACTTGGGGATCAGAAAGCCGCATTTCCGCTTGCCCTGGTGAGTGCCGCATTATTTCGGAGATGGGCGGGCATAGTCCGTCGTCCGGCCGCCCCGCCCCCGTACGGTTTGCCCGACGTGGGGTCACCCCACCTTCCTTGGGTCTGCCACTCTGCCTCCGTCATCACACCCAGCTTCGACACTGCTCTCTGCTCTGCTCTTGACACCACTCTCTCCACCACCATGCACGCCACACTCCTCCGCAACGCCCGCACCCCCCTCATCCAGTTCCTCGGCAAGCGCTCCTTGCCATCCTGTGCGTGTCCCCTCCCTCCGCCCGTCATTTCTCATCTCTCGACGCGACCCCTCGGCCGATTCCTCATGCCTCCGCTGCGCCACCTCTAGGTGGCAATTGGTGGTTGTCACTGGGTGCATCTCCGCCTTGGTGCTCCTCACACACCGAGGCGACCTACCGCTGCCGTTGCGCCGCCACCATGAGCGACGAGGCCGCTTGGCTCGCTCCCCGCCCCGATTGCACTCTTCCTTGCTCCTTGCACTTCCCAACCCCAAACCCAACCCCCGCTAACCCCAGCGACGCACAAGCCCGGCCCGCACCCCGCCGCGCCCAAGGAAATTGTGGAAAACTTTGCCTCGTTCAGCGCCAAGTCGCAGTCTTCGTCGTCGTCGTCGTCGTCGTCGTCTTTCTCCGCGTCCTCGCACGCCAGCGCGTACGGCACCGGCTTCCTGCCCGCCAGCAAGAAGCCATATGACTTTGAGAACTTTTGGGAGGCGCCGAGCTACCTCTGGCAGCACACTGAAATGACGGAGCGCGAAATTGAGGCGGTCATGGTGAGTTCGCGGGGTAGGAGGGCGACAGCAGAGGAAGCCGTGTGAAGGCGAGCAGCTCTCGCAAGGCGACTCCAATCGCCCGCATTCTCACTTCTCCTCTTTATCGCGTATCATCCCAAAACCCCACTAACACGCAGAGCGGCGGCGCCACCGACATCCGCACGGGGCCGTAGATGTACTGTACAGCAGCCAAGTATCCGATGCATTGTTGACACGCGTGCCAGTCTATGATATGGACATGTCTGGAGCCCTGCCGGGCCCTTTTTCTACCGTACCGTCGTTTCATCTTCTACTTCCGCACCGAGTACTTGTGCACGCACTCGAGGAACCACCCCATGTCCTCTGGCTTGACGTTGGGCGTGATGCCGTGGCCCAGGTTGGCGATCCAGCCACCTCCGGCCTCGTGGAAGCGCTTGCACACACGCGCAACCTCCTTCTCGATGCCCTCGCGCCCGCCGTAAAGCACCACGGGGTCAAAGTTGCCCTGGAGGTTGAGCTCGGGGCCGACGAGGCGGCGGGCCTCGACGGCGTCGAGGCCCTGGTCGAGGCCGATCGTGTCGTACCCCGACAGCTCGGGCTTGAGGAGGGCGAGTGACGACGGCGCGTGCACGTTGCGCGGGAACAGCGTCATGGGCACCTCGTCGTGGCCGAGGTGCTTGAGGACATGGCGGACCTTGCGCGCGATGTGGACGAGGGCGGGCAGCGCAAACTCCTGGAAGTGGTGCGGCGTGAGCTCGCCGGCCCACGAGTCGAAGACCTGGAGCATCTGGGGTCAGCGTTGTAGACGCCTCAGACTCACGGATGCACCGGCAAGAACCTGGCCGACGAGGAGGTCGGCGCACACGTCCGCGATCTTGGTGAGCAGCGCCTTGCTCTCCGCCGGCCACTTGTACAGCCAGCTCTTGCTGCGCTCGAACGTCTTACTGCCGCCGCCCTCGCACATGTATGCCATGAGGGTCCATGGCGCGCCGCAGAAGCCGATGAGCGGCACGCGGCCGGCCAGGCCCTGGCGCGTGAGCGTGACCGCGTCGAAGACGTAGCCGAGCTCCTTCTGCACGTCGACTGTGTCGGGCAGGCGCGCGAGGTCCGCCGGCGACGTGAGCGGCTGCGGGAGCACGGGGCCGCGCGCAGGCTCCATCAGCACCTCCATGCCCAGCGCCTGTGGCACCACGAGGATGTCGCAGAAGATGATCGACGCGTCCAGCGTCGGGTACCGGTCGATCGGCTGGAGCGTGAGCTTGGCCGCGAGCTCGGGCGTCTGGCAGCACTCGAAGAACGAGTGCTTCTTCCGGACCTCGAGGAATTCTGGTGTCAGTGGGGCTCGGAAGAGGCCGTGGCCGCAGCCTGTCAAAAGGGACAGTTCAAGCGTTGTGCAGCAACCGAGCAAAGACTGGCACGGCGGCTGTTTCGCAGCAGCCCCAATTCTGCCCTCAGAGTCATGCGCGTGTCCGCCGCAGCCTCTACGCTGAGGACCGTGTCATTCCCGACAGCGGCCAAGTTTGTGAGGCTCCGCGTCACCTGGCCGCACCCTCGACGATTTCACCGGCCACACTCCCAACTCACCGGGGAGGTAACGCCCAGCCTGGCGCATGACCCAAACTGGGGCGCGGGGAGTCTCCTCGCCGCGCGCGGCGCGGAGCACGAGGTCGTTCTTGATCGGGGGGAACTTGGACTCGAGGTCACGCCACGTGTCCGCGCCCTTGAGGTTGGGGATGGTGTAGGACGCCATGGTCGCGGTCGTGGGCGAGTACGGGGTCGTGTCGAACGGGTGCTGGAGCAGGGTGGCGGGTCGAGCGGCTCGAAGAGACTGAGAGAGAGGAGGGATGAGGAGTAGCGAGGAGGAGCGAAGTGAGAGTTCGCCGGGTAATCGGTTTGGCTCGACACATGGCTGGGACCGGGTAAAACTCAGGCACGGGATTTGTGGACCATCCTCCAGATTGAAATATCGATTGCGCTGGTGCAACTCTTGTCACATGCCCACATGATCCTCCTCGTGATTACCGACAACTATCCTACTCTAGCAGCATCTAAGTGTGCCCTGGCATTACCCGCTCTACTGCTGGAGCTGGGAGACGAGGCCCTGCGGGCCGGGGACCTTGGTCTCGCCCTCAGCGGTGACGTAGCACGCAATGAGGCCGCCGTCGACCATGAAGTCGGTGCCGTTGACGAACGACGAGTCGTCCGAGGCGACTGGAGTTAGTGAAGGGGCAAAGGTTGGGTGGGTGGCAGGTAGAGTGACGCTCGCGAGTAGGGAAGCTACGGGAGGCTCCCATCCCGCTCGCCCGCACGTCCCGCATACCCAGACTCACGGAAAACAACCGACTTGGCCTGCTCCACAGCCTCGCCGAAGCGGCCCATGGGGCAGTGGATCATGCGGCGGTTGAGCTTCTCGGGGGTGTTGAGGAAGTCCATCAGGAGAGGGGTCTTGATGGGGCCGCTGCTGTTAGCTGTGCTTTCTGATCCAACACCCACGGGCAGAGCGAGTTGAAGCGGATGCCCTCGCGCGCGTGAACCATAGCAAGCTCGCGGGTCATGGCCAGCACGGCACCCTTCGAGGCGGTGTACGCGAGCTGCGGCGTAGCGGCGCCGACCTTGCACACGAAGGAAGCCACGTTGATCACCGAGCCGCCGATGCCAAGGCCCTTCTCAGGCTCGGCCTTGTTCTGCCATTAGCTGGGGCCACGGGCGAGAGCTACCTTGCGCATGGCGAGGACGGCGTGCTTGCAGCCGTACCAGACGCCCTTGACGTTGATGGCCTGCGTGAGGTCCCAGATCTTCTCCTCGGTGTTGACGGCGTCGTCGTCACTGCGGTCAGCGCGTTCGCTGGTTAGTGGCGCTCGGGACCCGGAGCCCGGACCGGGATCCCGGGAATCGGGAGCCCGTGCGCCTTCCACGGCGACAACCCAATGGACGGAGACACGTACGCGGGGTGCATGATACCGGCGTTGTTGAACTGGGGTTAGTCGTCATGCTAAACTCGGGCCTCCGTGTCCTCCTCGCTCCCTATTCGGTCCATGACCGCAGGAGGTATCGGGCTGTGGCTTGCTCCCAGCTAGCCCGCTAGCTCAAAGCCATAGCATGTGATCACTCCATTGATTCCCACACTAGCACAATTTCTCGCCCTCTTCACAGCTCGTCCCCGCCAGCAATCTTCGCCGCGGGCGAGACTCCGTCCTCCTTCCATGCTCCATCCGGCCCTCCTCGACAATCCCGTACGCCTCAGACTCTCACTAACTCACCATGACGTCCAAACGGCCAAACTTGGCAACAGCAGCGTCGACGACGGCAGCGACCTCAGCCTCCTTGGACACGTCGGCCTTGACGGCGATCGCCTCGGAAGTGGGGAAGTTCTTGAGCACGAGCTCGGCGGCCTTCTGGACCGCCGCCTCGTTCACATCGGAGAGCACGACGCGGGCGCCCTCAGCAGCGAACTGGAGCGAGGTCTCGAGGCCGATGCCGCTGCGGTCAGCCGGAAACGGGGCGATAGTGTAGAGTGGCGGAGAGGGCGGCGACAGAGCGAGCGGAATGGAACATACGAGGCAGCGCCGGTCACGATTGCGACCTTGTTCTGGAGGCGGAGGCGGGCGGCCATTGTTGTTCTGAGTGAGAGGGGGTGAGAGTAGAAGTGAGAGTGAGAGTAGAGAGAAAGTGCAAAGAGGGATGCGGCTGATGGACGAGTGCGGGGAGGAGTACGAGGACGATTGTTGTCAATTTGGGAGACGCGCACAGGCAACCGGCAGGCACGGATTGCACTGGACGAATCTGGGCCCTGAGTTTGGCCCGATGACCGACCGTTTAATCGCTACCCGTCTGTATCTCTTTCGAAGAGTGGGCATGGCTTAGTCTTGCATCTTTCGGGTAACTGCCGCTGCACTGGCGCGCGCTTGGCTAGGCTACACTAGGCTACAGGCCTACAGTACAGACGCACTCTCCATGCCAACTCCTGCACAAGAAAGGGATACGACGCGTTGGAGAAGCGCCAAACGAGGCAGGCGTCAATCTGCAATCTGGCTGATTACAATCCCTGGCGGCCGGCGGGCCAGATCCGCCCCGCTTGTCGTCTGGATCTGGCGGAACGCCCTGCTTCATCGCTACAGCCTGTAACGGCATCCTGCCTATACAATCAGACCAAGCTGACTCGCACCTAGCCCAGCATGTCAACATCGCTGAACCCAGTCTCGCCGCCCAGGTCCATTAGGTCGGGCAACGCGCTGAGATCCGAGTCACCAAATGCGGAACTGATGCGCGAGTTGTGACGGTCATACGACTCGCGCTGCGCACTTGCCTTGGGTGTCGGGTCGACGTGCAGCTCAGGTTTGGGCTCACGCGCGAGTGCGGCTTCCATCAGGCGACGCGCGAGCTCTTCACGAGGCGACGGCAATGGCGGACTCGAAACTGTTTCGGCGCTGTCATTGGCTGGCGGGATCTCCCGGGCCGAATCCGAGGCCGACTCGGGATTCTTATCTTGGACTTTTGGTTCCTGGCCTTCGGTTATTGCCGCACCTCTGCCATTCGCCTGTGCCTCGGCATTGGCCGAGACCGCGACGGCATCGGACGACGACGTTGGGGGCGGAGGTGTGGGGCCACCCTCAGCCACGGGGGTCGGCGTTGCCTCTGCAGCGCTCGGCGACCGTACTGGCCGCTCTGCCTGCGGAGCATTCGGCTCCGGGGGCGCAGACTGCACTGCAGTTGGCGGTGTCGACTGCCCTCGGACAGCACTCTCAGCACCGACCCTGGGTGAGGGATCGTCGCGCATAGAGCTCCACGCGGGCGTGGGAGCAAACGAGTGGTATCGAGAGTCCTCACGAGCCGGCGCGTATGGGTGAGGGTATGTACGCGAGTGCGGGTACTGCGGTTGACGTCCAACTGCTGGGTGTCCAGGCAGGTGAGGCACCTGTCCGGCGTTCAGACGCGCGAGCCAGTCTGCCTTGCGCGCTGCGTGCTCACGTCGCGCGATCTCCGCCTGCTTGCGCGCCTCACGGATGCCCCGGACGTTTGTCCATGCGTACCTGCTGTTAGTTCTTGTCTCAGGAAACACCTCACCACATGACGTTGTACAGTTGCAACACGTCCTCCTTCCAGACTCGCACATAGTTCTCCTTGCGGAAGTCCTGCGTGAGCCGCTGGCATCTGCGAACATTGTCTGAGGTCAGCTACGTCACAGTCTCATCATCGCGGCCCACACTCACGAGGCGACACAAAGTCAAGCGCGATCTTCATGCAGTTGGCGAGATTGCAGACCTGGTGTGCGCAGCCCGCGGGAACGAACACTGCTTGTCCGGGGTATTGGTAAACACGGAACGAAGCAACACCATATTGCGCGTGCAGTTCCTCGCGCAGCTCTGAGTCAAGGTAGAAGAGCTGCGAGTGAATAGGATCCGTCATCTTTATGTGTGGGAAGCGGCCTTTGAGGAATGCGCGGATCTTGTCGGCATCTTCGGCGCGGAAGAGGTCCCACACCGCGCATCCAGGCGAGCCGTCGGCGCGCTTGGACGCATACAGCATGATGTTAACGGCGTCCGCCACGTCCATGTGTAAGCGCGTCGACCCGAAGCTGCCGGGTTCCTCGCGGCCGGCAAGAGCGTTGTACATCTTTGGGCCAATGTCAGGGCGCGTCGGGCCGGGTGGGAAATGGGAGTAGAGGTTAAGAACGCCGATGCGCTGTGTAAAATCAGGCGCCGGAAGGGCCCTCGAAAAGTCCTCGTAAAGATCAGGGTAGGCACTGGCGAAGTCGTCCGTCGATGGCCAGTCCTTGAGCTTCAGTATGCGTTGTTCGGCCTTGAGCACCGCATATCCTGGAGCCCAGCTGGCCATCTGCGCGACCTGCTCTTCGAATGTGTAAGCCCGTTGGGGAGTACCCGTGCCGCTTCCTGACACGGAGCCTCGCTGTGCGGGAGCAGGGAGTATGGGACGCGCAGCACTTGAAGCACCTGGAGTTGTTTGAGCTGGGACGGCGGCGGGGGAACGGCTGGACTCCTCCACATCAGGAGTTCCATTGCCGCTCGACTTGCCGGACACCGGCCCCGCCGACTGCACACTGCCTGTGGCTGTTGGCTCGTGCGATGGCGCCTTATGGACAGTCATCGACTGATGAGGCGAAAGGGATCTGCCAGTGGAGTGGGCCGCCCGATCCGCCTCATCCGGGCGCACCCCGTTTGCTGTGCCATTCGTAAGCACAGGCACAGGGTTTGGTACGCTTGTCTCGCCGCCCAATTCCTTGAACAGGAGAAAGAAGGCGCCGACGCTCGTCTTCATGACGTGCTCCGACTCGCAGTCGACGACGAAGCACGGCTCGTCCTTGAATCGTCTAATGAAGTTGTCAGGCGTCCACTGCTTCTGCAGCCTTTTCATGAGGTTGTCCACCACCATGGGCTCGCCACGCGCCCACAGAGCGTCAAAGGCGCCTGGTAATCCGTCAAGCTTGTCGCCGTCGATGTACATGAATGGCAACGGCTTGATGTCGGTTGGATCTGGCGGCTGTCGCAAAGTCTTGGAGGCGTCGTACAGCTTTTGTACATCTGCTTCTGACAGTGGCGCCTCTGTACTGGAGGCGCTGGGTGATGCCCTGGTTAAGTAGTTCCGCACGCCTTCGGCAAGATCGGTCTCCTCGTCGTCCAGTGCGAGCGATGCCACACGCGCCTCGATGTCCATGTCACTTGCCCCGGGCTCCAGGACAAAGTTGATGAGCGCGAGAAAGTCGGCGCGCAGCTCATCTGCCGAAAGGCGAGAGGCGGCCTGAAGGTCGTCGCGAAAGTGCATCTGCTGCTTGAGTTTGCCAGCCTTGGGCGGCTTGGGAGAAAGGGGCAAGGTCTCATTCCCGCGCGTGCAGCGGTGCAGCCGCGGGCGAGTTGCTTCTGGCACGGGCCAGGGCGACACGGTAAGAGTGGCGGCGCTGGCCGAGAAAAATCGCTCGCACTCTATGCAGTAGTCGCGCCCGCACTTGGTGCAGAACCAAAATCCAGCGAAGATGGTTGATGAGCAGAAATCGCACACGGACCGGTGCTGCGCTGTATCGATCGGCCTGTGCAGAGCGTTGTTTTTGATAACATGCCGCATCTCGCGCGAGATTAGGCCAACCAAAAGCGGGGCGACAGTCTTCTCTATTCTGCTTATGTGCGCCTCAGTGAGCTCGACGTTGAACTTGTTCGGCAAAGGCGTGAGCGGGTCTTCGAGAGTGGTCGACTCGAACCACCCGGCGCCGGTGATCTCGCCTGTCGCTGGGTCCAGTCTGCGGTTAGCCAGTCACACACGCATTTCGTCACGTACGGGAAGACGCGGTAGTTGCGAAACCGGCACGAATCGCCGCCAATCTTGCTCACGCATTGGGTACATTTTCCCCACGGGCCGTAGCGTTTGCGAATGCAAGGCGCCAGTTGCAACTCGCGCCGCTTGCCGCGCACCAACGCCTTGAGCCGCGTGTCGGTAAGAGTGCGCGCACGCGGCGCAACCTTCTCAGGCGGCTTCTGGCCGTCGCGCTCGATCTGGAGCTGCTTGTCGATTCGCTTCCGTGGGCGAGCGGACGCGCGGATGAGTTTGCCGTCTAGACCCTTGCGGCGCTTGTACCGTTCCCGCTTCTCTCCGCCGTCAGACTCGAAGTCGTCGGTGTCACTGCGTCCGAAAGACTGTCTGCGCTCAGACCCGTTGAGTGCAGGAGAAGCAGAGCTCAAGACGCCCCGCGTGCGTCGGAGTGCGGCTCTAGAGGACTCGGCCGGTTCCGATGTCTGCAACTCGGGAGCAAGTATTGAAGGCGGTAGTCTGGAGGGTGGAATATCCACGTCGAGAGACAGCTCATTGGGAAGCTCGGGGAGGCCAAGCGGGGTCAATGGCGACGAGGCTGGCATCAGCATCGTCCAAGGGCGTTTACTCACGGGCAGGAGAGGGTTCTCGAGGTTCTTCTTCTGGCAAATGATCCACGTCCATGGGCGCCTGTTCGGCGTCATGTGCGTCACCTTCTCCCATCGCCTCCGTCTCCACTTCCGCCCCTTCTTCGCCATCTCCCCATTGTAGGCCAGGATCTGCCAAGCCACGAATCACAGCATAGATATCCTGGTCCGCATGATCAGCCTGCTCCGTTGCCTCCGCGTCGTCGGCTTGGGGAGCATCTTCCGCAGCTGCTTGCTGCTCAGGCTCCGCCTCGGCTGCTGGTTCTGAAGGCGGTTCGGGCTCCTCGCGGGGGACCAGGGCGAGCTCGTCATCTTCGGGAACAGTGGACGCGGGAAGGTCTGGAAGCGGCGCGTCTGGATCAAACTCAGTCGGCAGGGGCGCGAGGTCAAAGTCGTCCTCGGCTGTCGAGGGCTGTGCTTCTTCCAGTTCGTCGTCGAAATTGAGATCACCCTCGGGAAGGTCATGGATGTCAGACTGCTCGCCGAGGTCGCCAATTCCGCCTTCTTCAGCAGGCGGCGGATCTTCCGGGGGTCGGTCATCGGCCAGTGCCGCGTTGTCCTCCTCGGTCGGAGTGGCCACACTGGCTGCACGCTGCGCTGGTGGCTGCTCATGGGTGCCACCGGTGCCGTCGGTGCCATCATCTGCGGCAGCTGTAGGAGCCCCCCTCGCCGTAACTGCAGGAGCACCATCCGCATTCATGTTCTGGCCATCCTGCTCAGCAAGATGGAGAAGTGGTTGTGGTGGCGACGGACTCGACCGCTCCACCTCTCTCCATTCCATGGCTGCGTGTTCGGGTGGCGATAGATTGAGTCGCACGCTAATGCGCTCTTGGATAAGAAGAGGTATAGATCGTTCGCAGGGAATAGTCGGCACGCTCTTCCTGTGACAGATAGAGTAGCCGAGAGGGATGGAAGATGAGTTGGCTAAAGTTGGACAGTGAGAACAATGACTTGAACGGCCAGCGTCAGATGTCAACACTCAGTTCTCCCACGGTGCACCTTGGACCCTCCAGTAATACCCTCCACTTCATCCTAATGACCCCAAGAACAGATTAGGCTGCAATGAAATTCGCCGTCCACCTCCGAACTTTTCGAGCCAGCGACCACATCCATATCTCGCTCACTCACTCACCCACCATGAAGCCACCAGCATCCCAGCTCCCTCGCCTGCTCGCATCGCTGCCGAAGGAGGGCGTGCACGCGCTCGTGCGTCCTGTCCAGTGGCCTGAAAACTCGTTCTGGCGCATCAACCGCTCCAAGCTCAAGTTCCACACGCAGGAGGGCAAGGACGAGCTGCGCGCACACGGCGTCGCCTGGGGACAGCTCTTCTGGAGGGGTGAGTGGAGTTGGCGGTAGCTCGGCGTTGGTGATGCTGACGCTCTTCTTTACTGGACACTTGCGCGCGTACGTCTGCGGTCCCCTCACCCCCTCTACCTTCCCTGCGACTGCGACACGCTGCTCTATCACATCTCCCTGTCCCGTTCCGCCCACAGGCAAGCACCTCCCGCACCCGCGCAAGCGCCAGGAGAAGGTGTCCGGCTCGCTCAAGTGGAAGTGGGTGCACATTCCTGTGCGCCAGCTCGACGAAAAGACGCGCGCGAGCGTCGAGGCCACCCCGGCTCCTGAGCCTTTGATCAAGCCCAAGCGCGTGCAGCTCAAGGCGCGACACATGGCTGCACTGGAGGCGCAGGCATCGGCGACGAACCCGGTTGAGGCGGACGCGGCGGAGGAGGCGAAGCCAACACAATAGAGGGCAGATGCAGTGTGCGATGCCTGGCGTAGTGTTGAGAGGGGAGGGAGGCGCGCTCGAGGCACCACCGTTCTGCGGTGAGGTGTGCCTGCGGAGTCTGCAAACTCACGTACAGTGAACGTTCAGCGGACAGTATTGGGATGTCAGCCTTAGTTTGGGTGTCCGCAGATCGGCGGATCTCACTCCTCCTCGACATCGCCAGAGGACATGGTATGCCATGGCCCAACCCACTGCCACTGAGCGTCGTGATCATTGGGCTTGTTGGAATGCGATGGTACTCTCCAGGGCTGTACCGGCAGTTGCGGTAGCGATTAGTAGACTAGAGTAATACATATTTGCGTCGGCGGCGGCCTCACACTCTACCATGCCCCGCCGTTCCCAATGAACGCGCGAACAAACTCGTCCCAGCGTACCGTCTCGACCTCGACCGCCGTGCTCTCTCCCTCGTCCTCGCGCCAAATAACAGCATACCCATACGCGCCCTCGTCAAGGCTGCCCACCACCCAGCGCCACCCGTTCTCGCGCACATCGCGCCCATCAACCCGCACGCCCGCGACGGCGCCGTCCCCCAAATCCACCTCTATCCTATCCAGCCCGAACGCGATCCCCTCCCCTATCGCCTTGGTATACCCCTCCTTGACCGTCCATAACGTAGTGAGCAGTTTAGCCTTGACGCGCCCGCGCGCGCCCGCGACCGCGTGTCGTTCGCGCGGCGTCATCTGGTGTCAGACCGCACTCCACCCTGTCGTACCGTGTACGCGACAGAGGCCTCGAGCTCGTCCGGGTCGCGCGGCAAGTCCATGACGTCCACGCCGACGTCGCCCCGCGCCACAGCGAGGAGGACGTACGCGCCCTCGTGGCTCGTGTTAAAGTCGAGCGCGTGCGCCAGCCCCGGTGCCGCGAGGTACGGCTTGCCGCGCGCGCCCGTCGCGTACTCCGGGTGGCTGGGGGCCGGGACGAGGCCGCTCCGCCGCAAATACCATGTGGGGAGGAGGCGGCCGGCGACGGAGCGCACCGCGTCGTCCGCGTGCCGGAACTTGCGGACACGCGCCTGCGCGCCCTCCGGCAGATGGTGCAGGAGCCGGTCGAGCGTCTGGCGTCAGAGCTGCCACGCGCGGACTCACGTCTTCGGCGACGCTCGGCGGCACCTTGAGTGCGAAGACGCGCATGGTGGGCGGAAGAGCAGTCACGTGCATGTGGAGGCGGGTAATGTTTTTATGAAAGCGGGGGTATTCCAACAGGCACGAATTTTGCCACCCAACAGCTTGCGTGGGGTGAATTTCTGCTTCACAACATTACAGCCATGGACGTCGACGCACCAACATCGACATCGGAGCGCACGAGCAGCACGCAGCCGACCGCGCCCAAGGTTTTGGAGGTGCGGCCGTCAAAGCTTGGCCGGAGCCACGGGAAGGCGTGGAAGGGCGAGAAGGAGAGCACGCGGCGCACGATCATGGCTCCGGGACTCAAGTCGCCGTTCGCGAAGCGCCTCGAGCAGGACAAGGCGCGGCAGGCCGTCAAGGCTGTTGAGAAGGAGATGAAGGATGAGGCGAAGGAGGAGCACGAGCGGTGAGTACGGGTTGGGTGGTGGTGTGGGCGTGGGTGTGGGTGTGATGGTCGTGTGGGGTGGGAGGAAGGCCGGGCTCGGGCTACGAGCGGCTGGGAGCGCCGAGGGCGAGACGGACGGAGAAGAGCAGGGAGCTTGGACTGCTCGGGGCTGTCCGACGCCTGTGAGGGAGCGCTGATAGGGGATGTATTGGGTGGAGGGAAGGTCTCTTGAGATGAGCGGAATCGTAGCCGCGTGAACCACGCTTACATTCAGCAAGGTCGCTGCTATCCGCGAGCGCCGCCAGCGCAAGGCCGAGAAGGAGCGACTCGAGCAGATCGCTGCCAAGATGTCGGCCAAGAAGCTCCAGCGCCTCAGGAAGGTGAGTGTGGTGTGGGAGTGGGAGTGGGCGTGTGCGGTGGCAACCTGGGTGTGCAGCCTAGGTGTACATACTCCGGCGTTTCCTCCAGGCAGCTACCTACATGAGCTGGCTTTGAGAACCTCCCGTGCCACTCCCAATTTAGAGGATGCTCGCTAACGCCCAGCGCCAGGGCCGGTCGAAGAAGATCAACGGATAGACGCTGTACTTGTATGCATTATAGAGTGGGTCTAACTTTGGCGTGGGGAGGCGGGATCATTTTGCTGACCATTCGCTGATCACACACCCTGCACTGGGTCTGAGAAGATGGAGCTTGACGCAGCTGTGGGCTCCAGCGCATGGGTGGAGAGACTAGAGGCTGGCGGACACTCACGTACTGACAACTGACGCTGGGATTGCGACACACGTGCACCCCGCGCACATAAGCATCGGTGTGCGCCGAGATCAACCGAGTCATGCTGTCGCCGCGGGGCCTGTGATCGGAGATCGCACTGCCGATATGTGCACGCTCAACCGCCGAGTCTCCATTTCTGGAGCTTTCCTCCGGAGTTTCCGTGCAACTGGCAGAGGCACGCCAGCCCAAACAATTGACTCGACTTTGTTGCTGCACGAACTGGTAGAGTTGAGTGTCGGACGCATGTGTGGTGCACACTAACGCTCCAACGACCCAAAACCCATGGCGACTGGGCATTGCCCGAACACGCTAGAGTTGAGAAGGACGCATTCGATGTGAGCATAACGCGGCCTCGGAACTGCCTGCATCGGCCTCGCAATTAAACGCAAGGGGGTCTCTGACAGGAACCTTGTGGGGCACAACTGGCGTGCAGTCAACCCAACCAACCCAACCCAAGCCGCGCCGAGACGATTGTTTGGACGCGTTGTGCTATCCGAGGCTGCGTGGGTCGAGACAAGCTTCTGACGTTATGTGCCATCTTGGGGGAGATGGGCTGCGACGCTCGGCGTGTCGGATGCGCAGGCGTGCCTCGAGGGTGAGGTCGGTCGTGACGTGTTGGACCGAGGCAGACAGCCGGGCCGGGCGATCACAATCCGTACGCGTCGAGCCGTCCATTGACGCGTCGTGGCGCCTCGCATGGCCTCGCATCCGATATCCAGATCGAGATTTAGATCTAGATCGCTCGCTTTGACGCTATCTCGGTTCTCGATGCGCACCCTTCTGTCTTCCCGTGTAGCATCTTCCCTTCGAACTCCCTCGACTTGGCACCAACCTTGCTAGGTCCACAGAAAGTTCTAAATTCAGAGGCCTCTGGCGTGGAGATTGGGCGTCTTTTTTGAGGGTGAGACCGGCTCGTTCGATCGTTCAGCTTGAATGGGGCGACTGACGCTGCGACGCCGAGGACAAGCATACGGAGAATAGGGCCCCTCGGACCTGATGTTCGAGCCTTTGCGCGAAGGGCATCCCTTGGCCGCCCCTGGCGTATCACACAAGGAACGCGTTTTAGCAGGGTGCACGGCCGTTCTGTGCCCTCTTTCCCTGGTAAACCCTGGAGATTCTCGGGCGCCTGGACGTGCCTTGCCTCACATCATCAGACCCACTCCTGGGATTTGAAACTGCACATGTTGCATCGTGAGCATCGTCTCGCGCTCGGTGCTCGTCCATTCGCCAGCAACTGCCAGCAACAGTGCAAACCTCTCTCGATTCTCTCGGCATCGCAGGCGGCCTCGACGGACACTTCTGGACTCGTCACTCCCTCAGAGCTTAAGATCTGAGTCATCCCTAGCCTAGCTAGACCTGATCCACCCTTTCTTTTGTAGCTGTGTGACTCTTGTGACCATCACTCCGCGTCTTCATAACACACCGACAGGCTCGGGATCGCTATCGCTCTTCCCCTCTTCGCTCCTCTTTGCTCCATTGTTCTCGGCGACGTCTCGACAGCGGCTGCCTACACGCTCTTTCACGACTGTACCATCGCAAACCCTTCGCAGGACGAAGAACTCTCACCCTCCTTTCGCCATGCTCGCAACCCTCGTCGCCGCGCTCGGCCTCGCGGGCTCGGCCAGCGCCCAGGCCTTTCCCGACCACACGATCATCACCAACATCTCGCCCATTATGATGGGCCGCATCGACCCCATCATCGACCCGGGCAAGGTCGGTGCGCACGTCCACACTGTGCTGGGCGCGTCCAACTTCCGTTGTGAGTATCGACGTCCGAGAAGAGCGTGGGAGGCGGAGGCTGCGTGGGAGAGTAAGACACAGCAACGAGCGAGAGGCGAGGATGACCTGGCTTCGATGGCGGAAGTGGGTGCGGGACGCTCCCGCCGGTTACCGCGGAGGCCTGCCACGCGATTTTGTGTACGGTGACTAACCTCAGCCGAGCTTAACACGCCCCAGGAGATGCTCAATGCTCAGTGCACGACGGCGGCAGTCACGGCCGACAAGTCCAACTACTGGACGCCGACGCTGTACTACATGCACGACAATGGGACGTACGAGGCCATGTCGCCGTTCAACACGCGCATCTACTACTTCACCACGAACGAGACCAACATGAACCCTTTCCCGCCTGGCTTGCGCATTGTCGCGGGCACGGCGATGAGCCGTGACCTAAGCGACGTCCGCATGCGCGGTGTCGAGTTGCACTGCGGCGACAAGCCGGACCTCTTCCACCCGTGGCTGCCGAACGGCACCACCCACCCCAACGGCTGCAACGACTTGCACGTCGGCATCCGCTTTCCGTCGTGCGGGCTGGCCAACGGCGCCCTCGACTCGGAAAACCACTTCGACCACATGACCTGGCCCGTCGAAAGCCTCGACTACGGACCCGAGGGGCCCAAGTACAACCCGAACGGGCCGCTGTGCCCGCCCTCCCACCCGATCAAGTACCCGACCATCTTCCTGCAAGCATTCTACAAGTTCGAGGAGAAGCACGGCCGCCCCTGGCGGGCAGGCAAGAACAACGTTGTCTTCTCCAACGGCGACATGCTCGGCCCCTCGTTCCACGGCGACTTCGTCAACGGCTGGGACCCGACCGTGCTCACCAACTTCGTGAAGCAGTGCAACACGCCCAACGGCGCGCAGGACAAGCCGCAGAACTGCCCAGCATGGGCGCCGTCGTTCAACCAGGAAGCCTCGCGCCAGTGCGCGTACCAGGGCATGCTCCCCGCCGAGGACATTGGCCTGTACCGCGCGATCAACGAGCTGCCGGGCTGCAACCCGTTGTGGCCCGCCGACGGGCCCGTGCAGCGCGAGCGCTGCTCCAAGCCCGATCCCGGGTTTGCGGGCCCCAACCGCTTCATCGGCATCGGCAACGAGCGCCGCATCCCCGTCTACCTCCCCAACGCGGGCAACTACACCGAGATGTTGTGAGTATGAGAGCGTGGTGTGCGCAGCGCTGATCCAGCCTCAACGAGGACTTCCCGAGCTGGGTCGGGCAGTGGGGCGGCGAGAACAACCAGAAGAACACGGCCGGCGGAATTACGTACGGCGACACGTTTGCGAGCGGCGCGAGCGTCCAGGTTTCGTCGGATGTAGACGTCGCCAACAGCGTCACGGTCGCTAAAGACGAGGTCGCGGGTATGGTTGACACGAGCGTGTTCCGCAAAGACTTCCCGGCCAAGGCTGAGAGCGGGACGACGCAGAGCCCCGGCGCAGCGGCTGACGTGCTGAACTCGGCTGCGGCGAACACGACGGGCAACGCGACGGCGCCGTCGGACTCGGCCGGCAACGCGTCAGCTTCCGCCTCTATCGCGTCGACCTCCGCCCCGGTCGCGAACTTGCCGGCCCCTACTTCCGGCAACGCCGTGAACACGAACTCGACGAACAACGTCGACAAGCCCATCGATCTCCCGGGCGGCGCCCTTGTCGCCGACCACGACGCTGGGGTGGACACCGCTGCGGCGGCGCCCCCGTCCTCGTCCTCGTCCCCGTCCCCATCCTCATCCTCGTCCGCTGCCGCCGCCGCCTCGGCTGCGCCAGAGGCCCACCACGGCGGCACGCGCGTGTACTCGTCCGGCTCGGGATCGGGTGCGGGCGCTGGTGCGCACGACAGTGGCAAGAAGTGCAACCGCAAGCGCAGCCGTTCGCGCCGTTGATACCCATACATACTAGAGCTGTGCTCCGTGATCCTGGCGGTCATGCATGTTTGACTTGGCGTGGCGAGGGGGAGGTTTTGCTCCACAGTGGCCGATTCTGATCTGGCAACTGGCGTCTGGCCCTGCAAGGCCGGCGGGCTACTCTGTCTCAGCGTGCTGACTACTCATATCTTCGACGGCGCTTGCTGACCACTCGCCGCAGCCAACGGCACTTGGCGTAGTCGCTAAGCGAACGCCGCAACCACCACGCCGCACCTCGGCGACCGGACGACCTCCACCTCCACACCGACCTCCACCTCCACTTCCGCGGTCTATTAATGCTCTCATCCCCCTTCTCCTCACCTCACACACAATGCCCATCCCCGCCGTCTCCCTCGCAGGCAAGCAGGTCGGCAAGGTCGGGTGCGTCTCCCCTCTGCATCTCTGACTCCAGCCTCGGCCTCATGCAGCTGACATGGACGCCGTCGCCGCCGCCCGACGACGTCTCCTTCGCGGCGATGAAGGCCGCCGCAGACGCGGGCGCGACGACATGGTCCAGCGCCACGTTTTACGGCAACGGCGCGCCTGGCGAGACCGGCGCCGCGTTCGACAACCTCCGCCTCTTGGGGCGCTTCTTCAGAGCATACCCCGAATACGTGGGGCGCGTGCAGCTCGTCGTGAAGGGCGGGATTGGGCCCGGCATGGACATCACGTCTGAGTGAGTGGCTCTTCTCTCCCTCCCTAGGTCCCCGATATCGCTCTTGCCCTCACTGAGCTCCCTCACTGCGCTCGCGTCCGCCCGCTGACCCCAGCCTCGCCTTCAACCGCCACCTGCTGGCGCACGCGCGCGAATGCCTCGGCGTCCCGATCGACGTGTACCTCCCCGCGCGCATCCGGCCGGGCGCGGACCCCGTCGCCTTCTTCCGCGACTTTGACACGCTGCGGCGCGAAGGCCTCTTCGGCGCGCTCGGCGCGTCCGAGATCTCGGCGGGCACGCTGGACAAGCTCGCGGCGGCGGGGATCGAGATCAGCGTGATCGAGATCGAAGTCAGCTTGTGGAGCTACGACGACGACGTGCGCGCAGTCCTCCAGTGGTCCGCGGAGCACGCTGTGCCCGTGTACGCGTACTCGCCGCTCGGACGCGGCTTCCTTACGCGCGCGTGGAAGACGCCCGAGGACGTGCCCGAGGGCAGCTTCCAGAAGCACAGCCCGCGCTTCCAGGGAGAGAACTTCTACAAGAACCTCAAGCTGGTCGATGTGCTCGATGAGATGGCCGCGCGGCGGGGACTGACTACCGCCCAGCTCGCTATCGCTTGGGTCAGCGCCCTGGGGCCGTATGTCGTGCCCATCCCCGGAAGCAAGAATGCCGAGCGCGCCAGGCAGAATACCGAGGCCGCGAATATCGTCCTCAGCAAAGAGGAGATGGAGCAGATCGACGAGATCATCCGCCAGTTCCCGCCCAGCGGGGGGCGATACCCCGAGGACCACAGCGGGGCTCTGATGCAGTAGGCCAGGGCTGTTGATGAGCTGTAGAAACAAATGTCATTAGTTGACCAGCGAGGCGATGCTAGTCACGCCCAAGCCAGCCGGCCAATGCATATGCTCTCCTCTAGTCTAACTGTTAGATCTCGCCGTAGCCGCCGTCCTTGAAGACCTTGGACTCGCGCTCGACAATGTCCTCGAGCGCCTTGAGCCACGCCTGGAGCTTGGCCATGACCACGTCCTGGGGCTCGCCAAACTTGGGGTAGAAGTTGGCGCGGTAGGGGCACGCCTTCATTGCAAGCTGGAGTCAGTTGAGATTCAGAAGGGTGGAATCGTCTGCTGTAGATTATTGATCGCCGTCACAACGACGCGCACCACCGTACACGACGCTCGGACCGAGCCTCCACCTCGCCAAGGCCATGCCACGCGCACATGCGACGCGCGCCTTCCTTGTCTTCTCCAGCGCCTGCCCAGCTCCCGACTCACCGCAAACACAGGCCGGACCATCATGCCGTGGAACTTCTTCAAGCTTCCCTCGTACCCCTTGGTGAAAGACACGCTGAGCTCCTCGGCCGTGTTGGTAAGGTTGATGCGCAGACCCATGGCGGTGAACTTGAGCCCGCGGAGAAGCCACATGAGTGCGTCGGTCGCCACGCGCTCCTTGGGCTTGGCGTGCGTCGCCTTGTCGTGCGCCAGGAGCTTCTCGAGTGTGTCGGCGTCGGTGGGGTTGGCGAGGAAGTAGGTGCGGACTTTCTTGGGGTCAGCGGGGACGATGGCGGCCAGGGGACGCAGGGAAAGGGGGGATGGGAGGAGAAGAAAAGTCGGGGGAGATGAGAGCAGCTCTGAATTTCTCGACGTTTACGTGGAGCTCTCTGGCAGAGAAGAGAAGCCGCTCGGTCGCGCTGCCGACTCAACGGGAACCATGTCGTGGCAGAGATTCCGCACCAACCACCCCGCTCACTCACGTTGATGTTGCCCGTGATGTCGTTCTGGACGACGCTGAAGGCGGGGTTGCCAAAGAGGTTGAAGATCTTGACGAGACCCTCGGACGCCTCGAGGAAGGGTGCGGTCTCAACGCCGGCAGCGGTGACGGGCACGTCCTCGAAGGACTGGTGTGAGCGCTGAGAGACAGAGTGAGGCGGTTCAGCTGGCCGGCTCGAGGAGCTATTCCAGCCAGCGAGCACATACCTTGGTGATGGTCTCGAAGAACTGGGGCTGGGCCATGGTGTTTAGAGAGTTGTGCAGATGGAGATGTTGAGAGCTGCAGCGGTTCGTGCCATTTGGACGTGGCGCGTGGGGCGCGTCCCGCGGGGGACAGGGACCGGCCCGGGGTCCGTCTTAATCCCCCAAACCTAATCATTAGCACCCTCGCTCTAATTACATGGCGGAGAGAGGCGCATCTCCGCGCCGATCCGTTTGTCTCCGGGCAAAAGTCGGCGCCGTGATGCGTGCTCCAGAGACAACACCGACGCCGACTTCATTCCTCCATCCCCACAACCATGTCGCTCCGCCCCGGCCTGCTTGCGAGCACATCACGCGCCGCTCTGGTGCTGGCGCGGCCTGCGCCGCGCGCGTTCTCGACCACCCCCCGCCGCGCTGAAAAGGAGGGCACGGTGCAGAACATCGACAAGGAGATGAAGAACCGCGAGCGGATGCTGGCGTCGCTGCCCCGCGGCATCGACATAACAGCGCACTTTGAGTCGGTGATTTTGGGTGAGTTGGGCATGGGGAAGAGGTAGATGATCAAAGGGTGGACCTCCCGTTCAGGCTGCACGCTCCGTGGGCGGCCTCCATCGTGATCTCACCTCGCTCCACCAACATCGGGCGACGCTCATACCAGAACCAATCGTCGACCCACCAACTTGGGTCAAGCCCGCATGGCTGCTCAAACCTGTCGGCTTTTTTCAGTACGCCAAAGCCCGTTTCCAGCGCGACGTCGGCACAGCGCAGCAGTGAGTGTCCCTCGCCATCGCCCGCTGACAGTAGGGTGAACGCGCTCGTCAAGGACGGGCTGGTGCCGTGGGTCAAGACCGGCTGGTTTAGCGGCTCCGGCAAGGCGATGGAGGGCATCATGCCCGAGTTCGTGCACCGCTACGAGGCGTTCAACCGCGCGCAAGCGTCGGCGGACGCGCGCGCGCTCCCCTCTCTCGCCTCAGGCCCTGCGCTCAAGCGCGCCCGCGACGTCGCGGCCAAGATGCAGCGCGTGAACGCCGCATGGGCTGTCGAGGCCGAGCACGCGCCCCCCAAGCTCCAGTGGGTGCGCTATGTGCCGCTCATGGGCGTGGACGGGCCGAAGCTCGCGCAGGCGTGCGTGACGTTTGACACAACGCAGGCCCTCACAACGGGACCTAAAGGCAAGCGCGAGACGAAGAGCCAGCGCGTGCGTGAGAATGTTGTGTTTGAGCGCTCGAATGCGCCCAACTCGCCATGGAAGGTGAAGAACATGCTCGAGACGACTTGGCCGCAGCTCTAGGAGGTGGGGTCGGGGGAGGAGGAGGAGAAGGAGGGAGTACCACTCATTGCATGGTGTTGGAACGCGGGAGGCGTGCCGCCTGCGAACCGATGCATCTTGGTTACATTTGCGGGGGATGTGGGTGGCATCAAAGTCTGGTAGTGGTCGAAGACGATATTGACACACTGCCCGTGACGAGAGTGGATTCCAGGAGTTTAGTTCGTTGATAAAACAGATTGATATTAGGATGGGATGTAATATCGCCACGTGGGTGGAGTCGACTTCAAAAGTCGATGCCACCGATCAGGTCGATCAGGTCGTTGTTCACGACACATTCAACTCCTCATTATCTCGCTCTCGTCTCGTTATCGTCACATTGACGGATCAGCGACAGCGAGCACTATCACGGCTCTATAAGCGCTCAGCAGAAGCGTGCTCTTCTTGACACTCCCCCACTTCATACCCCACCCCAAATGTCGTCTCCATCGAAACTATCCGCGCTGCCGACCCAACCTCCCGGCAGTCCGAAGAAGGGCAAGGCGCCGCCCGCCGACAAGGGCGACAAGAGCGAAAAGGGCGATAAGAAGCCGAACGCAAAGGCGGAAAAGGCAGCTCGGCGCGCGGCCAAGCTCGCTGCCCGCCCCCCTCCTCCTCCCGAAGCCCCCGCGGCGCAAGCCGGGACCTCTGGCACAGCCGGCGCGCAAGCCGGCAACCCGGCGGGGCCCTCGCGCCACCGCCGCGCCGTCGCCGCGGCAGAGGCGGCCTCTTCGCGCCCCTCCGCGCCGCCCAACCCTGCGCAGCAGTACTTCTCGCACCTCCCCGAGCACCGCGACGCCGGCACGCCGGCAGCGTTCGCAAGCGGCAAGATCCACCCTGTGGTGGTGCGCCTGGGCGTGCTCATTGCGTCGGGGACGCTGCGCGGGGCGTCGGCGCGCACGATGGCGGTGCTCGAAGCCTTCCGCGAGGTGGTGCACGACTACACGTGCCCCGAGAACGCCGTGTTCTGGAAAGACTTGAACAGCCACATCTCGCCCATGATTGCGTACCTCGAGACGTGCCGGCCGAAGGGCGTGGGCGTGGGCAACGCGATCCGGTGGTTCAAGGGGGAGATTACGCGGCTGGGCGAGACCGAGGGCGACGCGACCGAGGCCGCGCAGAAGGCGGCGCTGAGCGCCGCCATCGACATTTTCATCCGCGATCGCATCGTGGTCGCGGGGCAAGTAATCAGCGACAACGCGCGCGAAAAGATCAAGCCTGACGACGTGATCGTCGTGTATGCGCGCTCGAGTGTCGTCGAGCGCGCCCTCCTCGACGCCATCGCCGAGATGCAAGCCAAAGACCGCTCCGCAAGCTATTCCGTCGTCATCGTCGACTCCCGCCCCCTCCTGGAAGGTATGCGCGCACGCGTTCGCTGCTGACGCCAGGCCGCGCCCTCCTCGCAGCGCTCACGGCCGGCGGGATTCCGTGCACGTACACGCTCCTCCCGCTGGCGGCGACGGCGATTGCGCGCGCGTCCCTCGTCCTTCTCGGCGGCTCGTCGCTCAACTCGGACGGCGCGCTGCACTCGCGCGCCGGCACGGCCGTCGTTGCGATGCTCGCGAAGGAGTACCGCGTGCCCGTGGTTGCGTGCGTCGAGACGTTCAAGCTGAGCGAGCGCGTCGCGCTCGACGACCTCGCGAACAACGAGCTCGGCGAGGCACACGACCTCCTCTCCATCCCGACGGCGCCCGCGCTCCAGATCCCCGAGCCCCTGCCGAAGCACCTCTCGACGCTCACCCTGCTGTACGACCTCACGCCGCCCGAGCACATCACGGCCGTGTGTACCGAGGTCGGGTTTATCCCGCCCAGCTCGGTGCCGACGCTGCTGGGCAAGAGCGCTATTACGGCGTAGGTGTATATGTATGGATGGTATGCGGGCACTCGAGCGGGGCGGGAGCTTCAGAACCAATTGGTGTTTTGCGGTCATAGGTAGAGGTGTGGCGCCTCGTAGCCTGCGCCCATGGCTGCATTCTCGTTGTCCACACCACTGCTCCGACGTCACCGCTGGTATTCTGGTATTCATATCACTGGTCAACAGGACAATAAAGTGAGGCGGGGCGGCAAGAAAACAAGGGGAGGGTGGGCGAGTGGAGCAGAAATATCAGAGAAGGGGGCGTCGGTGAACAATATCAGAAAAGTCGTGAAGAACATCAAGATTGGGGGAGATTAAGGGCGCATGCCACACACTACGTCTCGAGCAGCGGCTCCTCCTCCGGATTAGCCTTCTTCGCCTTGGCCTTTGGCGCGGGCGCGCCGCCCGCCTCGGCCGCGGCTGCGGCGACGGGCGCCGGCGTAGGCGCGGGGGAACGGAGCTCGGCGCGGCGGGCGCGCACGTCAGCCTCCTCCGCCTCGCGTTGGAGCGCGATGCGCACCTCGCGCTCGCGGTAGCGCTTGAGGGCCCAGCCTGCGACGCAAGCGAGCGGGTGGATCGCGAGGAGGACGGTGAGGGTGATGACATAGGCGGGGGGGCGGACGATGGGGTTGTTCGGGAGCGGGGGGTAGACGTGTGGCGTGCTGAGGAGGAGGGTGAGGATCTGGTATTCCATGCAGATTGCGAGGACGCTGGTGTCAGTGTGGGAGGGCGGAGACGCACTATTGTCTCGTGAAGAGTTCCCAGAGAGAGGCGACGGCATGCGTGCCCGCTACAGCACCGATCGCTTGCCATTTCCACACGACGGCTTCTTTGCGCTTCTCGATCACCCAGTCTTGCGCGACGAAGCCGCACGACATCCAGCCCAGGCCGAGGGTGAGGGCCAGGAGCATGCTGATTGTCGTGTGCACGAAGACGGCGTTGAGCGGGTGCGCGAACGACGCGGGGTACGACTGCAGCGTAAAGTGGATGGAGAGGACGATGACGGCCTCGACGATGACGATCACCGCAGCGATCTTGAACGTCGACAGCGTCCATGTGACGGCCCACGCGGCGGTGAGCCAGTTGGCGATGGCGAGGCGCAGGCCGACGCCGTTGATGAGCGAGTCCTACTGTCAGCGGCGCTACTATGTCCTCACCTTGGTCCAGTCGCTGCTCGCGGCCGCGAGGAGGAGGCAGAAGCCGATCTGCAGGATGAAAAGGAGGACGGCGAAGCCGACGACCATCTCGTGGTTCGGCGTGAGCAGCGTCGGGTGGATGAGGGAGATCTCGCCGATGCCGGGGTTGATGAGGAAGCCGCAGACGAGGAGCGTGCCGAGCGCGATGAGGACGCTGAGCGGGATGCTCATTTGCAGGCGCACGAGACGCATGCTCGCCCGGTACACGTCGGCAGAGATGTACTCGTCGTCGTCGTAGGACGAGGCGCCGCGCTCGCCGCGCTCGGCGGCGGCACTCGTGCTGCCGTACGATCTGGGGGTTTTCGTGGGCATGCTGGAGAGAGAGGGATGGGTGATGGAGAGAGGGGGGAGGATGTTGGAGATGACGAAGAGCAAGGAGCAGGAGCGGGGAGGTCGTCGGGCATGACGTCAGAGGGTAATTGAGGAAGAGGAGTGATCGCCACGGAGTTGAGATTGGCGGTTGGAGGGAGTGGGGCGGAGGGTGGTATTTTTGAAGTCAGTCGGAGACGACGAGGTCGTGGCAGAATGAGTGGTCAGTGATTCACGAGAGCATGAGAATGAGAAGCAGAAGAGTCAGAAAGAGTGGGAAGGGAGATGTTGTTGTGATGTCGGCGAGCACAGCATGCAGATATGCAGATGCTCAAGGGGATTAGGTGCAGGCTAATCGTGCGAATCCAAATGATGACAACAACCTGAATTGTAGTCCGTGATAGAATATGGCTCGAGTTGAAATTCAAACACATTTGCTCCCGAGTGAGAAGCTGTGCCCCTGGAAGATCGGTTGGATGGAGGAGGAGACCCTGAATGGAGAGGAGGCCTGGGCGGGGAGAGCGGACGATGGATGCAACTGTTTTCAAGGGTCTCCCTCCTTGGCCCTTGCTCCCACCCCTTCCCTCACGCGCTCCTCATCGCCTTCGTCCATCTCGTCGTCGTCGTCGTCGTCGTCGTCGTCGTCCTCTTCATCGCTCTTCATCTCATTCTCATTCTCATTCTCATTCTCATTCTCTCTCTCTCTCTCTTTCCCTCTTCTCTGCTCCACACTTCACTCTTCACCCTCAATACCCCCGGGGCCGCCACCACCGCCTTGTACACAGCAGTCCAACTCGTCCACTTTCTCTCTCCCTTCTTCATCCCCCCACTCCCTCACCACCCCCTTCCTCTTCCGTCCCCCCCCCTCCCTCCCAAGTCCCACCACCATGCCACGCATCACCACCACCTCCCTCCTAGCCCTCCTCCTCATCGCACTCGCCCTCTTCGGCACCGTCTCGGCTGCCCCCGCCCCACAGGACCCTGGCACAAACGACACCGGAGGTCCAGGCGCAGGAGACGACACATCCCAGCCTGCCACCGACGGCAGCGGCGACACTGGCACCGGCATAGAGACTCCTATCCCCGATGACGGTGGTGTGGCTGTGCCCAGCACTTCGGGCGCATCCGGCGCTGCGCCTACCCCCACCCCTGCCGCGGGTGGTGGCAATGGCCAAGTCCAGCAGTCTGCGCCCGGCGACCCCAACGGCCCCGAGCTCAACATCTCCGAGCCATTCGGCCAGACCACTGTCCAACCTGGCGGCGACCTCAAGGCTATCTGGACCCCAGACACGAACGGCGTTTGGAACCCCATGACTATCCAGCTTATGACCGGCTCCAACCTCCAGATGATCCCTCTTTCCACCGTCGGCCAGAACATTGACGCCACCACCTTGGGCGAGTACACCTTCAAGGTGCCCGACGTTGAGCCCTACTCGCAGATCTACTTCCTCCAGTTGTACGTCAACAGTGTCGATCGACGTCTATCGCAGATCTCGCTGACATTAGCACGTCCACTGGCGGTGCGCCCTCGTGGTCTACGCGCTTCACCATCGCGGGCGCCGATGGTTCGACCATCCCGCCCCCTCAGACTGAGAACGTTAACGGCCAGAACGTTGGCTGGGGCAACGGCAAGCTCAAGGGTGGACCCGCTGTTGTCGGCGCCAACCCGACCAGCGCTTCGGGCGTCCGTCCCTCCGGTGTCAACGGCACCGGCATCACGCTCTACAACGAAGGTCTTGAGACGGGCATTCCCACCGACGTCTCGACGCACGGCGTTGCGGCGGCCACCATTGGCGCTCTCCCCGGCACGGGCTCGGGTGCGCTCTCGCTGCGCCCTGTCGCTGCAGTTGTGGCTATTGTGGCGGGTGCCGCGCTGCTGGCCTAAGGACATTTTTTACATACACGCATACCATTTTCCCTCTACATCACGGGTGCTTGTTGCAGCAGCCCTCATTCTCTGTCATGGTCCGAGGACACTTGTTGTCGGCTGCGCTATGCACGGGGTCGCTGAGCGGGTGCGCGGGTGGGCGGGTGCGAGGAGCGTCAGACGCGTCGAGGGAAGGTGGTGGCGCAGGGCTGGGTGGACGCCTGAGCGCAGGCCAGATTTGGCACACGAGGCTTGTTGCCCTCGTGCGCCTGGGGTGGAGGGGCGGCGGCGATTGGTCAGTGGCGCGGGTTGGCCGCCCTCGACGCGACGCGACACCTTCACCGCCTCGATCTGTTCTTGCCATCACACTCTTCTGGCTCTCTCTCTCTTCCTCATCATCATCATCATCATCTCAGGCATCGCATGAGTGCATAGCATACAGCATACAGATCACAGCGCGGCCTCACTAACCAACTATGACAAGTCACCCTGCCCCAGTCCCGCATCATAAGACCACTCCTGCAGTGGCCGCTAACCGTAGACACACGGACAACGCATCCAACCCCGTGAACTGTAAATTCATAGCTGGCAGATAGTACGGCAGCACGCGCGCCGCCTTGTCCTACGACTCCCACGCCGTGAGCATGCGCCCCTCGCCCGCGCGCCACGCCTCGTACGTCTCGAACTGCAGCTCGCGCCCCTCCACCCTCGCACCCCCGCGCTCTACACCGACGACCGTGGCGCGCTGGATATCCGCGAGACGCAGCGTCCCGCCCGACGGATGGAGAACGATGGTGCGGCGCACGCCCCCCGGCGGGTCGTCGAATTTTATGCGGACGTCCGCGCGCGCGTCCCACGTAATGTGGACGACGTGGTGCTCCGTCCAGTACGGCGGGAGGTAGGTGACGGTGTGCAAACCGCCGCGCCCCTCGTAATCACTGCCCAGTAAAAGCACCGTGTCCACCACCGTGTGCGCGGCCGGCGTCTGCTCCACGTACCGGCACATGGCGGAGCGCGGGGCGCGCCGCAGCACCGCGAGGCGCGGAAAGTGCACTGCGGAATCGCATGTCGGATGCAAGTCCATGTCGAGCGTGTGGGTGTGCGCGAGCTCGGCGGGGGACGCGCCAGGGAGTGTCGCGAGGCGGATGCGGGGACGCGAGGCCGTCGTAAGGTGCAGCTTTGAGCGGAAGGGGAGGTGGTCGCAGAGGCGGACATGCTCGAATAGCAGGGGGCGCGTGTGGTCGCGCAGTGCGCGGCTTGTTTGGGACAGCGCGACGAGGGCCGCGTGGGGCGCGAAGAGCACGATGCGGTCCAGGATGTGGGGGAAGGAGGTGACGTCGAGCGCGGGCGCGGGGGCGGGGGCTGAGGCGGGGCCTACGTGGTTACTGTCTGTGTGGTGACTGCCTGCGTCGTAGTGACTGCCCGCGTCGCAAAGATTGCCTTCGTCGTCGCGGCGGATCATGGCGAAGTGAGTAGAGAAGACGGTGGCGAGTGAAGAGCTACTTGTGCTGCTCAAAGTGGGCAATGGAACGAGAGTGCGAGCCCGATCACTCGGCGCCGCCCTCTGTACCTCTGTTTGCGGCGGACCGATCGGGTCTGTGCGCACGCCACAGGCACTTATGGCAGTGGAGGCTCGCTCGGCGTAGGCGAGTGAGCAGTGGGCGGGTGCGAGTGAAAGTGAAAGTGAGCAGTGAGAGCTAGGCGACGGTGCGAGAGTGAGATCGGGAGCCTAGGCGAATACACAATGCGACGCGGAGGTGTCAACATGAAAGAGAGCGGTCGGGCAAGCGGATGACCGCGTCACGTGACTTGTCCGCGTCCGCCGACCACGATGTCCATGCCAGATCCCCTGCCGCCGGCATTACAAATGGCTGCACGGCTGCGGTATGCTGGCGCATTCCGGGCGCCGGGGGCGTTGATTCAGCATGTCGAATGCAAGTGGCTGGGACGTGGGAGCATGCCGCGCCATGATCGCTGGGAAATGCCATGCCGCCATGCCATGATGCCATGCTGCCATGCTGCTACGGCGGGCACGTCTCTGCCTGCTCTGCCTGTTCTACCGATGATGCAAGCTCCGTACTACGCTAAACAAACCGCACCACCCCCTCCCCCTCCCCGTTCCCATCCGCGAGGGCCTCCGGGCCGACCCAAAACGGCCGCAGCACCGCGGGCAAGTCGACGCCGACGACCTCGCCGCCGCGCATCCGCGCGCCGTTCTCCACCAGCGCAACGATGAGGCGCGGCACCGCCGCCGCGGTCCCGTTCAGCGTGTGCGGGAAGCGCAGGCCCGCGTCCCCGTCCCGGTACCGGATCAGGAGCCGGCGCGACTGGTAGTCGGTGCAGTTGGAGGTGCTGGTGATTTCGCCCCATTTGCCCCGGCCAGGCATGTAGGCTTCCATGTCGTATTTGCGGGACGCGGAGGCGCCGAGTTCTTGCGTCGGCATGTCGAGGACGCTGGGGTTAGGGGGGGGGCAAGTAGGGGGAGGGAGAGGGAGAGGGAGGGAGACAGGGGAGGACGAGGATGAGGTGGAAGAGGAATGGAGGATTACTCACCGCACACTCAGCCCCAGACTCCGCGCAATGTCCTTCTGCAGCACCAACATATCCTCCATCGCCGCTTCGCTCTCCTCGGGCCGCGTGACGTTGAACAGCTCGACCTTTGTAAACTGGTGGACGCGGTATAGGCCGCGGGTATCTGCGCCCCGCGCGCCGGCCTCGGCGCGAAACGCGCGGCCGACGCCGACGACCCGCGCCGGCAGCCCGGCGGCATAGAGCACCTGGTTCGCAAACATGGATGCGAGGGGCACCTCTGCCGTGCCAGCCAAACAGAGGGTGGGCTCGCCCGACCCCTCCTCCTGCTCGATATAGTACGTCTGGCGCGGCCCGTCTTCGCCATCGCGCGGCTGGAAGCCGCAGCGCGCCGCCATGTCCGCCATCACCACGTCGGGGGGGGACACGACCTCGTACCCCGCCGCCATGGCTTTGCTCACCGCGTAGCCCACGAGCGCGTGTTCGAGCTGCGCGAACGTGCCGCGGAGGTATGGCCAGCTGGCGCCGGTCGCGAGCGCGCTCGCGGCGGTGTCGAGCCACCCGAAGCGGCGTGCGATTTCGACGTGGTCGCGCGCGTCGTCGGCACGCGCCGGCGGCGGGCCGAAGCGCTCGATCTCGACCGCGGCGTCTTCGGCGCCGCGCGGCGCGTCCGCATGCGTAAAGTTCGGCAGGGTGCTCGCGAGCGCGAAGAGCTCGTCGTCCGCCTCGCGCGCTTCGCGCTCGAGCGCATGCACGCGCTCTTTGAGCGCGCGCGCGTCCGCGATCGCCTGCTTCTTGTCCCGCTTCTTGTGTTGGTCGCGGAACAGCGACGAGATCGCGCCGTGCTCCGCCCGCGCGCTGTTCAGCCGCTGCTCGACGTCGAGCGCGTAGGCGCGCGCGTCGCGCAAGTCCTCGACGTGCTCTTCCGCGAACGGCAGCCCGCGCTCCGTCACGTTCCGCTTCGTCGCTTCCGGATCGGACAGGAGGCGCGCGTAGTCCAGCCGTCCACGCGGGATGGGGGAGGGCACACTCCGCCGCCGCCCCGTGATGGGCTGCGGCTCGGGCACTTGCCCGATCGTCGCGGCGAGGATCTCGGGCGAGGCCCCGTCGCGCCGCAGGCGCTTCAGGTGTCGCGTGAAGCCGGTCGACGAGCGCACGCCCGAGAGCGACACGCGCGGGCACAGCGCGCGTCCGGAGAGTGTCACTGGTGTTAGGGGGGATGGAAAGGGGACGCACGGCTCATAGCTTTGCTTGTTTGTGTAGAGGACGAGATGGATCTGGTGACTGTGATGCGGAGAGTTCGAAAAAAGCGTCCGCTTCCGATACGAGTGGAGGTCGGTGGAGGTGGAGGTGGCGGTGGAGGTGTGTGCTGTGAGGTGTGTTTTGTGTTCCTCGCCTCACAGCGCGGTCCACAGGCCCTCGAATTCCCCGCTGCTGCCAGCGTCTGCGGCTCGCGTAGATGAACGACGCTCAGTCCGACAAACTCGGCATCGTACCTCCGCTGGAATGTCGAGGCTGTGTGGCCCTCCGACACCGCCACTCTACTCGGTGGCGGCCAGGCAGAGACCACGAGGCAGGGCCAGGGCTCAGCAGGACCCAGGGCCCAAGGCCCAGGGGGGATCGCGACCAGGCTCTGCCGTCATTTCCACCGCATCATGCTTATATCAGCGGATAAACCACACGCGGCGGGCGGTGGCTTGGGAAATGGCCGTGGACTGAATGGGCGGTGCATGCGGACACGGACGCGGACGACGACGAGGACGAGGGAGACGAGGGGGACGACGAGGACGACGAGGACGACAAGGACGAAGAGGACCACGAAGACACGGACAAGACGCGGAGGGACACGACGCGGTGGTGATGGTGATGCGTGGCTTGGCGTGAGAGTCATGCAGTGTGAGTGTTGTGTTGAATGTGTCTGTGGATGCACCTCGTCTCATTCCTCATCCACACGTCTCTCATCTCGTCCTCAACGGGGCCAGCTCGACCACCGCTGCGTCACTCGTCATCCCCGGCCTCGTCGTCGACCTCGTCCCTCTCCCACCCTCCAGCTCCGTCTCACATATAAACTCTTGCCCAACTCGCACCCTCTTCCATCCCATCCCTCTCATCCTCCTCCTATCTCTCCTCTACCCTCGAGCCATACCACGCCAGAACCACAAGCCCGTGACGCCCCCAGCCCCAGCGCTCGCCCAGCCTCCCTCCTCTCCCTCCCCCACCCCACTCCGAGCTCGTGCCCCCCGCCCCCGTGCCCCCTCTGCCCTCTCATACCTTCATAGCCCCCCCGTGCCCCACTCCCCATATCTCCCACCAACCATCGCCCACCAACCACCCACCCCTCCCTCACCCTCCAGCCCGAGCCCGAGCCCGACGCCTCTCTCCTTCTGCGCCTCTTCTGCCTCTTCTGCCTCTTCTGCCTCTTCTGCCCCTACTCCCACTATACCCCCACCAATACGATCCTCGCCGCCTTGCACCTGCCTTGTTGTCCTCAAGCCACCACCATTACGCTTCTCGACCCTGCGCAACATACCTTGCCCGACTCGTCATCATCCCATAATTTGTGGCAAGGGCAAGCCAAGCCAAAGGCGGACCGAAATACGAGTTACGAGTGCTCGCACGAGCCAGCATACCTTATCGTACGTGGGCCGGCGGGCATTGTATCCGGCGCAAAGCGGTCAACTCTCGAGTGAGAGACATTGATTGAGTGAGAAAGAAACGTTTGGCCGAATCCCGAGGGGCCCATTCAAGGCGCATCAGCCGAAGGCCATCCACCCTATATTACCCTGCAATTGCTTCAAATAGCGGGTAATAATCAGTTGAGATATATACAAACAGGCAAATCCTAATCAATCGATTAATCCCTCCCCCCACCTTGCCCCGCAAGCAGGGCTCAGGGGCACACACCGATCGCCCTTCGTTCTCTCTCCCTGTGCTCTCGACGCTCCCCTCGCTCGCTTCCCTCCTCTTCGTCAACTCGTCCTCATCATCCATTTCCTCTTCGTCACCATCCTCCTCCTTCTCCTCCTCCTCCCCCTCCCCCCATGGCCACCTACCAAGACGCTAGGTCGGCGACCAGACCTCACAGGGATGGCTCCTCTTCCAGTAGCACCGGAAGCTCGTACATACCCCTCCCTCGCCAGTCCGACCTAGCTCTGCCTCATCCCTCAGACTACTCTTCGTCATCCAACCTCGGTGCAGCAGCAGGCAACAGCAACAGCAACAGCAACAGCAACGCTAGTGTCAGCGGAGGCAACGGCAGTGGTAGTGGCAATGGCAATGGCAATGGCAATGGCGGCTACTCAAGCGGCGGCGGCCATTTCAACAACTACTCCTCCCAACAACATTCACAACGCCTTCCGCACCTTCCCCCACCCCCACCACCCCAACTTCAACATCAACATTACTCTTCTCATCCGTCCTCCCACTCTCCTCATCAGCAACATCCCCACTCGCTCTACCATCATCCTCCCCCCCACCGTCCCCAGCCCCCCTCGCACTCCTCCTCCTCCTCCACATCCATGCCCTACACCACCAGCTTTGACTACTCCCCTTCGTCACAGCTGCCCCTTTTCCCCCATGGCTACCCTCACTTTGAGTTTCCTCCATCCACCTCAACTCAGACAGGCAACAGCAACGACCTCAACGGCGGCCGAGGCGCCAACAACAACTCGAACGCCAACAACAACACGCACACCTCCCAATCCTCACGCCATGCCCACCACGCCTCCACCAGCTCAACAGGTGGTCGCAGCGAAGACTTCAAAACCCCCTACCCCCAATTCGGCTCTGCTGCCAACGCCACAGGGCAGTCCTCCTCGAACGCTGGTGGGGCCCAGCAGCGGAACGGGGGTCAGGACGAGTGGAATCCTATAGACGTCCCGCCCCTACCTCCGCACGTCGAGGCCAACATTTTTGACGGCTCGTCCGTGTGGCCATTCCACTCGGCCGCCGGTATCAGCGATCACCACCCCTCGGAACCGGGCGGTAGCGGAGGAGGAGGTGGAAGTGGTGGTGGAGGAGGAGGAGGAAGTGGACGCGGAGGCGGACGCGGACGCGAGGGCGTGATCGAGGGCGCTACAGGCGCCGCCGACCACAAGCAGCCCTCGGATCCAGGCTCCTCTGGCCAGCCCTCGTCCAGCCCTCCCGTCCCCACTCAGACGATTACCCAGCCGCTGTCTTCAGCGCAGAATAACACGGATCCAAGCCCTGCCATCTCGCATCCGACCCTCCCCGAAATGAACGACTATGGTCTCTCCTCCGCGTCGTCGTCCGCGGCCATCTTTGATCCCCTACCCGTCACACTACCCTCACAGATGGCCCCGCCGACAGATCCCCTTCTCCTCGGCCAGCCTCAGGACGGCTGGAGTCTAGCCGTCGAGCCCGACACCTTTCTCTCTGGCCTCGAGGGCATTTCCGCCCTTCCTTTGACCCAGTATCACGCCTCGGCTGCCCTCAACACCCCCGGCATGTCCCTCCCTCCCATGGACCTCAACCCCCGCCGTGCTGGCTCAGGGAGGCTCTCGTACGAGGAGGAAACCAATCTTGTGAGTCAAAGCGCACACCACTACAATGGCGGATAGCTGATATGCCAGCTCGAAACCTACCTCGCCGAACTCATCCAGTATCTCGAGCCCTTTGCGTCGACTAGAGAGCACCCGACCCCCACACATCCGCCGCCCTTCCTCCACACGCGCATCTTGCGTCTGGCCGTAATCGTCCGCAACTGCGTCAAGGAACTCGAGCAGCGCTCGCAGCCATGTCTCGACGCAAAGTTTAGACACGCGCCACCCGGCATCGAACAGAGCGAGGCTGACAAGGAGATGGCGGCCATCCGCATCCGTCGGGAGGAGCTCACGAAGAAGCAGGACACGAAGCAGCGGAACGGCATCGGCGCGACCGGGGGACCCATCCGCCCTCCGCCTCCCCGTCTTCCTTCCAACATGGCGTCGAGCGCTCCGCACCCCTACCCCCACTCGCGGCCCCGCGAGACCATCCGCTGCTCGGGCTGCAACACGACTCAGTCACTCGAGTGGCTGACGGGCCCGGACGGGCCACACAGCCTGTGTCATTCTTGCGGTGTGAGTGTTGTCGAGCCGCCACATCTGTCCCCGACTGGAGCACTGCTAACCATTAGCACCAGTACGAAGTTCTTAATGCGCGCCAGGGCGATCCCGACTTCTCATCCATACCAGGTGAGCACATTGCGCCGGCCGCACCCACGAGCCTCCCAGCTCCCGCTAACATCAGTGCCGGGGCATACGGGACATAGTTCCAACCTCATCGGCCTCGGCCCTACGTAAAGGCGTGCGCATCTCAAGCCACGCCGGCAGCAGCGGCACCCCAACTTGGTCACCACCAACCCGTCGTTGCGCTGGTGCGCTTTGTCACTCGTTATATACATATTTTCAGGACAGACGACCCCTCCAGTCGCCAGGACAGTCTGTAGTGTTGTACATTCATCTTGGGTCATATCCGTCACTTTCCTCCCCTGTCTCCTCATGGTATCGATCCGTAACACCTGGTCAAGTTGCCATCTTGATTGGGTATTCTGATGCATACAACGGGTCGCGGCTGTACGACGCCGGTACCCGACCATACGGAACACGTGCGTGAAGAGACGATATATATCGATTATGGAGGCGTAGGCGGGAGCGAGACTTGTGTTGAGATGGGGTGTTGAGAGATTTGGTGCGCAGCACCGTCGTGGCAACAAAGTTACAGCGTGCAAACCCGAGCCATCTAGGCGTCGCCGAGCGGGCGCTGGATCTCCTGATAAATGAGAGCTGGAGTGAGTTTTATCACGCAAGCCAAGCCAAAGAAACTCACCCTTGAGCTGCTCTCTGCCAGGTGCGCTCTGGCGGTTCTCAAAGTCGAAGAAGTCGGGATGGAGAGGCTCGGCTCCCGGCTCGTCCGAAGGGTCGTGATACGGCTCGAGGTAGGGGTGCTCCAGGGCCTCCTCGACGGTGATGCGCTTGCGTGGGGAGAATGTGAGACAGCGGCGCATGAGGTCGAGCGCGTTGGGCTTGGCCTTGGGGCACATTTCACGCAGGTCGCGGCGGCGGTGGAAGGGCAGTGCACGGAGGTAGTCTTTGGAGCGCGGCGAAGTGATCTCGTTGAAGTCGTCCATTGTCGGCGTGCCGAGACACTCGAGGATCAGACTCAGCTGGTGGTGGTAGTCGCGTCCGGGGAAGAGGGGCTTGCCGTTGACTAGGGTTAGTGGCCCGCACGAAGCCAGGATGCAGGCTACTCACTCATCTCGGCGAGGATGCAGCCGACACTCCACACGTCGATCGCCTTGGAGTATTCCTGGAACGCTGCGGTTAGCGCAGGGTTTGGGGAAGAGCACGCGTGGCGCGGCACAAACGCACACAGCATAACTTCAGGTGCACGGTACCAGCGCGTCGCGACGTATTCTGTCATAAAGCCGTTGCCGCCGTTCGGCCCGGCATCGGGAGGCGGGAGGGCCGCTGAGCGCGCCAAACCAAAGTCGCAGATCTTGAGATCGCAGTTGGCGTTGAGCAGGAGATTGGACGGCTTAAGGTCACGATGCAGCACGTTGGCACTGTGCAGCGCCTTTAGTCCGCGGATCGTCTGGTAGAGGAAGTACTGGCAGTGGTCGTCTGACAGCTCCTGGGTGCGGATGACGCGGTGACTGGGAAATTAGCGGTGAGGAGAGAGGGGCGAGACAGGGAGGGGCGCATCGGTCCGACTGCGCGGGCGCTGCTCTCAAGCGCTGCAGAGTGCGGAGCTGGGCGCAAGCGCATCACGAGGCGGTGGAGTTGGGCATCCCGCGACAGCCGCATCGGCCGCCGGCGGGCAGCGGGCACTGACGGGCACTCACAGGTCAGTCTCCATAAGCTCCTGGACCAGGTAGACCTCGTGGAACTGATCAAAGCTAGGGGGCGCGATGATGTCGAGAATGGCGATGATGTTCTCGTGACTGCAATTCAGTATTCAGCAGCAGCAGCTTGCGTTCATAAGTTGTGCGGGGGCGCAGACGCGCCTGACTCAGCCGCCAGCGCTCCAGCCCAAGGGCGCGCGCTGCTTCACAGTGACGACCACTCACCGGAAGTGCCGCAGCAGCTTGATCTCGCGCAGGGTGCGCTGGCAGAACATTGCATGGTCAAACGGAGTGATGCGTTTGATGGCGACCTTTGTTCCCGAGGCGATGTGGACAGCCGAGCTGGCGTGAGCTGTGAGTTGGGGGGAGGCTGCAGCTGGCAGGGGTAGACGTACACGACGACGCCGTAGGCTCCCTCGCCGATGACCTCGTGCACTTTGTAGTGCTCTGAGACGTTGAAGGGGATGTTGGAGGCTGTCATGGTGGGTGGAGGGGGAGGGGGGGGAGGGGGGGGAGAAGGGGGGAAGGAGGTGGTGGTGGAGCAGAGGAGGGAGAGAGGGAGGGAGAGAGAGAAAGACGAGATGAGTCTTTGGAGGAGAGAGAGATGAGGAGAGAGAGTGAGAAAGAGAAAGAGAAAGAGGAGGATGAGTAGAGATGAGTAAGAGAAAGAAAGAAAGAAAGAAAGAGGAGGAGGAGGAGGATGAGTACGACGAGGATACGAGCAGAGTGGTGGCTGCGGGTGTGCGGGGAAGGTTGAGCTTAAGGTGAGGGAGGCTAAGGGACAGGGCAAAGTCGTGACTCTCTCTCTCAAACGCGCGTCGCCTCTGCTCTTCCTCTTTTCTTGTTCTCTCTCCTCTCTCCTCCTCTCTCAGCTTGACACACTCGTCTCCTCAACTTGAGCATTGTCCGTACACCCTCTAACATCCGCCTGTCCGGTCTAGTCGCTCTCCCCACCCTGGCCGCGCCGCACGGCACGGCAAAGCGGGAGCCAGGCGTCCAGGCGTCCAGGCGTCCAGGCGCGCGCGGCGCCACCTTGTCACGCTCAAGTTCGCGTTTCATTCCCTTCCTCCCCCCGTTCCTCCGTGCCTCTCTCTTTCTCTCTTCCTCATTAATCACTCAAACCATGCATGCAATCACCTCCCTCCTCACTCTACGCCCACCGACTCTTGGCCAGCGGATCATCCTTCTTCTTCCTCTCCCGCTTCTCAGGCGACCGTGTACGCGCCGGTGACACCTCGCGCTCTCGCTCACGGGCAGGAGGCGTCGAATCCCGTCGCCGACGCGGAGGAGTCGACTCGCGTGCCACACGACGCGGGGGCGTGTCGTCATCGCGTGCTGACCGCCGAGGGGGGGTGTCATCGTTGCGCTTCGCCCCGCGGCGAGGAGGCGTGTCGTCGTCACGGGCAGCACGGCGTGGAGGCGTTGTGGAGACATCACGACGGCGTCGGGGAGGAGTATCATCCCGCGCGCGACGAGGTGGCGTGTCATCCCGCGCACGGCGGGGAGGCGTATCATCCCGCGCCCGACGAGGAGAAATCTCGTCGCGAGTCCGACGAGGAGGCGTATCATCTCGCGCGCGCTTCACAGGCGAGATGCTGCGGCGCGGAGGTGGCGACTCACGACGACGAGGAGGGGACGGGCGACGCGGGGGTTCCTCGCGCCTCCGTGGGCTCGGCGACCTGCGGCGCGGTGGCGAGCGCTCGCGCTCGCGACCCCGCCCACTGTCCCTCTGACCATATCCGTCCCGCTGATACCCTCCGTCCCTCTGATATCCTCCGTCCCGCTGCCCACCGCGCTGGCCCCACCCGCTGTCGCGCTCGCGCGCAAAGCCGCCGCCGCCGCCGCCGCCTCCCCACCCGCCGCGACGCGGCTCCCATCCCCGGTCGCCGGCACCATACCCGTGGTCACCGCGGCCTCCGCGAGGCTCCCACCCGCGTCCGGCGTCGCGCCCGTCGCCCTGAAAGTCAGCACTAGCCGTGAACCCAACCGCCACGGAATCGGGTGGCATGATCGTCACAAGTCAAACGAGGCCACGGCCCTGCACGCTTCCATTCCGTTTCAAGCACTCACCCTCCCGTCGCGGCCGTTGCGATCGCCGATGGCGTCGGACCGCGCGCGCATCTGGCCCTCGAGGTCGCCGCTCGCGGCGTTCCCCGCGCGCGCAGCCTCGATCTCCTTCTTCTTCGCCTCGATGAACTGTCGTCAGCGCGGCCACACGCGCACTCACCTCCGCGGGGACGCCGCCGACCGTCGCCTGCGCGCTGAGCAACAGCTTCCATAGTTCGTCCATGAACGCCGCGGCGCCATACTTGTCCATAAATCCCACGAGGTTGACCTGCATCTTCTTCGGATCTGGGATCTGGTGTCAGCGGCGAGCGTACCTTCCCTCGGCGTGTGCTCGCCACGCCTCACACGCCCTCGCCTCAGCCTCGCCCACCTTCCTTTCGCCGGCGTCTGAGCTTCACTCACAGGCTTGTCCTTGTCCTCGAGCATGCTGTACACGTACTCGACGACGACGTCGTCTTCGACGCGCATGAGCTCGATGAGGCGCTTGGCGATCCACGGGCGCAGCACGCTGATGTTGACCTTGCGCAGGTCGACGCGCTCGGCGAAGTGCGCGGGGAACTTGGTCGCGCGGATGCTCGCCGCCTCCTTGTCCTTGAAGCGCGCGTCGGTGCGGTCCGCCATTTTGGATGAGAGTGGACGAGGGGCCCGAGGGGGGAGGGGTGGGAGAAGTGGAGTGAGTAGAGAGGATGGAGAAAGAATGCGCGGAGGTGGAGGGTGCCTCCATAGCGGGGGTATTTGAGTCTAGAGCTGAAGATGAGGTTCTGTGTCTAAACTCAAGTGTCCACGACCGTAATTTACGCTGAACCTGCTGCGACATGCAAGAGCTGCACAGCTGTTTCTCGCACGTCCCATCACATCTTGCACCTTCAATCCCAATATGGCCTGATATAGGATACTCAACTTCCCATCATGGTATTGGATACTCGTTCTCCTTCACCGCCCGACGCGAGATGTCTGCACGCGTGTGCAGACTCGTACACGCAACAAATGACTCGCGGCACAGACACTCAATCATCTCATGTCACCACATGCATACATACACTAGAATCCCTGACGCGACGCAGCGCCCATGTCGCTGATCTTGTTCTTGTGATCGACAGGACGCGGCGCCGACTCGTACACGATCGACGCATCCAGCTTGTTCGGGAGCTGACGTGAGCTACGCCGAGCTTGTCCCACTCACTGGCTTCCAACTTCCGCGCAGGCCGACGTAGTACACGCGCGTTGTCTCCTCGTCTTCTCCCTCGCTCTCGTTATGCGGGAAGAAGAGGGCGAGGCTGGTTACGGATGAGAACTTGGCCGCCCTGATGTCAGCTCGGCATGCACAGGACGCACTTGACCTGGTATTCGGCGCCCTCGCGAGCCTCAACGACATCGAACTGCTGCGTGGGTGTTCCGCTCTCTGCATCCGAAAAGTCCAGGCCGGCGGCGTTGGCGAACTGCATTAGCGACGCCTGATGGGTACGCACCACTCGCATCTCGCTTGGTCGGAACCCCTCCTGTCCCGCCTTGAGAGTGATGGAGCGCAACGATACACTAGCCGTGAACGGGACTGGGGTTAGTGTTTACATCACTGCGCAGCTCACTTTGCAGCAACAGCGAGTCGTCCAGTTCACTCTCGAGCCACTGCTGTCAGCTTCGCGACTTGAACACGCACAATCGTCTCGTCCTCGCGGCTCGCCCAGTCCCTGCTGTCAGCGCTGTTCAACAGCAAGCTTACTTGATAACCACCCGCCCCCTCTCCGCCCCGCCCTGGGCATTCAGCGCCACAACATGCTCCGTGTCAATGACCTTGTAGAGACTGTCCGCCGGCCCCGCTTCCATCGGGACATCGTGGTCGTGCCCCTCATGGTCGCCGTGGTCGTGGCCGTGGCCGTGGTGGTCGTGTCCAGCCTCGTGCGCACAGGACATTGTCTATGATTGAGAAAGATGGCGGGATAAAGTTGAGGGGAGGGTTGGGAGTAGTTGGGAGTAGTTGGGAGAATGAGGAGTGCGTGAGCGCTCTTAATAAGTCTACACCTTCACCAAGGAGTGATGGAGCACCTCCACCGGTGACGATCGTGCGTCCCGCCACACGCTCAATCCCCGCTTTCCCCGCCCGTCGCCTGGATCTTTCATCGCCGCCCAACGCTCTCCGCGATCCGCCACCCACACATCAACGCCATGTCCGCCCCCGCCCCCGCCAAGCAGCTCTACCTCGGCCCCTCCGGCGGCCAGCCCGAGCCCCAGGGCCTCTTCTCGTACATCTGGAACGAGCAGATCATGAACCCCGCCCACCGCGAGGGCAACCTCAAGTGCGTATGTCCCTCCACCTGGCGCGCTAAACTGCGCGGGGGAGCAGGAAGGCTTCGGAGAAGCACGGAGCAACTGGGTCCGTGCCGTGCTGACTTTGCAGCATCGCTCGCGCCGTCGGCCTGTTCGCCGCCGGCATCCTCTTCGTGCGCAGCGACCTCGCCTCGGCCCTCGTCCCAGTTTTCTAGACGTGAGTGCGCCGCAATGCGGGCGCTGACAGTAGGTGTAATCATACGATGTACAACAGTCATGCATACCACTCCCAGGCAGAGATAGGCAACTGTTCGCGGATACTATTGGCTTAAGACGGCGCAGGTACGGAAGCACGGCACGGTGAGGCCCAAATCAAGACGCGGTCACGGACGGTCATGGGAGCCAGATTCGACAGCTTGAAGCGGAGGCGGGGCAGAGACGCGGGGCGCAGAGCGGAGAGGGGGAGCACGGAAGAGACGCGGAGAGAGGCTTGACGCGAGACTGTGAAGTGACGTTGGCGGGACTTGCAGGAGTGGCGTGAACAGATCGGAGTGGCAAGGAGGCTGTGACTGGAGGAAGGAACGAAGGCGAAGGCGAAGGCGAGATGAGATATCGAGTCGAATCGACGCAAGACATGGCGGGAAACGGACGGCCGAATCACAAGCTGGGCACAAGGTGGTATGGGTATCGCAGGCGCAAATGTGGAACGGAGGACGAACGTGGCCTAGTTCTGGGTGATGAGGGCAACGAGGGCGTTCTCGTACTTGCCCGACGTCTCGCCCTTGACGCGAGACACGAGGTCGCGGCTGTACATCTGGCGGTACTGGTTCTTGACGAGCGCGAAGCGCTGGCGGTCCCAGTGCATGCGGCAGAGGCGGTAGCAGAGACGCTCGTCCTTGGTCCCCATGCCAGCCATGGCTGCTTCGAGGAGCATGGCGTCGCGGTGGACGCCGTTGCCGTCGGCCTCGGCGAAGCGCGCAATGTGCAGCAGCCCGTCGCGCATGTGTCCCGAGAACTCGCTCTCGATCATCTTGGACAGGGTGACGCGGTGGCGCTGGGGGAACCCGTTCGCAATCGCCTGCAGGTGCTGGTTGGAGCGCTGCAGCAAGATGCCGCAGATGCCGATCTCGTCCGTGCCGATCTTGCCGGGCCCAGCGCGGTACAGCGTGTCGATGTCCTGCTGCACCTGCTGGTGGTTGACGATGGGGTTCTCGTCGCGCGTCCCCGACAGCGCCATGTTGAACATGCGCTCCGTCTTCATGCTCAGCTCGCCGCGCACAACAGCCACCAGGTCCTTGTTGAACTGTCGCCGGTAGCCCTCCTTGAGGAGGAAAATCTCCTCGTTCGAGCGGCAGAGGAGCACCTCGTTGAGGAGATCTTCGTGTGTGCCCGCACCCTTGCACGCGCGGTTCAGCAGCCAGAGGTCGCCGCCCAGTGGGCCCAATGACTTGAGGCGACAGATGTACTCGAGCCTAATCTGTCAGCATGCTCTGATGCTAGGTGCGTCGACCCACCATGAAGACATCTCCTTCTCAATCGTCGTCTTGAGCGAGCGGCCGGTCTGCTGCTCGTACGTGCGGCTCAGAACATCGACCTGGAACGCATCCAGGGGCATGAGCGTGTTGATCACCGTGTTCTCGTCCGTGCCAAAGCCCTGTGCGTCAGCAAATCTGTCAGCGCGACTAGGCGACAGCGGTGTGGCCACCGCTTAGGTCTCCTGGGAATTGTGATACACACCTTGGTGGCCTTGCGGATGCGATCCGCGTCAAACTGCGCGTTGTAGTTGGGCAGGTTGGCGAGCGGCGGTGCGGGCGGAGGCGCGGGGATCTGCACACCGAGGAAGCGCGGTCCGCCCGCTGATGGCGTGAACGCCGGCTGCGCCTGGTATCCGCCTGCTGGGTTGCCGTACTGGCCCGGAGGGTTGTACGCCTGTGTGGCGCCGTAATGCTGCTGCTGCTGCCCATACTGCGTCTGCCCGTACTGCTGCTGCCCATATGGCTGCTGTGCGGGTGCGCCATACGATTGTGCGGGAGCACCATATTGTCCCTGGGGAGCGCCGTACTGCGTGGGAGGCGAGCCGTACTGGTTGTGCGCGGGTGCACCGTACTGCGTTTGTGCCGCTCCATACTGGGTGGGCGCGGCGCCGTACGCGCCTGCCGGCGGCGCTCCGTACTGATTTGCCGGTGGAGACCCGTACTGTGTAGGAGGCGAGCCATATTGCGCAGGCGGCGCACCGTACTGGCTCGGGGGAGCACCGTACTGGTTTGCGGGGGGAGCGCCGTATTGGTTCGCGGGCGCGCCGTACTGGCCTTGAGGCGCGCCGTACTGGTTGGGAGGTTGGCCATAGGGCTGCTGGTTGTATCCTCCTCCGTACATTGTCAGTAGAGGAGAGGTGTTGGGGAGCGGGCGAGTGTGTGTGTGTGTGAAAGAGAGAGGGAGGTGGAGCAGACTAAACTTGCGTCGAGGCGAGTGTTCAAGTAGTCGGGAGAGAGTTGAGAGAGAGACAAGAGATGACAAGAGATGGCGGTGGCTGTACAGTGTGGCTGTATGCAGGTGGGGTGTGAGCGAGTTGTGTCATGCCAAGCGCCAATCAGGCACAGCTCGCAGAGTGGCAGGGGATGTGGTCATGGGGCGGTGTCCCCCTGCATCCAGGATGCTCTGCAGTCAGCAGGTCTCCAGCGGCCACAGCGGGAAGCCGCAGCCGAACAGGCGACTCAAACCCTCGTCTCGCACGAGCTGCATAGCCACCTCGTCGATTCCTTGCCGAGTCAATGAAGCGGACATGCCGGACACATCTTCGGCTGCACCGCCATGATGAACATTGCGTGGCGGCCACATCAAATGTCGCCGATGCCACGCTATGTTCGCCGATAATGATGCGGAGATGCAGTGGCAGCCACCATCAGGAACAATTGCCATCCGGTGCTTAAGCATCATCTCGATCTACGATCGACCGTCTCGGCCCAGAAGCAGCGCTCATGATGTTCTAATCAATAATCAAGGGACGCCAGCGCGCTGGGGCGGTGAGCAATGAGCAAGTGGAAGGGCACAGAATGGAGAGGACTGTCGCTGATCATCATGCTAACGCCTCGCGTCTCGGCTTGTCGCTATGCGTACCTCGGCGGACGTACCCGTGCCGAACACAGGCCGAGGTTGGGTGTGTCGCCCTCCCGCGCTAATGAAAAGCATGTGAAGCGCATGGCCCTGCGAAGCGATCTGTCAGTGAGTCACAGTGTATTCCCGGGCGCGGGCAACAGATAGGGAACGCAAAGAAGCCGACTGCTGTGGAAGATCGATGATAATGGCATGATATGAGGTACAGTGATGCGTCTACCGGTTCTTAGTTTGCCTGCTGTCAGCGACGTTCGACGCATACGAGTTGATCGGCGCTACCCAAGCAGAGCCACCCGCCACACTCACCTGAAGGTGAACTTCTTGCGCGTCAAGCTAAACTCGCCGAGCTTGTGCCCGACCATCTCCTCAGTGACCGTGACAGGCAGGTAGTCCTTGCCGTTGTGCACCATGAACTTGAGCCCGACAAAGTTTGGCACGATTGTGCACGCGCGCGACTTGGTGTAAATTGGGGTGTTGTTCTTCATGGCCTCCTGGAGATTGGGGAAGGCCGTGAAGTAGGGGCCTGGGGTTAGCCTGATCGTAATGAGATGCTGGCGGATGTGATTCCGTCGTCTTCAACATGAGGCCAGCGCTCAACCAGCACGAGTCCGGCGCGTACTGAGTCAGAGGAGACGCAGCAAAGGTGAGACTCGCTGCGCGGTGAAGTCTGAAAAAAGGTGGGGAAGCACCGAGCTGGCCTCACCCCCCCTATGTCATGCCACACCTCTCCGTGCTCGTCGCCAATCGAGTCCGCCGCGACTCGTAACAATATAGTACCGCAGTCCCACGCCGTTTAAGAGGTGCATCTCCTAGAGCGCGGCGGTGCGTGCGCCGCTGCGGTCATGTGCACAGCGCCCGCGAGAGCCGGGGCCCAGACTCGGCATCCGCGCAGCGCACGCCATTGAGCGCTGCGGAGACAGCAGCGATCCGCGAGGACGCGCGAGATCGCGTCAATTGGCGACTCGCGGGGCAGCCGAGTCGGAGACTGCGCACGTCTGGGCAGAACATGGCCTCGAGCGCGCTGCAACGACCTTCCTCGGCACATTGTCGGTCGCTCACCCACCCCCACCGCACTCTTGCTCCCCTCTCTTGCTCTCTCCATTGCCCTCTCTCGCCCTCTATCACGCCCTCCCACTCACCCTTCCAGGTAGACCGGCGGAGCAGCGCGACGGTCGGACGCATGTTGTCGTGGATGTCGAGTACGCGACATGCCAACGACCAACGAACGCCGACTTTTTCCTCCACCGGCGGAACCAATTCGCAACATCCCGGGTGCGTGCCGTCATACATGGACTCGCAGGCAGCTTACAGCTACCCACTCCGCGATCCGCTGCAAGCTCAACACATCATGGCAGGGTTCCTCCTCGGCGCTGGGTCCGGCGTGCTCGCCGGCGCGGCCGTGTACTACACCATCTCGACGACGATTGCGCACAGCACCGACCAGATCCGCCGAGAGTGAGTGTTGCGAGCTGGCTCGGGGACCCGTCGCTCGCGCTGCGATCATGCTGGCTACGGCTGGCTCGTTGCTGGCTCCCCAGTGCTGGGCTAGACTGCTGCTGACTCACAACCTGCTCCGCCTGCTACACTGCACACCCGCTAACCCAAGCCTCCACAACTCGGCCGTACTGCTCGAACGGAGCTTTGATGACACGCCTGGGCCCGCGCCGTCGTCGTTCGTTGGGCCGCGTCCGGGGCCACCCGCCTTCTCCGAAATCCTCAAGCAGCGGTGGAACCAGGCGCTGGGCGGCGCATACGCGCACGCGCGCGAGACAGACTGGCTCGCGCTCGGCGGGGAAGCGGTCGAGGGCGTGCGGGGCCAGATTGCCCGGCTGACGGCCGCGGCGGACCAGACTGTCGTGGACGCGGATGCGGCGCGCGCGGCCGCCGCTGCCGCGCAAGCGACGGCGGTCGTCGACGGCGGAGCGAACATCGCCGCCTTTGACGCCGCAAAGCAGGAGTCGGAGGGGCGGTATGTCGGCGACGTGCATGTCGACCGCGGACTCAAGGCGTCAGAGCGCGGCGTCAAGAGCCCAAAGCGCCTCGTATAGATGCATAAAATAGGACCCAGAGCAGACTCGCTGCTGGATCATGGTGGTAATGATACATTGGGGCTAGTAGCCGCTCCGCAGCTGCTCTTGCTTCTCCTTGATAAAGTCCTTCATGGCTTCGCGTGAGTCAGGATCCACGAACAGAAGCTTCTCCTTCGGTAGCGCCAGAAGCACGACGCCCATACGCGTCGCCTCGTCGCGCGCCTCGTCGAACAGCTCTTTTGAGAAGAACTCAAACATGACCGCTTCGCTGTCAGTGGTAGCTTTGTGGCTGGCTTACACTCTTTGTCGTCGAGTCGGTTGCGCTCGCGATCCCACAAGTGCAACTGGTCTGTGATCGACGCGTGGAGTAATGGCGGTGGGTGGTTGAACATTTGCGGATGTGCGTGACTCGTGAGGTATGAGATGATCTGCGAGGCGGAGATGCCCTTGTCCATGGCCTGCTTGACATTCTGCCGGTCAAGCTTGCCGACAACAAGGTTGGGGTATCGGATTTTGATGTCGACAAAGAGGTTGAGGATCTCTATCTCCAACTCGTTGGCTTGAGGTCAGCTCAAAGTCGAAATGAAGCTCACAAGTGTAGGCATAAATCTTGTAGTTTGTCTCCAAGATCAGGAAGCGCTTGTCATCAGCGCTCCGGGAACGCGACTCGGACAGATCACCCGAGCACAGCGAAGTCGCCAGGTGAGTTGGGAAGAACTGATCTGGCGAATGTGGAGAGCGGTAAATAAACCCGTACTGCTCTAGGTCTTCGAGGATATCCTGGCTGCGAGGGAAGCTCTTGGAGGCAGAGTAACATTGCCCAAGTTGCATGCACCCAAGCGAGAAGAAGACGGTCAATACGTCCGCTGCATTCTCGCCGCGAGCCTGTTTGCCGACAATGTAGGCCACAAGGATCTGCCACAGCTGTGTTTGTCGGTCCTCGAGCAAGAACGAGAAACCCTCGGCTGTGATATCGAGAGTCTCATACGAGCGGTGAGCGGTGGGGCGTCTGAGAAGGTCAGCTAACGTTGATGCTTCGGCTCACTTATCCCTCAGAAGTCCTGCGTTGCACAGCAGGTCCAACACTGCGTTCTGCGGCCTTCGTCGACTCTTTCCTGAGGACACCATGTACTTGAGAATGGCCTGCGGTCAGCGGGATATCCACCACCGACTCACCTCCCAGGAGTCCTCGCCATGACCAATCAAGTCTTCCTGGCTGGGCGCCTGGCCCCCACCCTCAAACGGTACGCCAAATGAGTTAGACGTCCCCCTTCCTGTCAGCTTGAAACTCATTGAAGAAGTTCTCCTCCTCGACGCACTGTCCGGTAAGAACATTCCTCATGCCGCGCTTGAACGTATCCCTCAGTGGCCAGTGGAACTTGGGCGCCTTCGTACCCTTCTGCGAGAGCGGGTGGAATATGTGCCGCGCGAGGGCCGGACGCAGGATCTCCTCGGCTCTAAAAGTTAGCCATCGGTGAGTGAGCCGATCTCACGCTTCGGGAGGAAGACGCTCGTCCATCCCGCAAAAGGCCTTCAGCTCCGAGCTCTTCAATGTCTGGTGCGACCACAGTACGTGCAAGATGATCTGTCTGCACACGGGAGGCAGCAGCCTGAGGCCGGTCAGCACAGCTCGCGCGGGGATTCACCTTAGCATACAGAGACACGATGCTTCTGACTGGTATATTGCCTCGTAGAAAGTTGCAGGCTGGCTGTCGAGGAAGCGGTCCAAGGGCGCTGTGGGCGATGGGCCTCCCGCTTCACCATCGGCATCGATGCGCGAGGGGTCGTTGAACGACGGCAGGACCATCTTGAGATGTTGAGGTCGCTGCTGAAGAGCCCTAGACTCCAGGGGGGTTGAGAGGGTGACTGCACTGGACAGATGCGTGAAGTTCAGATACTCGTGAGTATCAAGTTGAGTGGCGTCAACCTCCACAATAGTCGTCATGGTCAACGGAAGCAAATTGACTGCGATGCCGAAATGCGAAGTGCAGTTGCAGTGTCGAGTGAGGCAGAATGCAAAGTATGCATACAACCTGCAACCAGAATGCGATCATTCCGTCTGACACCTACTTCTTGACCGGACTTCAGATCCGCCAAAACGGATGCGCCAAGTATACCTAACCAGCTAGCTACATCTGCTACGCCATCGATCCATCGGTAAACTATGTCAATCGCAAAGTGTAGCAGCGCCCAGGGCAACCTTCGAGTAGGAGGAGGGTATACGGTATATGTAAATAGCGCATGACTGCGCCATGAGCGCCGAATGAGTTGTGGGCTGTATCGACAAAGCGCAAGGGCCAGACAACGAAACGTAGTATCGTCTAGTTTGTGCCCTACTGATATCAGAATCTGTGCCCGGCAGCGTGGGCGGCAAGCATTCTAACCGATGAGGCGAATAGTCTGAATTTCTCGGCTGCTCGATCGTATAATGAGATCTGGAGTCACGGGCTGACGACTTCCCGCGACTTTTACCCAAATAGCCCGTCGCTCGCTTGAGAAGGGGATCTCGTGACCGGCCGGCACCTCCGGCGTTCCTCGACGATCTATCCGCCAAACATGTCGATCTAAAACAATTAAAAGCTGGAAAGATACGCGAGATAGTGGGCTATTATTAGGAGCTTGGGAGCGCGATACGTGGGGTTGCCAAGATTCCCGATGTTCCACACCAGCATGCTTGAGAATAGAGCAGCGATGGCATGAGTCCGCATTGTTGCATCTTAAACCTGGGAGACTATGCTCGGCGAGAGCCATACAAAGATCGAGCTCAAGAAACGAGCGTTACAAATTGCAACAATCTTGAGATTATTGTGGTATTATGACTAGTTGGTGAAGAGGATACGGAAAATGCGCTTGTAGAGAGGAGCGGCAGCACGCTCGGCACGCCAGGCGCGCATCTCCTCGACGGTGAGCCACGACTTGCGGCCAGTGTCGAGGTCGATCTCGTGGACCTTCTTGGGAAGGGTGCGCTTCCAGAGGAAGCCGACGAGCCAGAAGCCGAGAATGACCGGGGCGGCGAGGTACGAGAGGAAGAAGGCCTCGGCGGCAGCGCCACCCGAGGGCTTGGGGCCCAGAGGCCAGACGGCGATGTAGAACTGAGCGATGAGGACGAGGACAATGAGGACGGCGCCCAGGACCGAGCCCCACATGCCGCCGAGAGCCTTGAAGGGAAGCTCCTCAACCGAGTGACCCTGGGCCTTCCAGGCCTGGCGGAAGCGGATGTGCGTGACACAGATGGCCAGCCAGGTAAAGAGCGTGGAGAGACCCGAGAGGGCAAGAAGCCAGTTGAAGACCGAGTCACCAACATCGGCAAGGTTGACGTAGGCGAGGGGGCCAAAGGCGACGATGAAGACAACCGACCAGAGGGGGCGACCAGCCTTGTCAACGTAGGTGAAGATCTTGGGGGCGTAACCAGTCTCGGCAAGAGCGGTGAGGGTACGCGAGCCGGCGTAGACACACGAGAGACCGATGGAAAGAACCGAGATACAGATAGTGATGTTGATGAGGTGGTTCATGCCCTTGATGCGAGCCTTGTCCATGACAATGACGAAAGGCGAGGTGTCGGCACCCGAACCGCCCATAAGACGGGGCTCGGTGTAAGGAACGGCGAGGCCGATGATGAGGAGCGAAGTGATGTAAATGACAGTAATACGCCAGAAGGTCTGCTTGATAGCGGCAGGCATGGTCTTGCGGGGGTTGGGGGTCTCAGTGGCGGCAAGACCGACAAGCTCGGTACTGAAGTCGTCAGCTACAGCACTTGCACAATAGCGGTCCATGCTACTCACCCGGCGAAGGAGAAGGCGGCAGTGACGAACACCGCGCAGACACCCTTGAAGCCATTGGCAAATGCACCGGGGTTGTACCAGTGGGCGGCACCGAGGTACTTGTTGTAGTCACCGTTCCGGGGACCACCACCGACAATACAGACAATACCGATGATGATGAAGATCACGACAACGGTAAGCTTGAGGCACGAGGACCAGAATTCCTCCTCAGCGTAGCCGAGTGTGCCAAGAACCGCGAAGAACTGGGGAGGGTCAGAATATGAGGGCACACGAGCAAACCCAGTCATGGCACTCACGATAATGAGAAGGAAGAAGATGGTAATCCAAGCGCCGAGTGGTACTGGAGTGTCCCAGTACTGAACAGTAGTACCAGCGACAGTCTGGAGGGTCAGAAGCACTCCCAAGTTGGATGCTCACAATTTCAAGAGGAAGAACGACAGCCCACTGGAAAACGTAGTTCCAGCCCATGGCGAAAGCGAACGAAGGGTCAAGCATACGAGATGCCAGAGTGTAGAAACCACCAGAGACGGGGTAGAGAATAGCCATTTCACCGAGAGCCTGAGTGACCTGGATGTCAGCGCCGGCGTCGTTTGAAGAGCAAACTTACGTTGATAAGCATCACACCGATGATCAACCAGGCAATCAGGACACCAGCGGGGCCACCCTTGACGAGAGCGGAACCCGAACCAACGAAGAGACCAGTACCAATCGAACCACCGACAGCAATCATCTGCAGGTGACGAGGCTTCATCTTCTGCTGGAGCAGCGGGTTGTCGTGGGCGACAAGCTCGGGGGGAATGTCACCGTGGGCGACAAGACCACTGAAAAGGTGTCAACAAGACGGCCCCGGCAACATGGCGCATTCAAGGCGCATCAACAAAAACTCACCGAGTAGTACCAGGCGCACGCTTGAAGGACTCAAAGTTGAGACCGGCGCGCGTCATCATCGTCTCCTTGGACGGGTCGTAGTACTCCTCGTTGTCGGCCATGGCATCGTAGGCGGGAGACACGACAATCTTGCCGGTCTCGGCCTTGTGGACCTTCTCCACGTCGTCGTAAGACATGGTGGGTAGAGAGTGTGTTTGTTGAAGGGGGGTAGAGAGATGGGGGCTTGCTGGAGAAGAGTCGGCCAGCACTATAAGGAGAGAAGAGCTGAGATGAGGCGATCTGTGCTGGTTATAAAGTGTCCGGGACGGGTATGGGCAGAGCAGGTCGGGGAGAGGGAGATGATGGAGACGCCGGGGGATGAGCGGCTGGGCGAGTGTGGGGCGAGTGGTGAGCGAGATGGGCTAGCTTGCGGATAACAGGGAGACCGGGGGGGGGGTGTGGAGAGGTTGGGCAGGTTGTCATCCTCTGGCCTCTGACTTGCTGCGCTCCACCTCCCTTGCACCTCCTCCCACATCTCGCCAAGGTCAGGCGCCGAACCGAACGTCTTGCTCTCCCACAAAGGCGTTATCGCTCAAGCGCCAACCAGGTCCGGGCTCTGCTTTGGCTTATCCTCCCCGCGCTCCCCCCACGATGCCTCCAAGCCTCCAAAAGAGCAACATGGTCCCAACCACCAGCCCCGACCGACCGACGACCTGCCGATGTGCTGGCCTCCTACTCGCCTCCACACATTCCGTCGTGATAACGCCCGGACCCTAGGCATCGCGAACGAACAACGCGGGCACCAAGGATGCCCCAGGGGGAATAATAGGGACTCTAGGCCCCGCCTGCAATTTACCGCGGATGGAGCCTCTGCTCAACTGCCACACGCACTGCGTCAGTAAGCTTCGTGATGTAGGATATACAGGGCGTCGATCATTTACGCTGCCCAGTGAGGCAGGAGGGCAATGTAGAGCCGCGGGGCTTGTCTGTGGGCATCCCCGCCTCTCATAGGTCAGCTGACATCGCGACGACCAATGCCAAGCCGCCACTTATGGAGCCTGGCCCACCATTTCATGCTGACATTGCTGCGGTCTACTGGGGTTCGAGTACGTTGGTTGGCCTTGAGAGCCGCAGGACGGGTTGCCCCGCGCCGCGCTCCCCCTACCCGCGTCGTTTACCTGAGAGCCACAAGGGCGCCACAAGGGTTTTGACGAAGTGCACCATGTGGTCCATGTGACTGAAACAGCCACCGTGCATTCAGCCCGCGGCGTGCCCGTATGGAGCTCGAGCATGGTCGAATGATGGGACGTGGGGAGCTGTCGTGGACCGCGGTGGGACGGCAGCACGCGTGGTCGGAGATGGAAAACTCGAAAAATGCCAGGTGGCTGACGAGAGGAAGACAATCGGCCAAGACATTGTCTCGTTAACCGTGCTGCGGGGTCCGTGCCTCAGGCTCACGTACATGGGCTACAACTCGCGCACACGCCGTCGGCTCGCGATCCTGCAAGCTGCGACGCCTGCTGAACGATCTCGAGCATGCATGCCAGCATCGGGGCTCGCCGCATTCGCCAGCTCACCGCCGGCTTCAACCTTCGCTTGACTGTCGGCGTGAGTCTGACACGGCACCGGCACCGAAAAAACGCACGCCCCGAGGCCATCAACGCACTGCACCGATGTGCGTGAGAAGCCTGTGCTCGGAAAAACAACATGCGTCAGAAGTGACTGCCGCATGAGATCCTCGCGCATGGGCAAGCCCGCCCCGCCCGGAGCTTGGAGAGCTCGCACGCGATGCGAGCAGACAACCGGTCGCGCGAGCTATGTTTGCACGCGGCGGCGGCAAGGCTTGACGCCACCATCCATTGACGCCCAAGGTGTCCCAAGGAGGTTATACCGAGGGTCGCGTTTCGGCGGCGGCACTCCGTTAAACACCTTGAGGGAACGATGGACACTCGCTTGTCATCCCTTTCGCGGTCGCAAGTACGCGCTCGCATTTGTCCAATTGCCCGACAATCCGACGAACATCTCCCAGCGCATTCCCCGTACGCTGGCGCGATGCTCCTAAACCTCACAAGAAACGGCTCTCATAGGTTGCAGACGGGATGCGGCTGACGTGTCTGTCCTTGCGGTCGGCCGGCACTTGCCTTGGGAGCGCATGCGTCCACGCCATGATACCATGAGGATCTTGAGCTGAATCTCCAGGGTCGGGATGCCCCGCCATGAGATCCGACCAGATCGGGCCACATTGTTCTCGGCACGCCGCCCTGAGTAGAGCCGATGGCTGCTGTCGATCTTCCGGGCGGCAAGCACCGAGGTTCCGAGACGCTTGGGCCGCAAGGCCAAATCAGCCGCCATTGAAATGTTTACCCAAACATGTAAAATGCCGGCGATGTGGCAAACACGGCCTCTGAGCCGGCGGTGACACCGCGGCAGCGCCGAGGGAGTGTGGGCAGGGGCTGCCACGAGGCGAGGAGACGTGTCGTGTGCATGTCTGCACGCACGGTGAAGATTGGGATGAATGATATCGAGGTTGCGATAGGTGTCGGCGAAGATGGATAGGACGACGTATCTGTTTGAGATAACGCTGGGGCGGTGTCAGACGAGTCGCGGGAAGCGGTCTATATGTGTGGACCGAGCCTGGGCAAGCTGACATGTGCGTGAGACCCAAATCGGGACCAGGGGGGCTGCGGCCTGGCGGGCAACTAGACACAAAACAGAGTGCCTTAGCGATAGGACGTCTCGTGGCGGGAGATCGAGATAGCGGGAAAATGCGATCATCTGCAGCCGAGATGGATGTACCCGTCACAGTCAGCGATAGAGGGGTGGCACACTGCGTGAGCAGCCCCCAAGTTGCCCGCGCCCGCCATGCCGCTGACCCCTGGCTCAGAACCGCGGGTGGCCCATCAACCTCATGTGCGATGATCTCGCGAACCTTCTCATGTCTGCTCGATAGGTGTTTGGCCCATCACGGGACTGTGGCGTGTGACTGGCGGAGGGTTTGGCGGAAAGGGGAGGGGGTTTCGGTCGTCATTGAGAGCTTGGGAGGAAGAAATGGGTGAGGGGGGACCTCGTCAAGTCAGTCTTCGTCGTTGCCTCTTTAACGGGCGAGGATTTTCCGCAACGACTCGAACAAACGTTCGTGACACCCGCCCCCACCCTGTATTCGACAAGCACGGCGGCCCGAAACGAAACCTAGAGTACCTCTCACACCCAAACAGAGCACATGCTGGACGGCGTAACGGCCGGAGCTACGAGTACAGCGGCCAAGCCCCTTCAGCGCTTGTACACCGCTCCCTTTGTGCCCCGCACTGGGGCCCATTTTACAAGTTGGTGGACTTTAAAATTCAACGACGTGGTGGCTGGAGAGAACAACGGCCGAGACGCCGCACGGACTCGGCGGAGTCAGCCGCACCCTGTATTATTAACAATCAATTTCGGTTGCCGTCTGGATTAATGCCGGATAATCGACACATAACCTCAATGGGCCTCGGTTCGATTCAGACGGAGGAGATGAGCAAATACACACTTTGTGCTGGCTCCCAAGCATGTGCTTGTTCCTGTCGTATGCCCACCCGACTCCGCGTCGTATTCACACCGGCTCTCCACCGATGATTAGCGCCTACTCGCGCTCCTGTTCATGGGCAACGCCGAGCCATGTATGGGCAACATCGCTATCTTGCATTGCCCACACTCAAAGCAGCTCAGCTGCTACTTAGACCTCCTCCTCCGCCCCGCGCAGCTCTCTCCGCCTCCCTAACGAGTTTGACAGCTCGCGCTTACTCGACATTCAAAATGCCTTACGAAGCGCGTCAGCTCACGATCAACGCCAAGCGTCTCAACGACACGATCCACGAGACGTGCGAGTGGGGCGCCGCTCACCGCTGGGGCGAGTGAGTGCTGCTGGCGCTGGCGCGGCTGCCAGTAATAAACTGACGGGCAGCGCCCCGACCGAGACTGGCATGTGTCGCCTCGCACTCTCAGACGACGACAAGCTCGTTCGCGACTGGTTTGTCAAGGAGATGAAGAGTCTCGGCTGCGAAGTCAAGATTGACCAGATGGGTTCAATCTTTGCCATTCGCAAGGGCAAGAAGGATGGGCCTCCTACGGCTATGGGTTCTCACCTTGACACGCAACCCACTGGCGGCCGCTACGACGGCATCCTCGGCGTGCAATCGGCCGTCGAGGCCATGCGCACCATTCATGAGGCTGGACTGGTCACAGAGTTCCCCATCGCTGTGGTCAACTGGACGAACGAGGAGGGAGCGCGTTTCCCCAAGTCGCTCCATGCGTCCTGCGTGTGGTCCGGCGAGCTCACCCTTGAGGACGCGTATGCGCTGTGTGACGTCGCCAACCCCGGCGTGTCGGCTGGAGCCGAGCTTGACCGGATCGGCTACAAGGGCTCCGTCCCTGCGTCGCACAAGGCCAACCCCCTCGCTGCCCATTTTGAGCTCCACATCGAGCAGGGCCCCGTCCTCGAGAGCCACAACCAGCGCGTCGGCGTCGTCCAGGGCGGCCAGGCGTACAAGTGGTTCACCATCCGCGTAAACGGCCGCGACTCGCATGCTGGTACCACGCCCTTTGATTACCGTGCCGACCCGATGCTGGCCGCCTCGCAGTTTATCGTCGCCGCTCACCAAATCGCCAAGGAGCACCACGGCCTCGCGACTACCGGTATCTTCCACCTGCAGCCGGGGTCGATCAACACGATCCCGAACGTCGTCGAGTTCACTCTCGATATCCGCCACGTGGACGACGCGCAGCTCGCGCTGATCGAGAAGGCCATCCGCGAGGCGTCCGACAAAATCGCGGCCAACGACAACGCGCGCTACAAGTGCTCGATTGACTGGGAGGTTCTCTTCGACAACCCGGCCACCAAGTTCCACCCGCTGTGCACCGGAGCTGTTGAGAAGGCTGCGTGCGCTTCAGTGCCGTCCGAGCAGGTCCGGAAGATCGTATCAGGTGCTGGTCATGATTCTTGTGCCACGTCCCGCATCTGTCCCACCGGCATGGTGTTTATCCCATGCCGCGAGGGCCTGTCGCACAACCCTCGCGAGTACTCGACTCCCGAAGACTGCGCACTGGGAGCCCAGGTGCTCATGGACGCCGCGCTGCTGTTCGACTCTCAGCGGACGGCGTAGGCGGGTCTCACGACGAGATTGTAGAGGGCGAGAGAACAGTGGTGTCTAGCACAGAAAAGTGGTCGGTAGTTGTTCTGATTGGAGTGTACATTGTAGACATCTTGACATGCGAGCGAGTGGGAAGTGAGCACAGTGCAAAGGGAGGAGGCCAAGATTGCTTTATGCGGAACTGTCGACGGTGCAGTTTCTCTGCTTCGAACGCACGACCTCCACACCACGAGTTCAGCTGCAATGCTCAGCAGTGCTGTCTCATGACCTTGTCGCTCCATGGCCAAGAATCGACGCAAAGACATGGTTGCCAACATGCTCGCCACAGTCTGAAGAGCTGAGCAACTTTACCCCACACTGCAGATCAGCTTGATGATAGTACAATTAATGAAAGTAGAATAAGTCATGAGAACGCCACGTTCCAGGCACCGGGAACATCTTGCACCTCAGGATCGTCTCCGCAACGCGGCCTGAGCAACGACCATCTCCATCCCAGATCTTCCCGCGCTCTCAACGCCTCGTCACTCTCAACTCCCAACTCCAACTCTCTCACTACCATGAGGACATTGCAGGCCCTCATGGCATTTGCCCCTCCACGGCGGCAGATGCGCTGGATCATGATACTCAGCATCTGCGCCGTCGTCATGTTCTTCCTTTCAGAACAGAGGGTGGGTTTCTGCCGGACTACTCTGACTTCGCGCTGACACCCAGCAACTCCATGCCAGCCCAACAGGAGAGACCTGGGACTGGGCAGACTTTCGGGACGGCGCCGTGGTGCCGAGCGTGCATGACCTTGATGGCTACGGGGGCGAGCAAGTGCACGCCTCAGCGAAAGGGCGCGTCCTTGTGACCGGTGGTGGAGGCATGATCGGTGAGACCCGACCACGCGACGCCGCTCACACCCAGGCAAGCAAGTGATAGCGCGTCTCCTGACGGCTGGGACGCCCATCACAGTACTGGACAAGATCTTCTTTGAAGACGAATTGATGGCGTTACAAAGGAAACACCCAAAGACCGACCTGCGCTATGTGGAGGGCGACATCCGTGACGCGACGGCGCTCGCTTCCGCCATGACATCCGACGTCGTCGGTGTGATCCATCTCGCCGCAGTATCTCGCGTGCTATGGTGTCTGGAGAACGAGAAGGACTGCGACGATGTCAATGTGCGCGGTACCCAACTTGTTTTAGAGGCCATGAAGGGCGGGTGGTTCATCCAGGCCAGCTCGCGTGAGGTGAGGTCTCATGTCCCGGCGCAAAGCTGACTGCCAGGTGTACGGTAACCCCGAGAAAATGCCTGTGCCAGAGGACACGCCACACAAGCCGGCCAACGTTTACGGCAGCTCGAAGGCCAGGGCGGAAGACGTGATCACGTCGTATGTTGCCAACGTCACAGCGAGCGGCACCAAGGATATCAATGCCATCATGCTTCGCCTGTCCAACGTTTACGGAAGCGCGGCTGACCACCGCGAGCGTTTAATCCCTGCCATCATGAGCAACGCGCTAGCGCACCGCCCCATCCAGATCGTCGGTGGTGATCAGAACGTGAGTGGCTATCATGTCCGGCAGTCTAACCGCAGCTCGACATGGTGAACATTCGTGATGTGGTTAACGGCTTTACTCTCGCTGTCAACAGGTTGAATGAGAAGGCTATGGGGCCTGAAAAGAAGCGCGGCGAAGTCGAGGTCTATAATGTCGGCACCGACAAGTCAACTTCAGCGATGGAGCTCATCCGCAAGATTCTATGGCTCACCAACTCATCTTCGCCAGTACAGACCTTGCCCGGCGACAACCGCTTCCCCGATCGCTATGTAGGGAGCACTAAGAAGTCGTTAGAGGTGCTTGGATTCAAAGCAGCTGTCCCTATCGACGAAGGCCTCCACAGCCTCGCCCTCCAGTATTTGGACGAGACATTGCTCTACCTCCAGCGCAAGCAGCTGTCCCAATGCACTGGGCGGCGAAAGTATTCTGTCGACGACCTCCTATTCCTGGATGGTTGCTCTGGAGTCGTTGCGGCCGACCTCGAGGGCCAGCCGTTTTATCCCTTTTACGACCAGGCGAAGGATGATAAGCCGGCAGAGTTCGGGTGGCGGGATGGCGACGAGCCACAGGACTGGAAGTTTGAGATCAAACCGCTCGGCAAGGGCGCCACCCTGCTGCTCACTCAACACATCAAGGAGAAGAAGGACGACAAGGTCGTTCGGGAATACGATGTCAATTTCCAGTCTTCTTCCGCCACCAACAGTCCGAACAGTACCAACCGATTTGCGATGGAGATCGCTCCCGACTCCGGGTTCATCAGCCTCACCCAGTCTAATGGATCTCCGCTTGTGCCATGGGATCCGCGTCCGCCTCCAGGAAGGCGAGACCAGATGCCCGACCCTTCCATGACCGACTTGGGCAAGTTCCGTTTCCGCATCACACCTTTTTGCTGTCCCGGAAAGCCCGCGCCATGGCCCTTCTTCCGTGACGACCCGCTGGCATCAGCGATCCTTGATATGCGCCTCGAGAACAAGCGCATCTTCAACGCTTCGCAGATCACAACGCTTTGTGAGCGACTGCAGGACGCGGAGAAGCTCGCCAAGTCCCGTATTGAGGCGCTTAACACCGACCCGAGGCCCATACAGTTGCAGCAGGCCCCTTTTCCCACCGGTCGCCCAGCAGACTGGCGCTTCCGTGACCGCGACGTGTGCACCAACCTTTGCGACCACCCGACAGTTTGCCTCGACACTGGCAAATGTGCCTGTGCTCAGGCTGCTTGCTCTCGTCGTCTGCGCTTCCCCTTTGCCGACTTTGCCAACCTGCCGCATCTCTCCTGGCCTCCTGAGAAGGCCTCGCTGGACTGGGACGCCGTATTGAAGGCGGACCCAGCCGCTCTCGTCGCGCAGGTTGAGCGCTCGACGTGGCTTAACGTTTTGCACCCCGCTGCACGTCGTTATCTGAGCAGCAAGCCTGCCTGGCCCAAGGCTAACGTGACTTTCATGCCTGATGACGAGGAGAAGGCGTACAAGAACGACCCCGAGAAATACGAGAAGATCCAGACGGAGTGGCACGGATGCTTTAGCGCGGATAGCGTCCTGGAGCGCGGCACGCGACTCATCAGCCATAATTACGAGAAGGGCGACCTCGTCTTCATGCCTCACTACTCATACACCCTGCGTTTCCCTCCGATCGGCGATTGGGTTACCAACGCTCTTGAGCATCACCTCCCCAAGGACTTTGACACAGCAGACATGATCGTTCCGTTCACCTTTGATTGGGGCCGCTGCCAGACCATCCTCCACAATCTCTTCCGCGTTCGTGACTGGAGCAAGACGGCCAAAGAGGTCGTCCGCACCTCTTCTTGGCAGCCCATGGGAGACACGAACTCGCCTTGTGAGGTGGCCAGGTGATCACGCTGACTTCAGGCTACTTCATGGACCAAGATGTGGTCGTTCCCGCCCGAACATGTCTTCAGGAGAATCTCCGTGAAACATTTGGTGACATGCTCAACGTCATGCCGGCGCGCCTGCGCTCAACTCTCGTGCACTTCAAGGGATCTCCTAACGGAGCTGGCGCGTCGGTCCGCAACAAGCTGGTGTGCGAGCGCCCATGGCGCAAGGACACTCGCGGCATGAAGCTCAAGGGTGCCGAGAAGCTCAAGACGTACTGGGGCAGCCTGCGCCCCTCGTTGGTGCGGCCTGCTTCTGAGCCCAACCCGGCCAAGGACTATATGGAAACGATCGGCGACTCGATCTTCTGCCCGGTGCCCCGCGGTACAACGGGCTGGGCGACGCGTACCATCGATGTCGTTTATGCTGGCTGCATTCCTGTTCTGCTCGGCGACCAGACTCACCACCCGTTCTGGGACATGCTCGACTGGTCGAAGTTCTCCGTGACGATCAACGACTTCGAGGTCGAGCGGACCGAACAAATCCTGACCTCATATACATGGGAGGAGGTCCAGCGCATGCAGACCAACCTCATGCTCATCCGCGACGCGTTCCTCTACCCGAACGAAGGACACATGAAGGACAACCTTGAGGAGCGTGGGCCATGGTTCTACGCGATCCACTCCACATGGCTGCTGCAAAACACCAAGTTCCCCACTGTGAACGACAAGTAAAATCTCCTGCATATTCATCATGTTGCCGTTAGAGGGGCAGCTAGTTGTACTACTACCATATCATGCACTGCCTGAATTGATCGCTCGTCCGCCTCGCCCCTACCCACCGTGGCGATCCTAATGCCCGTCAGATAACAACGTGTCAGTACAGGCGACCTGTCGACTAGTGGTTCTGGCGGGGAATGGTCTGGGTCTGAGCCAGGCGCTGATACTTTACAGCTTTGCCGAGGACCATGCCCTCCGACAGTTCCCCAACGTTCTCGCGGAACAGCTCCTGCCAGGGTGTCTGAGACTTGGGCATCTTGGTCTCCCTGTATAACCCCATCTCCTTCTTACGCGCCTCAATCTCCTCGTCCTTGAGCACGACGTTGGCGGTACGCTTGTTCAGGTCGACGCGCACGATGTCGCCGTCCTTGAGATACCCGAGCATGCCACCGGTAGCCGCCTCAGGCGACGCGTTGAGGATGGCGGGCGTACCGCATGTCCCGCTCTGCCGCCCATCGCCGATGCACGGCAGCTCGAGGCCCTGCTTGATGAGCTCGGCGGGCGGGAGCATGTTGACGACCTCGGCGGCGCCGGGGTATCCGTTAGGCCCTGTGCCGCGCATAATGAGGATGGTGTTCTTGGTGATGTTGGGGTTCTTGTCGATGCGGGCATGGTAGTCTTCTGGCCCGTCAAAGACGGCCACCGGCCCTTCGAACGCCATGGGGTCCTCGGGGTTCTCGAGCCACTGCTTGCGGAACGTGTCGCTGATGACGCTCGTCTTCATAATCGCGCTGTCGAACAGGTTGCCGCGGAGATTGAGGAAGCCACCGGCCTTCTTGAGCGGCTTTTCGAAGGGCATGATGACACGGCGGTCGAGTGACAGCTCGCCCTTGCAGTTCTCGCCGATCGAGCGGCCCGTACACGTGAGCGCGGAAGGATGGGGCAGCTTGCCGTGCTCCATGAGCTCGGCGACGACCGAGGGCAAGCCGCCCGCGCGGAAGTACTCCTCACACAAAAACTGGCCGGCGGGCTTGACGTTGACGATCACCGGCAGCTCATACCCGACACGCTCCCAGTCAGCGGTGCTGAGCTCGACGCCAATATGCTTGGCGATGGCGCCGAGATGAATCGGCGCGTTCGTTGAGCCGCCGATGGCAGTGTTGAGCGCGATTGCGTTCTCGAACGCCTCCTTCGTCATGATGTCGGACGGCTTGAGGTCGTGCCGGACCATGTCGACGATGCGGCGGCCACTCTGGTACGCACACGCGCCGCGTTCGCGGTACGCGGCGGGGATGGCGGCGGAGCCGGGGAGGGCCATGCCGAGCGCTTCGGCCATGGCGTTCATCGTCGACGCTGTGCCCATGGTGTTGCAGTGGCCGACACTCGGTGCCGATGTCGCCATGTTGTGCACAAACTGCTTCGCGTTTATTTTCCCGGTGACGAATGCGGCGCGCGAATCCCACGCCACCGAGCCGGAGCCCATCAGCCGCTTGCCGTCGTTGCTGTACCCGTTGAGCATGGGGCCGACGTTGAGGCACAGCGCGGGGATGTTCATCGTCGCGGCAGCCATGAGCATTGCAGGCGTCGTCTTGTCGCAGCCCGTCAGGAGCACGACGCCGTCAAGTGGATACCCGAAGAGGACCTCGACGAGGGCGAGGTACGACAGGTTGCGGTCGAGCGAGGCGGTCGGGCGCTTGCCCGTCTCCTGGATCGGGTGGCAGGGGAACTCGAGCGGCGTGCCGCCCGCAGCAATGATGCCGTCGCGCACGCGCTTGGCCAGCTCCATGTGATGGCGGTTGCATGGGGACAGATCAGAGCCTGTTTGCGCGATGCCGATCACCGGCCGCTTCTCGTTGCGCAGCTCGTCCAGCGTCATGCCCCAGTTCATGTACCGCTCGAGGTAAATCGAGGTCATGCCTGGTATCAGCGAGCGCGAGGGGGCGAGGGTGAGAGGAGGGCGAGCGCACCTGGGTCGTCGTCGTCGTGGAACCACTTCTTGGAGCGGAGGGGAATGGCGTTGTCGATCCCCTCTATCTCGGTGTGCGTCTCAGGCGAGTAGATGCCCTCCGCGGGCACGGTGAACGAGCGCGGCTCGCGGTCCACGGCGGGGCCGTCGAGACCAGCGCGGCCGCAGGTGCATCCTTCGCAAGCTCCGTTGGTCGTCATGGTAGTGGGGAAGATGGGCAAGTGCCCACGCGCTCGGTGTATTTCAAGGCCGACAACGTAGCCGGCCAGGACCGAACGCCGGTCCGGAGCGGCAAGCGCGTCCTCGCCGAGCGAATGAGAGGTGGGCTATACAGCCGCACTGGCTGTCGTGCCAGGCTGAAAGTCAGCATGTGGGCCAGATGGGTGATGGGGAATGTACACGCCCCGTTGATCCGACGGCTGGAGGCGGCATCAGGCGGTTTAGGCCGGCGGGGTAGGCCGAGGCCCTGTGTGCGGGGTAGTTGGCGGGTGAGTTATGGTCCAGTGCGAGACAGCTGTGTCTCGTGACGCTTCCAACTGCCTCTGTTGTTCAGCGGCGGTCGACGACGGTTGTGGGCAGTCCACAATGGCAGCTCAAACAGAGCGTCTTGCAGGGCTCTCGCTTTCGACCTGGGAACGAGTCCTCAGCAATGAAGGGGCATGCAGGGTTTTATATAGCTGACGATGTCCGATCCTGTATCTCCGACGCGCTGTGCACCGGTTGCGCGACTCCGATGTTACGGGACCGGCCTTGGCTGCCTATGCTGGAATGCGAACAGTCGGCCCTAAGATTGCCATCCATCGTCGGAGTGTCCAAGAGCTGAGGTCAAATGTGGATGACTCTGACGCAAACATTCCCGTTTTCAACAGAGATCTAGCAGCAGTCGGTTTCAGTTTTCACTGCCAAGGTCCCAAATAACAGGTCTGATCGTATAGTGGTTAGTACTCAAGATTCTGATTCTTGCAGCCTGGGTTCGATTCCCAGTCGGACCTCGTTACTCTTTTGCCGTTCTCATTTCACTTTGCTGCAGTTCCTCGCCTTCTGCAAGCACGATGTGTTAAGGGGCTTCTACAAGGCGACCCGATGCGACAGAAATGCAGCTAATGGCAACTCCGTCAGTCCTCCTTTTTCTCGGAATCGACTAGTCGTGCCACGTATGCACAACAATAATGCGTCGCGTCATGATACGAACTCGGCCAACCCAGTCCCGCCTCCAAGATCGGTCAAGTGGGCTGTGGAACCTTGAGCCTGGTCGTGATAGAGCGCGCTCACACGGCAAGCGACCCGTGACCGCTGTCGGGATCGTGGGGACTGGAGGCTGAAAAATGACGATTATGACGAAGGTCATGTGGTTCACGTCACATGCCACTCTAACGACGCAGCCACCGCTCGCCGTGCTGGCGCAGTTACTACGGGTGTGCCCTCCCCTTCCTCTACGAGGCTCACTCAATCGTCTCTCACCATCTCTCACCACCACACCATACACCACTCATCTTACAATGTTCGTTCGCTCCGCGCGTACTCTCGCTGTCGCCTCGCGCACCCCCATTGCCAACAACTCGGCTGTCGCTGGTCGTCGCTGGACGTCGATTGAGCACCGTGGCGGCAAGTCTAAGCTCGTACGTTGCCACTGAGCACCACGTCGCGGATGGCTATACGCCTGTCTATTGGGCGCGCACATCGTCCCCGTTGCTGACGATAGATCTACCGCTTTGGCATGAAGGGTGCGTAGTGTCTGCCTGCACGAGCAGAGCCGCCGGCTGCGGTCGCTGGTTACACACCTGGCTGCGGGGCATTCTCTCCAGCCAACCACATTGCGATGATTCCGCTCACCCTGCAGACATCCCGGTCGAGTTGTACCCTCTCGGCTTCGTTGTCTCCATGGCCGTCGTCGGTGGTGCTATTGGTGCGTAGCGTGCGGTGCATGACAGATGCTAACTTTTCCTAGCCGTCGGTCGTCACTGTAAGTAGCAAGTGGGCCAGCGAGGAGCGTTCACACGCTGGCGGCCATCTCCGATCCAAGGCGTTTCTGTGCTCCACTCTCACCGCCCATCTATCCACTCCACTCCACTCCACTCCACTCCCCTGGCTTGATGTTAACATTTCTACAGTTGTTGTCGACAAAGAGCTGCGTCTCAGGCGCTCTGGCGGCAGCCCGGACATCAACAAGAGCTCCTAAGTTTCCCCGGAGGCGATCACAAAGTGAACAGCGAATTACGAAGAAGCACTGCAAGAAGCAAAGGAAAGGATCAGAAGTTCAAAGGATGCATAAGTGCCCCAAGTGGATGACTGTCGTGTGAGCCCTGTGAGATCAAGCGATGAAGCGCAGTAGCAACGCAGACCGAAGTCTGCGCACGGAATGGGGCCATGCCTAGTCCGAACGACCCACGCACGTTTATGACTTGCTTCCTGCTCTTGGTCCGTGACACCGCCGACGCCGGCCCGTATCGTCGCGCTCGCAGGCCGCGACTCGTAGGGCATGGAGGGGCGAGAAAAAAGAACAAGGCCTGTGGGCGCTTGGCCTGTCCGTGCATTCGTGGAACCACAGCCGGATCAGTCCACCACGGGGATACATAGCCACAGCAGGGAAACGCTCTCCAACTTCTCCGCTGTTCTTCCATCTCATCTTCCTCTCACTAACACAGCGTTTTAGTACACGTAGAGCGCGCTCAAATGACGACTTTCAAGGGCGGTACGGCCCAGGAGGTACGGAAAACGTCCATTCACCACGGTCAACTGATGACAGATTGGTGCGGTGAGCGCAGATGGCACCTCCAGGATCTCTAGAAACCCCAGGCTCATACGTAGGAACTCGAACGCACTGATTTGCAGGACGCGGACTCCGTCGCAGGCGCCGTTGAGGCCGTCAAGATGTACGCGCAGGTAAAGATGCGGAAGGCAAAGTCAGATGCCGTCGGACAACCCGGAGGCAAAGTGAGGCTCAACCCAGACATTGCGCTCTGCGCCGCGTTCTGCATTTTGCGTGCCTGCGCTGACGCTAGCTCGAGGTCCTAGAGCGTAAGGTAAGTCGACCCCTGCGCCACACCGTCAGCTCCGACACGAGCCGACGGCCAAGCAAGGGTCGCAGAAGAGCCAAGCGGCCGGCAGATTAGCGCAGATTGGTCCATTTGCTGCGCTGCCCGTCTCGGTCATGTTTCACTGGCCAAACCTTGCTTCCCTCGGCGGTTAGTGTCGGGGGTAGGAGATTGAGGAGATGGAAGAAACGCCTTCGATCGTGCGGGCTGTCTCAGCACGTTGGCGTGCCTACTACCCTTAACCCCACATGCTCTCGAAATGCCGTTGGTGTCTCACACCTGTCGGCAAGACAGTGTGATCTTTTTTGGGTCCACTATGTCTGCGAATGGCTAGGGCGACATGGCGAGATGACCACCTGCGATCCCGGATCCTCGCTGATGAGAAAAGTACGGACATGCGGGATTCCACGATATTTTCTACCTTGCCCGCCTTGAGCTGCAGTTCCCCCCAAGCAGCATACCCTTACCCCGCCCGTCCCCTGCGGTGGCGCGGCGCCTCGAAGCCGGCGGCTTCCCTCTGCCCAGCTCGCGCCCCGCAAGTATAAGTAGCGCCGGCTCGCTGCCGGCGCCCCCCAAATTCCGTGCGCGCAGCTCCTCGTCCGTCTCCCTCGCACGCTCGTACAGGATCCCCGTCGTGTCCGCTCCGGCGAAGGCCGTAGTATCCAGCCGCACCGCACTCAAGATCCCCGGCGCCCTGCTCAACCCGCCCGACGAGATGCCGTTTAATTCCAAAAAGGCCGGAAAGGCGCTGGGCAAGGCCCTCGGAAAGCCCTTTACCGCCATGTACGCGTCGGGTGGGGAGTTTCCCGTAAGCATACCCACCCCTGCTGAGCGGACGTACGAGCAGCGCGCGCCTCTTGGTTCTGAGAACGAAGCGAGGGACGAGACGAGGGAGCAGGGCCCGGCTGCACTGGGTTCGCAAACTCCGGCTGAGATGTCTCGCCCAACGACGACGGAGGCATATAAGCCGGCCGCGGTCACGCTAGCCCCGCCTCCGGCTTCCTTCCATCGCCACGATCTGCCTTTCGTGACTGCGCGCACCAGGCCGGACTCGCGGCCCGAGAGCAAGCTGCTGCCCGACGCCCCGTTCCTCCCCGGCGTATACCGGGACGAGAGGCACGCCATGACGTCCCCGCCTCCGCGCCCGGAGTTCGCTCACGCCGATTCGTACGCGGAGAGCACTCGCTCCTCGACGCTAGTTGACAACACAGAGGATCACATGCGTCAGCTCTTCAACGCCCTCCCGCCCGAAGCGCAGGCGCTCGCGTACACTCGCCTTGCGGAGCAGCGCGAACGGGAGCGCGAGCTCGAGGCGAGAAGGGAACAGGCGGCGCAGTGGGAGGCCGAAGCTGAGGCGCGGATCGAGCACGAGCTGCGCGAGAAGGAGCGTGCACTTCGCGCGCGCCAGCCGGCGGGCCTGCCGGATCAGCACAGCGACGCATACGACGGCGCATATCTCTCAAGCCCCGCGCGGGCGCCCCCGCCGCTCTCGGGACGCCATCCAGCCGAGGCTGCGCGCTCGCCGACGAACTTTGCCTCGCCGCGCCGCCAGCGCTCGCCCCAAGAAGAGTTCGAAGAGCAGATCGCGCAGCTCCTCGAGGCGCAAACGCTTCCGCCGCGCGCGCCATCGCGGCACACAAGCTTGCGCCGCCCCCCGGCCCCGCCGAGCCACGACCCCCCACGCACTCTCTCCGACCCGTCGGCGCCGCGTGCGATTGTCCCGCCCCGCCCTGTGCATTCCCCGCGCACGCCTAGGACATACCCCGATGTGCCGCGCATTGACGGGCAGGCCACGCCGCTCAGCCGGCCCACCGGCGACACTGAGGTCCGCGCTGCCCTGGCCGCGAAGATCCGCGCGCTCCAAGCTGCCCTCGACACGCTCGACGTGACCGAAAACGCAGAGGTCGCGGACGAGAGTGACTTCTACGCCCTATCCGCGCCCTCAACGATGACGTTGGGCGGCAGTCGTGCGGGCAGCCCCGAGGTTCCGCTCTCGCGGCCAGGCCACACGCCGACGCCCTCAGGCTGGAACCTCGGCGTGCTCGATCCCGCTCCCGACGTCTTCGCGAAGCCCGAGCGTGTCCCCAGATTTCGCACGCACTCGCGTAGCGCATCACGCTCCCACCCCGCCGACCTTCGTGCCACGCCAAGCATCCGCTCACGTGCCGCCACGCCGCTCAAAGTCCTTGAGCTGGACGCGATCCCGCCTCCACGTGCGGTCTCGCCGCGCACAGTGCAGCGCCCCCTCCCGTTGGAGCTCGAACCGAGTTCGCGCCCGACCTCGCTCGCGCACTTTGTGGATGGCCGACGCGCCATGCAGACCCCGCCGCCAGAGTATGCTGCCGGCCCGCAGTTCCCGGTCCGTCTCGAGGCTACCATTGATCCCACCGCGCTGTTCTGATTGTAGGTTACAGGTAATTAACGCAAGATCGTTTCGGATTGTATGTGTGTAGAGATAGAGTGATGTGATTATGTGCAGGGCTGGTTGGCGGCATGTTAAATGAGAGCGGCTTAAAGTCGCGGATTGGACCGCAGACAGGCGCTCCTACGACAAGATTGTGCGCTCGATGGAGCCAAGTGGATGTCGGCTCACGCCGCCACGGCATCGTTGCTCCGATCTCCGAGCCACTTCGCTGCAGTCCGTTCGCGGCGCGAGTGGTGCCACAGATACACACGGCCAAATCCGCACCGTGCCTTGTCCCACCTCCACCCTCACTCCAGCCGGCTACATATCAACCGCCGACAACGTCCATCGCCCACCCATGCTCCGTGCACCTGCGCTGCGGCTCAGGCCTGTCTCCAGACTCTTCGCCATGTCCACCAAGCCCGTGCCCAACATGAACGACGAGCCCGCGCCTGCGGGGAGGTAGGTACCTGGACCCCGCGTCTCCGCCCGCACGCCCGGCCCGCTCACCCCAGCGTCGTCCTCATCTCGCCCACGAACGAGGTGCTCATGCTGCATCGCGTGCGCACGGCGTCGGCGTTTCCGTCCGCACACGCGTTCGCGGGCGGCAAAGTGTCCGAGGAGCAGGACGGGCGCGTGCCCCCGCCCGGCGATCCGCGGCGGCACGTCGACAGCCGCGCATATCGGCTGTGCGCGATCCGCGAGACATTCGAGGAGAGCGGCGTGCTGCTCGCCAAAGACAGGACGGGGCAGCTGGTCGACCTGCCTGAGGCCACGCGGAAGAAGATGCGCGTAGCAGTGCACAAGGAGGAGGTCAAGTTCGTGGACTGGCTCAAGGAGATCGGCGCCGAGCCGGAACTTGGTGCGTCATTATCGACCCGTCGATGGGGCTGACGGCAGACGCGCTCATCCCGTTCACGCGGTGGATCACGCCGCCGGGCTTCCCAAAGCGTTTCTCCGTGCAGATGTACCTGTACCTCCTGCCGCTGGACTATAGGGGCGCGCTGGACCCCGAGCACGACGGCGGGCTCGAGCATACGCAGGCCGAACTGGCACCGCCGACCGAGTGGACGGCGCGCGCCCTCCGCGGCGACGTGATCATGTACGAGCCGCAGGCGTACATCCTTGCCGTACTCGGCCAGTTCCTCACGGGCCCCGGGGACTATGCCGCGCAACGCGCGGCGCTCAGCTCGTGGCTCTGGCGCATGCCCACCGGCAAGACGGATCACTACACCGCGCAGATCCCGTGGGCGGACAAGGTGTTTTGTCCCGTGCACGTCGGCACAACGGCGAGTGGGAAGGAGATCCTCGCGATGGAGCCTGCTGGGCCGGAACTCGAGGGACAAGGCAGGGGAGGGGACCACGACCGTGTCGTGCTCGTCAACGACTGGGTGCAGAGCTCGAGACATATTGAAGTGCGCATGCGTGACGAAGTCGAGGCGGAGGAGAGGGCTGCGGGCGCGGCGCCGAAGAGCAGAGTGTGAAGAGGTGTATATTGTACTTTGTTAGTTTGCGCGTAGGGATGGCTTCATTCGCAGACTTCATGGACTGTCTGGTGGTCTCAGCATGATTCATGCGTTCACGTACCTCACTTCCGTTGAAGATTGTGTCGTGGTCCGAATTGTCGGCTTATTTTGGCGCACAGAACGCTTTTGCTTCCGTGTATTTCACCCAGTGCGGGACCCCAGCTGCTCACAGATTTCGAGCGGTAACGGTGACAGAACTTTCAACACCTCCGCCCACGCCACCATGCCCAAGCCCACAACAGCCAAGGTCAAGAACGTATCAGCAAAGCCGACTCCGGCGAAGAAGGCGAAAGTTGCCAAGGGCAAGGTGGCCCGCCCGCCTCCCAGCTCAAGCTCGGGCTCGGGTTCCGGTAGCGACAGCGAGAGCGGGGAAGGCGACGATCGCGCGGCGATGCTAGCGGCACTGGAGGCGCACACCCGCTCATTGTTCGGCCTCGACGTAGCTGAGAGCTCGGCACAGGGCGCGGCGCGCTCTGTCTCCGAGTCGGAGTCTGAGTCTGGGTCTGCGGAGGAGGCCGAGGAAGAGGACTACGACGACGAATTCGACGATGGGTGGGGAGAGGGCGACGCATTCGTCACGGACAGCGAGGACGAGATGGACTTTGATGGTGCGTTTGTGATGCGGGGAGTGAGCTTATGACAGCTATGATGAACAACGCAAAGAAGGCCAAGGCCAAGAAGGGGAAGGGGAAGGCTAAGGAGAAGGAGGCGGCCGCACCAAAATCCGCGCCTACAGCTATTGCACCTTCCCCCGCCCCTGTCGAGGTGGTTTTCGCCGAGACGGGACGGCCGGCGATGGCCATCTCATCGTCGGAAAAGCGCGCTTTCCTCAAGGGCAACTCGGCGAAGATTATGGGCCTGCAGCCTGAAGAGCAGACGGGCCAGGGCAAGCGGAAGCGCAAGGCCGAGGACGAGGAGGAAGAGTGAGTGGCTCCGCGTTCCCGCTGACGGCAGATCGAACCAGCGCCTCGACAAGACGCTGCACAACATGCTCCTTACCTCGCTGTTGCCCGCCGCGACGCAGGACGCGGCCTCGCGGCCCGTCGACAAGCGCGCAGCCATGTCCGGCCGCCTGCTCGAGCTCGCGAGCTACTCGCTGCCAGGCGAGGGCGAGGGCACTGTGCGCGGCGCCAGCTTGTCCTCGCACCCGGCGAAGGTGCGCACCGGGCTCGTGCATGCGCAGCAGCGGCGGGCGGAGTCGGCACGCGCCGAAGCCGAGGCCGCGGGCAGCTGGGTGAAGGGCAAGGGCGGGCTCGGGGACCTCGGGCGGCGCGGCGCCGGCTCGAAGGGCAAGGAGCGCGAGGTGCGCACCTTCGGGACGACGAGCAAGAAGAAGGGCATGGAGGCGGGCAAGAAGGAGCGCGCGATGGGTCTGGGCATGGGTGTGGGAACGTACGACAAGGGCGCGCTGCGGATCGACGAGGGCACGATCGCGCGCATCAATGGTGGCAAGGGGAGGGGAGGGAAGGGAGGGGGGAAGAAGGGCAAGGGCAAGCGTGGGTGGTAGGCTTTCAAGATTCAAGAGAATGCACTACATGTACTAGGTGACAGGGGGAAGATGGTCCGCGTGCGCCACATAGGCCGTCATATGCATGCTCTAGGCGCTAGTAAACAAGTCCTGGGCCTGCGCGAGCGAATCGACAATGAGTTGGTGATCGTCGAGCTGCGGGAGACCAGAGACGACAATGGCGCCGACGGGCGCGGCGTCGCACCCGGCAATCCAGATGGGAAAAGCTGGTGTCAGCGGGGCAGAGCCCTCGTGGGCCCAGCGCGCGTTGTCGGAGACTGCACTCACCGCCGCCATGGCATGCATATTCGGGAAAGTGGAGACCTTTCTCCTCCGGGGTCTGGCCTTTTGCCGCAATCTCGCGGCCCTTGCGCAAGCTCGAGACGTTGAAGCGCTTGACGACGTTGAGTTTGCCGCGCACCCAGAGCCTGTAGTCAGAGGTGCTCTTGTGTTACAGGCTGCAGAACAAGATATCTCCTTTTTCCTTCCTGCCTTCCTTCCTCCCACCCTCCCTCCCGCCTGAACGTACCAGTTGTCTGGCCCGACCGCTGGGGCGCTCCCGACCGCACAGGAAAACAGCGTGTGGCCCGTAAAGGTCTCGATGTGGACCACGATCCCGGCGTTGGAGGGATGCACGCCGGTCTCACGGGCAGCGAGGAAGGTGTCGCGCACACTCGTGCCCACGCGCCAGGCGACGTCAGCGTCGAACTTGACGAAGCGCAGCTGCGCCTCCTGCTTCGCGACAAGAGAGGCGATCTCGGCGCTAGCAGCAGCCATGTCGCTTGGCTTGTAGGAGTTGACGCGGCCGACGGAGATGGTGTGCGACATTGTGGGTGCGGCGCTGGGTGGATGTGATGATGGGCTGATGAAGAGTCGGCGAGGGTGCGGAAGATGTGGGGTGAGGAAGCGGCAATTGACGGTCATGGCACGTGGAAATCGCAAGCGACAGGGGCAAAAGTGCGGCAAAGAAACAAGTCGCATTTGCTCGCTTTGTCCGATCTGTCCACCACTACTACACCGCTACCGCTCATGGCCCATGGCCCATGGCCCATGGGCGCTCACAGTCGGACCACACGGTACACGGGGCAGCGCTGACTTGCAGATGATGATGTGAATGCTGACCATTGATCACTGATCACTGATCAGATAAGATGCATGCATTCCGCATTCCGCAACTAAACGACTAACAACCACCTCTCTCTCTCTCGAATAGAATCCGTGCGCAGGCCGCCGTGGGGTCGGCGCGAGGACCCCGCCACGGCCCGCCACGATCCGCCCTCGATGCCGGGGGTGCCGGGCTTCTCTTCGCTCCTCGACGTCCTCGCGTCTTGGCCTTCTCGGCCTTCTCCCATCCTCGGTAGCGGCACAAAGGTCAGTGCGTCACTCGCACCCCGCACAGATGCCTCTCCAGCCATCCCCCCTTCTCACTCTCACTCACTCACTCATCCACTCACTCCCTCTCACTCTCACCACTATATCTAGTCGTCGTCCACCCCCCTCCCTCTCTCTTCTCCTTCTTCCACTTCATCCCCGCTTCCCCTCCCTCCTCTTCAGACTCACTGCACAACCCTCTCACCACGCGCAATGCCCGACAAGCAATTCGCTTCCCTCGTCGAGGCGCGCGCTTACACCTTCGGCGAAGCCAAGGGCCTGCGGACAGCGCTCGCACTCCTCCGCGCCGAAAGCAGCTTTGTGAGTACGACCCCGACTGGCATGATAGCCGGGCGAAGACCAGTGGGCACGAGCTGTTTATCCCAGCATAATACCACTGAGCGTTCTCACTGTCAGTCCGTGGCGCTGCCAACCACCTTCCCCCGCCCCCAGGTCTTCCCACGCCCCCTGCACACGACATACCTCACCCCTATTGCCGCTGATACAAGGTCGAAACCGTTCTCGCCCACCCAGTCTGGGCCGCCATTCTTTCCAACATCGCCGGCAAGGCCAAGGGCCTCGACGTGGCGGCCTCACGCATGCGGTGCCATTGCGCCCGCCCACAGCACGAGCTGTGTCGTTGCCCAGCCGTGTCAGAGACGGGCGCAACGAAGGGTTCGGCCGTGACGGGCGTGACGCACATCCGCTCGCCGTCGTTGATGTCGGCTCGCTCTGGGTCCTCAATGAGCTCCAAGTCGAGCTCGAGTGGCAGTGAGACTGACACCTCGTCGTCCTCGGGCAACTCGAGCTCGACAGCCCGCACTCACGGGCGCAGCGACAGCGCGAGCGTACGTAGTAACCTGTCGGATGACCCGATGCCGGGCGCCAATGGACTCGCTGTCAAGCCTGTCAAGGTCGCCACAACCAAGGGCAAAGGCAAGTCAAAGGACCGCACGGGCAAGGATGCCGCCCAGAATGGGAAAGGTCATGCCGCGATGATCGTCCTCGGCCCCGAGCGTCGCATTCCGCTCGACGTGCCCATCCCTTACCCCGGCGAGGCCGTCGTTTCACAAGGTGACACGAACGTCTCTGTCAGTGCGGGTGCGTCCATTGCGCTTGGTGGCTCGATCAGCGCCGTTGGGCCCAGTATCGCATTCAAGCGCAACCCCGGGGGCGAGATCGTCAGTGTCCTGGGCCCCCGGTCCGACGTCAAGAAGAACACAGCTAGCAGTGCCGCTATCCGTCCTCGCACCAGAAGCGTGCTTTCGAGCATTTCCGTTGACCTCGAGGACCTCGAGCCATACGTTCGCCTACCCCACGATCCTCTTCGGGCCACGGTTGTGTCGGTGACTCCCTCGGTGCCTTCGTCGCCGGTGGCTCCCAAGCACCCGGCCATCGACCCCATCATGCCAGACCGCACGGGCACGCCGGTGCGCAGTGTACCACCCACCCCAACGGCGGGCGGTTTTGTCACCCGCCCGCTGCCAGCGCTTGGCTTCCCTTCGCTCGGCCACACTGCCCGCAGCCCGAGCCTCAGCCCAGTGTCGTCAAAGTCAGAGCGGCACAAGTCGTCCTCCTCTGCGTCCCCGCATGCCTCCCCTGTGCTCGTGGAGGAGCTCGGCCAGTCAACGCTTCCGGACGAACCTCACATCACTGCTGTACCTCAGGATGCTGGGCAGGGAATGTTTACCAGAGTTGTCACGCACATCGTCGAGGAGTACTTTGAGAACAAGGCTGATAAGAAGCCTATGCCCGAGGAGACCAAGATCGGTGGCGACTATGGACCAGGTTACAAGGCCCCCGGGGTTCCGGGTTCGTATGTGCACCCGGGCTATGGTAACCATCCCTCGCCGTCCGCTAAGCCGGCGTCGCTGCCTGGACAGACCACACAGGGGCCTTTGGCTACGACTGCTGCTCCTCCTGCTTCCTCGCTTCCCGCGCCGTTGAACTACTCGCCACCCCTCGTCTCACGGCCCCCAATGGGCGCTCCTACCGTGAGCAACTCACACCTCGTCCAGACATCCAGTCTCTCCCCGTACTCGACTGCCCTCGCGCACCCTCTCCCGCCCTCGCGCCCTACCTCGAGCGCCAGCACGGTCGACGACGAGCATCTCGGCGATGTCCTTGAACGTCTAAGCTACGAAGAGCAGCAGTACATCGCCTCGTTGTTCTCGGGAAACGAGGACCCGAGCCGTGTCCAGCCTGTCCTCTCGGACCAAGCCGTGGCCATCGTATCCCGTATGACTCGCTTTACGGTCGTGGAGGATTTTGTGGAGGAGACAGAAGAGGAGGAGGCGGAGGGAGAGGTGGAGGAGAAGACTGAGAAGGTCAAGCACAAGGAGAAGAAGAAGAAGAAGACGAACACGAACAGAAAGCCGAAGAAGGAGAGGGTTCCGATGGCTATTCCCCCTGCCCCTGTCGCGGCCGTAGTCTCCGCCGTCGCCCCCACCGTCGCGTCCATCGTCCCTCCCCCGGCTCCAGCCCCCGGCTCTGCGCGCGGCAGTCCCTCCCCGCTGAAGTGGGCCTCGCCCAACCTTCCTCCCTCTCCGCCGGCTCTCTCTCCGCCCGTGCGCGCCATGACCGCTGGCCCTTCTCCGCACGTCCCGCCCCACCCGCACCCGCCGTTTCCTCGCGCGAGCTCGACGCCGCCCCACTCGCTCCCCACTCCTCCGCAAACGGCGTATCCGCACCCGCTGCACAGCCGCCAGCACCAGCACCCGCACCCGCACCCCGAGCCGCCCACCCACGGCCACACACACACGCACACCCATCGGCCGGGTTGCGCGTGCCGCCGCCCGTCGGTCGCCATGTCCGTGTGCTCGAACCACTCTGTGCGCAGCCACCATAGTGTGAGCCCCTTTGGCGTTAACGGCGCCGTGCACGCCAGCCCCCGCGTCGTGCATGCCGTCGCGCATGCGTGCACGCACGGGCACGGCGGCTCGCACCAGCTGTGCAGCTGCACGATGTAAAGGGAGTTAGAAGCTGAGGGTGAGCGTACGGTGTCGATCAGCAGGAGTAAGAAGTTTCAAAGTTAAGTGGAGTCGCAGCTTTCCGTGTTTAGAGAGAACGGCAGTGGACGTGCAACGTAGATGCATTATGTGAAAAGCAGTACCGTCAGTCGCTCCCCTCGACGTGCTGGAAGCACATCCCCACCCCGCGCCATGACTTATGTGATGCATGCCTGACGGCGTATTCTACATGCTGTGTCCAGTATCCGTAAGATGTGATTAAACAAGCGCGGCCACGTCGTCGGGCCCGCTGATCGCGCCCGAGCGCACAAAGTGCTTGCCCGCGACGTACTCGAGGCCCTCGCCGCCATACGACGCCTCAGGCGTAACCTCGACCTCTACGCCGTCGGCGAACGTCGCGCCGGCGGCCAGGAGCCAGCGGCGCTGCTGGGCGAGGAGGTCGCGGCGCGACGTCTCGGGCGAGTCCGACTTGCTCCCCGGGGCGTTCTTGAGGCCTGAGAACTCCTCGGCACGCGAGACCTCGAGCACGCTCAGCGCGGGCACGAAGGGGAAGACGTCGAAGATGAACATCTCGAGCTTCATGCCGTTTGGCTCGGCGGGGCTGAGCTGCTGGCCGGAGGCGATGTCGACGTGGGGGATCTTTTTGCGGGCAATGTGGAAGGCCATCTTGCGCTCCATCGCCTCGACGGTGTCGAGGAAGGCGGTCGTGTAGAAGTGGTTGGCGATGTTGGCGGCCCAGAACGCGAGGTCGCCCTTGTCGTCCCGCTGCTCGGCCTTGGCCGTCGGCAGCTCCGAGTACTCGATGACGCCGTAGGCTTCGCCGCGCTTGGCGATCACGCCGACCGACTCTGTGGGCACCGTCTTGCGCACGACCTTGGCGCCGCACTGCGCGTCGCGCTCGATGCAGTAGCCCACGAAGACGGGGTCCGCGACCTTGACGAGGCAGTTGTCGACGCAGTACGCGTGGATGTACTTGATGCCGCGGGCGTGCAGGTCCGAGAGGACAGTCATGTCCGTGTTGGCGTTGACGGGGCGGCGGAGGGCAGCGTACAGTCCGCCGTTGCCGTCGGGGGCCGTGAACACCTTGCCTGGTGCGGCGAGGAGGAGCTTGCCGTCGTTAGAGAGGGCGGGGAGAACGCCTGGTGTCAGCGCCTGGCATCGCGATGCATATGCAGCTTGCCACCCGCAAGCTGTGATGAGACGGGAGGCACGGTGGCGGTGGCGGACGGCGGAACGGCAGCTTCGTCATTGCCTCAATGCCAGTCAGAGTCCGGGCGGAGCACACCGCCGCCCCACCTCCACGCCCGTGTCTAGACTCACCCTGCTCAAAGAAGACAACGTCGTTCGAGTCGAGCCCAAAGTAGTCCATCTCGGCAAAGTATGCCTCGGTGACGGCGCGTGTGGGCCCCGACGTCATCACATACCACCGGAGACGGACGTCCTTGTCGTCTTTTCCGGCGTGCTGCGCCGCAAGCGCCTGCAGCTTGCGAATCCTTCCGGCCTGGTACGCGAACAGGCTCTTGCTCGACGGCAAGCCCAGGTCGTACATGCCCTTGGGGTTGGGCGAGCCGAGACGGCTCCCCTGCCCGCCGGCGAGGAGGAGGACGGCGACGGTGCCGTCCGCGATGGCGCGCAGCCCGACGTCGCGCCAGCGCGCGGCGTCCGGCGAGTCGCTGCTGGCGACCGCGGAGGCGGGGAGTGGCCCAGCCTCCTCGGGTGTGGGCGAGGGCGAGCGCGAGATGTCCTTGCCGACCAGAGGGGGCGCGAGGCCCGTGAGGTCGGCGGCGGGGGCTTCGGCGGCCATCGCGTTGCGGTAGATGCGGTTGACGCGCTTGACGTCGATGGAGGCGAGCTCGGCGGCGAAGGGACCCTGCTCGGCCGGCGTGAGCTTGTCCCAAAAGGTGAAGACGTGGCCCTGCCCCGCCTCCTCGTAAGCCTGGCGAAGGGCGGCGAGGTCAGGCCCCCCGTTGGGGTTGGCGTGTCCGTTGGAGTGGGTCATGATGGAGTGTTTGTGCGATGGGAGGGGGGTGGGGAAGGGGATGGGAGAGCGGAAGAGGGAGATGGAGATGGGGAGAGAGTGAGAGAGCGAGCGGAGAGGAGAGAGGAGAGGAGAGAGGAGATGTCTGTGTAGAACGAGTATCGTGGCTTGACAACTTGGCGAGTGGAGAGTGGAGGACGGTGAGAGCAGTGCGTTGTCGATGATCGGATGGACGGATCGCTGTTCGCGACTTTGGTCCTGCCGCACCGTGGACCCGGATTCCCCCCCCCCCCCCCCGAAGCCCAGGGGCGATGAGGTGGGAGGGGGAGGGTGGCACCAAAACACAGGGACCAAACTCTCTCCTTCCCTGTCGCGTGCTGACGGTCGATGCCAAGCCCCCCCTCTCTCTGGCGATCACCGGAAGTAATCTCGACTTTTGACTGTCCGCTCGTTGTACTGTAGTAGTGACAGTGGCTTTTATGCATTGCCTATCTCTTCGTGGTGTGAACAGTCTGTGGCAGAGAACGCCCCCGCGCTAGCTGTCATCGCTATGATGTACCGCGCCGCTGATGCCTGCCACCTCAAACTCGGCTTGTCCTGGTATCAGGGCCAGCCAGACACGCCACCTGCGTAGGTACTGGTACTTTACACGACAGCGCTCTATCCCCAAAGTGATGCTCCTCGTCCAAGTCCAACTTGCAGGCTCACATCCTGGTGGCCTGGTGGACGGGTGGACGTCAGGATGTGCTCAATCCAAAACCACTTCTAGCCCGTCCTACTTGACGCGCAAAGGAAATGCACATCCGGCTATGGATACGGGCAGACGAGATTAGCAATGAATACATGTAGGCCAAGCAGGCTTAGAAGTCGTCGTCGAACGTGTCGTGGTCCTGCCCGCGACGGCGAGGTGTAATGTCCACCCCGCGCTCAGACGCGGTGCAGTGCAGCAGGCGCTCGAGCAGATCCTCGATGCGCTGCTGCCGCGCTTCGACGGCCGCGAGCTGTGCCTCCACCGAGCGCGCATCAATGCGGTGCTCGTTGTGCTGGTTGTGCGATTCCATGCTTTCCAGCAGCTCCGAAGCTGTCTTTGGCTGCTTCCCACTGGGCGCTTGAGGCTTCAGATGTGGGGACGGCGCGGGGAGCGGCCGCGATGATGATGTCCCGCTCGCGCGAGGGACCGTCGGAGATGACTGCGTGGTAGACCCGCTTCGTGTCGGACCAGGACCAGGAGGACGCACGACCTTCTTCGGGAAGGGTATCAGAGCGAGAGAGGAGGCAGGGGATGGAGGAGTTGGCGCGGTCTTGCTGCTCCCGCCGATCTTTCCTTCGCTCCCAGCGCCCAGGGCTGGGCTACTCGTCGTCGGGGTTCCCGCTGCCGGAGACTTGGTTGCCGGAGACTTGGTTGCGGGAGACTTGGTAGCAGGAGACTTGGTAGCAGTGCTCTTTGCGGCTGGAGTCTTCGTCACTGGCGTACTAGTCGCCGGAGACTTCGTCACAGAAATACTCGTACCCGCCACGGGCGAGGTCGATCTCGGGGACATGTCGTAGTCCGGCACCCGCGCATGCTTCGCGCTCGGTGTCGGTGAAGGAGTTGGCTGAGCCGCTGGCGATGGCTCATCCTCGTCATGTTCCACGTGTAGATCCGATGGGCCAGGCATCGACGCTCGGCGGAGCAGGTGTGCAGATGGCAGCTCGCCAAACTTGATGCGAGGGCCGCGATCGGGTTTGGCCTCGCTGTCATCGCTTCCTTCGGGGAAGGGGACGCTTGCACCCCGGCGTGCCAGCTCGGGACGTTCCAGACCATCGCCTTGCTTCGGCGTCAACACTGGTGTCGACACCTCTTGGATCGGCGCCACGCCTGGCCGCTGGAAGGAGCTCTTCCATGGACGGCCGTCACCGCTGTTAAACGAGCTGACGCTGAGACTGGTAGACATTGCCGACGCATTGGAGGCAGTGCTGTCCCGCAGCCCGTTGCTCTTCGTCGCTCGTCGAGGCGAGGATGACATATGGCTCAACGTCGACGTCACTGGCAGGGAGCCGACTCCCACGGTGGATCGCCGAATCGGGACGTCGTCGCGAGTATAGATGCGCGCCAGGGGACTTGGGCCATTCAGAACGCCACTGTTGCGCCGGACTCGTGGAAGGGGCGCCGTCGACATCGACTGCGAAAGCTGGGAACCTCCAAACGACCGGCGTCTCTCGTGGCGGGGATGGTGAGGCGAGCTGTGACTTGGCTGTCGCTGGAGATGAGCCGGATGTCCAACGAGTGAGGGGAACGTTTCCTCGGAAGGCGACAGCGTGATGGTTCCGCCGTTGCCCGAAACGAGACCTGCGTCGAGGGCAATGTTCTCCTCCTCATCGCACTCGTCGTCGCACTCGTCGTCATCAAAGACGTCCTCGTCGAGCTCCCAACTTTTGTAGAATTCGCCGTATTCGCGCTCAAGCTCGAATACCGCTGAGATGTCCATGCGTGCTCCAACCAAGCCCTCCGCTAAAACGTCAGCTAATTATGTCAGAAATACTCACTGGCTATGGACAAACGCCCGAGGTAGTGGTCGGTAAAGTCGCACAGCTGCTCCCACCACGAAGGATCGTTGTTGAACTTTTGGCGATCGTACACAGCGATCGCAAGTAGCACAGGGAGGTTGGTGAGGCGGATCATGAAGACTGCGATCAGCTGGTGTCACTGCTTCGAACTCACCGTTAACTTTGTGGAACCAGCGAGCGTTGAGGACAAAGCTGAGTGGATAGAGAACAACTAGAGCGAGGAGGTTGAACGGAAGCTGATAGCTGAACACCATGTCGGCCTTGACACCCTCGATAGTGGCGACGGCCTTGCGGAACATGGACTCGGCGGAGGCATCTGCGTTGATGGCGGAGAAAGTGTTGCCGAGCACAGCAACGCACACGACTGTCAATAGGGTATTGGAAAGGAATCCGTAGGTTGCCATGAGAATTGGGCCAAGGTATGGGTGGAACTCGTCTGGTCGTCAGCAACGCCGGGATGATTTACTAACGAGCCTGCTCAAAGCCTGTTGCGTCGAGACCGAAGAACACCTCGAGCAGCCACCAGCAGATCTGATTTACGCCGATGGACTGGTTGAGCGTGCGAAGCGCATACACGAAACCCAAGAAGCAAAAGATCCCGACGCTCATCAGGACTGGTATCAGCGTCGTACCTGACAATGTACTCACAGAAGAACTCTGTCAACATGGAGCGAATGCTAAGAACCATGAGATTGTTTGCAAGCGTCATGAAGACGAGGCGCGGGAACATGAGCACGGCGCCTGTGTGTTAGTCTTGGTCTCACGATGCACTGACCAATCGCCAGCAAGTCGGTGCCGAACTCCAGCGCGTTGGGATTGTGCCACATTGACCCGAGCACTCGCGCGCCGAGGTATATCACGAAGATGAAGACGAACCCCAAGTCAAATCCATTGACCATGGAACTGGCAAAGACTGGGATTAGCAGGGCGTCGTAAGTACCTCACTCACCCTTCAGCCCGTGCTCGCGGATGGCGGCGAGCTTGTCAAGAGAGAATGCGAGGGCGTACACGATGAATACAGCCTCGTACATGTTGATGTACCCGGGATCGAGCCGCTCGATGGTGAGGCAGTAGAGGAGGAAGAGGATGACAAAATTGGCATACTCGAGGATGGCGCGGTACTTGGGCACCTTGAGGCGGTAGTGGTCGAGGAAGGGGGCCTTGTGGGGGTTGTAAATCTGGATCGGACGCTTCTTGTAGTTATCCTGGATGAGTGCATGAGTGTTTAATGAGGTGTAAACGATCTTGCCGGACCAAATACCCTCTGCGTGTAAGCGGAGTTGTAGGCAGAGTACAGCACATACCAATGACCTTCTGACACGACGGCGAGCGGATGAACGCCTTGCTCTGCGAGATAATGGCCATCTGCTGTCAGCCCGTAACCCATTTCGGCCGCACCTCCAGGGCCGTCCCAGAGTCGTCCAGCGCCTCCTCTTCGCCGTCCTCTTTAGCGCCGCGAATTACATCCTCCGGAGCCCCACGGAAGAGCGGCCAGGGCGTAAGCAGCACCGTAGCGAGCGCCAACGACCGCTCACTCCACCCGCGCAGCACGCGCACGGCGAGAATCTCGCATAGCTTGGCGCGGGACACACTGAGCGTCGCGATTGAGATCTGGTGCGAGTCCGTCACGAACTGGACCTTATTCAGGAGCAGGCAGAAGACTGGTGTAAGCGAGTGAGCATAGGTTGGCCAAGATGACTTGGCTCGCAAGGACACTCACCGACACTGGGGTTGCGGAGGGCGAGGTACTTGTCGCACAGCGGTCTGATGATGGTATATGTGGAGTCTGGGGCGACGAGCTGGTCGTACGTGAGCGGAGTATCTGGCGTGAGCTGAATCTTCTGCGCCGCAGCGCCGCAGCGTCGCAGCGCCGACGCGTACCGATATGCGCGACGATGTCAACGCGGATCTCATGAATTAGGGGGTAGACCGACGCCTGGGGTCAGTGGGGAAGGGGAAGGAAGGCAGTGGTGGAGGTTCAGCCGAGCCAAAGCCGAAGCACCTTCCCTTCGGCAAGTATGCCCAAACTCACCGCCGCGCAGAACTCGTCGCCGAGCTCCTCGTCCTGTCCGCGCGACATCCTGCGCGGTGCGGCGTGGTGGAAGCTGTGTCGGTAGTCGGGATGTGTGCGGTGGGTGTGCTGTGCGAGCCGTGGTGGTGTAAGGCGGAGGGGGGAAGGTGGAGAGGGGGGAGCGATGCGAGGGGACGGAGGATGTGGAGAGAGCGGAGACGATGCGGACGAGAGGGGCGGAGAGAGATGGAGGTGGGAGTCAGGTCCCGATGCCGGCGGTGGGTGGCAATCTTCTGCTTCCTCTGCGGGAGCGGGGATAGCGGGGGTAGCTGCCGGACCTGATATCTCCAAGTGGGCGTCGGCGGGGACAGAGGGGCTGTGAGGCTCCATGTCGACGCTTGCCAGTGTAGGAGACGAGCTGGTTCGATGCAAGATGTTGGGAAATTAGAAAGAAAGTGTTCAAAGATCAGAGGATGCAGAAGATCAGAAGAGGCGGCGGCGCAACCTGCTTCTAAATGCTCACCGTGCACTAACTACTATGACGTGTGCTTGCATTGTTTGGCCATGCTACTGTCGATCCGCTAGATCCACAATCTCCTCATGCATAATAATCCAGCTACAGCTTCTCCTTAACCATGTACCATACCGCCATCTCACCCTCGACCCTCCCCCCTCCTCCCACCGATGCGTCCATCTCAGTGCATTTGTATTTGTATGAAATAGAAATGGACTGCTAGGCGCTACGGGGGGCTACAGTGTGTGTGAGAAACCTCGAAACTCGAAACGAATATGTATGAATGATTGCAGTCAGGTTTTTTGTGTAGACTGTCTCGTTAGGCGGGGACACGTCCCCACTTGCCCTCGCGGGCTTCGGGCGCTGCTGCTGCTGCTGCTGCTGCGCGCGGAGAATGAGCAGCCTCCTCATCTTCCTGGCAAGATCCATTGGTGGTCGAGCCGTTGGTACCATTGGCCACCGGCTTGGTGGTGTAAGTCCTGGCTGGAGAACGCGAGCGACCGCGAGGAGTTGCCGTGCTGTCTGGCGAGACAGGTACTCTGGGTTCACCGCCGCGGGTGCCAGGACGGTCGGCCTCCGAGGCATCGGGCGGCGCGGTCTCATCGCCTGCCCTGCTAGGGGCGGGACGCTTCTCAGCCGGGAGCTCTTCGCCGGGGCGTGACTCGGGAGTGCGCTTGCCGAGGTGGGACGAGACGGGGCGCGGAGGGTAGGGGGGATAAACCTCGTGAGGAGGAGGAAGAGGAGGAGGGTAAGCGAACCGGGGGTCGCGATAATCACGAGGGTCGCGCATGTCGCGGGGGTCACGGTCGGGGGAGATGGGAGGCCCACGAGGGTCTCTCATCGGAGGATAGTCGCGAGGGTGAGGCATAAAGCGGGGGTCGCGGTAGTACCCGTGAGGCGGCGGGGGTGGGTAGTAACGGGCGGCATAGTCGCGATCATCCGGACGAGGGGGGCCGTCGCGAGGGTCACCACGAGGAAGATCACGCGGGTCGCGCGGAAGGAGGTCGCGAGGATCGCGAGGAGGAAGCTCACGCGGGTCGCGAGGGGCATCGCGGAGATCACGGGGATCGCGAGGCGGCTCACGAGGCTCACGAGGCTCGCGAGGCTCGGCTGCACCATCACCGCCTTCGCGGGGCTCACGAGGCTCACGAGGCTCACGAGGCTCGGCTCTAGGGTCGCGCTCATCGACGGGGGGCCTTCGGTCGTCTCCTCCAGGAGGCGGGGGAGGAGGAGGAGGAGGAAGGGGAGGACCTCTGCCGCGCTCGCGGTCATAATACCGGTCGTCGTAACGATAATCGGGAGGAGGAAGGTGTGCCGGAGGGTAATCACGAGGGTGATAGTAGGGGTGGTACCGGTCATAGTAGCGGTCCGGGTGAGGAGGGTACATGTCGTACGGGTATGGTGGGCGGTCGTACATGTCGTACGGTGGGTGCGGAGGATATCTGCGATCGTGCGGAACAACCGGAGGCTCGGGAAGGCGGCCATCCGGACCTGGGGGCAGTGGAGGGTAAGACCCCGGGGGCGAAGGAGGACGGTACAAGTCGGGTGTGGGAGGGTACGGCACAGCGGTTGCGGTGACGGGTGTACCGGGCCCGGCGGGGAAGTGGTGGGGCGGTGCATGGGGGTGAGCGGGGGAGGGAGGAGGGTGAGTAGGGGATGGATGCCTGGCCGAAGTGGTACGGCGCGAGTTGTAGTCATCGCGACGGGTCTCCCAGTCTGGCCAGATGCCGGGAGTGATCTTGATGTTGGCGAGATTAGGAAGCTGGTGAGGGAGGGGGAGGGGGTTTGCTCCGTCGCCCTGGGGGTTGCGCTTAGACGAGTAGGCGACAACGTGGAACTTTTTGACCTTGCCAGTGACGGGGTGGGTCATGCTGGTCGAGTAAGTCTGCTTGACGAGTGGTTCTGGGCGGCGAGGGGGGGTTCCATTGGAGGATTCGCGGCCGTTGGGATAGTATTGATTGTAAGTGGGCGAGTCGGGGCGCGAAGGAGGCGGTGATAGAGAATCTGATGACCTAAAGTGTGTTAGACGTGTGATGCTCAGATTGATCAGATCCACGAGATTGGGGGGGAAGCATTCGGGGGGGGGGCATGAGAATATCCTCTTGGCTTCCGAGTGTGCGGTTTGTTGACACCGACAGATCCGATCTCTCTTTGGCCCCATCCCATCACGACAACGCCCCTCGCCTCTCCCCACCCGTTTGAGTGATTAATGAAGACTTACTCGGTGTATACCAGGAAGCCACCACCTCCAACACGCGATGCGCCCCAACGGCGACCGTCTGTCCAGCGACGCATATTGGTCTCCTCTTCCTCCCAGACCCAAACGGTGCCAGGACGGATCATTGCACGCTCATGGCCGGTGAGACGACGCGTGACGCGTGGTACTAATCCCAAGCGCACTGCTTCCAGGATATGAATGCTGTTCGTGTCAGCGACGGTTCCGAGGGGACAAGGAAGCGGGATGGCATGCGAGCCGAGAGATTCACGTGCGGTGAATAAGGATATGAATTTGGCTGACGACGTGGGCCCACGACGACGGCGAAAGACTTACGCATCGGCTGGAGATTTCAAGGCGCAGATTGCAGCCGGTTGCTGGGTGGAGCCGGAGGGGTACATTGTCATTGCGAGTGGGTGGGGGAGGGGGAGAGACGAGGGGGAGAGAGATGTGGTAGTGAGGGAAGGGCGCGTTGAGGGCTAACGCTCGGAACCGGTTGTTATTAAGTATGATCGAGACTGTGGAGGGGCGCTGGGGGGGGGGGGGGGGGGGGGGGGGCGGAAGGGCGAGGACGGAGGGCCGTGGAGGTTTGAATGAGAGACTTGCTGTGCTTGTGGATGGTGTGTGAGGGAGGGATGATGACGAGGAGGAGGATGAGGAGGAGCAAGTTGAAGAGTGGGGATGAGGAGATCTGTGAATTCAACACAGACGGGTGGGTGGATCGGTGGGATCGGTGGGATCGGTGGAAGCAAGCAATAAGCTTGAATCAAAGCCTGGGTGGTGGGTGGGTGGCCAGAGCCTACTTGATGCCGCGCGCCAGGGGAGCGAGGGGTGGGTCGCTTGTTCTGTGTCTAATCGAAATCGAAAATGGCCCACGATCGATCGATGACCTTGTGAGGCGGTGTGTGTATGTGTAGTAGATGTGGGTGGGTGTGAGTGATGATGATGATGATGATGATGATGATGATGAGGAGGTAGAATGAGATGCGAGGATGATGAGGGTGATGGTGTTGTGGCTTGATGGGGGGTGGGACACACGGCTGGGGGAAAGAAGTGATACGACCCAATCGAGGAATGGAGAGGGAAAGAAAGAGAGAGAGAGAAAGAGAGAGAGATGAACGAGCTACAGCAGTACAGCAGCAGCAGCAGCAGCAGCAGCAGAACCGTTGAGAGGTGACGGAGCCAGGAGGGGAAAGAAAGAGAACAGCAAGAGGAGCAAGAGGAGCAAGAGGCAACGACGACTGCAGCGGCAAACTCGAAAGTGCCCATGTGAGCGATCTCAGGGCATTCTGTCGTTCAGGACAATATAAGGGTAAATTCTCTTCTAGGAACTAGGCAGCTACCTCAGGGCATCTAGGGGAAGGCCCACAGGCCCACGGCCCACAGGCCACGGGGCCCGTAACCATCTCTTCTATAACTGTCACTCTCAGTCTACTTTGTCTCTCTCGCGCTCTCCAGCTCATTGCTGCGCTATTCAAAAATATCCTCTCTCAAGCGCCTCTCTTTATTAGCCATGTATCGTGTATCTCTTTTACGCGGCTCGCTCCATACAGCTTTTTGCAGCCCGCAGCCGCACGCAGGCACTGTGGCTAGTGGCTAGTGTCTTTCAAGGGGGAGCCCTCTTCTTGCACTCGGTGCTGCGCAACTGCATCAGGCTGTGGATGGGCCACATCAGGCCATTAGGCCATAAGCTATGCGCTATGAGCAACAAGCGGGCCAACGGCCCACGGCCCAACGGCCCAACGGCCTGCGGCCTGCGGCCTGCGGGGATTCCAGATTCAGATCCCCAATGGCTCGCGACTCAGCTCCAGATCGATGACTCTCCGATGACGGCGACTGCTGGGCCAGAAGCCCATACAGAAAAAGAAAAAAAGAGGAAAAAACGATGACGCATGCAGGCGTGGCGGCATGTGGTGTTTAGCGCGGTTTGGCTGCGGTCGCTGACGCTGCGGATTTAGCCAGCATAGCCATACGCAGTGCAGAAGAGAGTAGTGCCAGCAAGGCCACCAAGCATAGGCGGTTGAAGGCTCTCAGTACCTCAGCCATGGCGCATGCATCAATTCCACGCCTCGCCTCTCTCTGCAATCCCATCTCCGCCATCCGCCATCCGCGAGCATACGCAAGCCCAGGCATGCATTGCAGCTATGCATCAGACCCAAAGCCTCGCAGCCAATCTGACCCTGGCATGCCGCCCTAGCTCTGGCTCTGGCTCTGGCTTGGGCTTGGGCTTGGGCTTGGCCTAGCCTGACTCGGCTCGCCAACGGCGTCGCTCCAACTCCATCGGACCGCTGGCCACGGACCGGGCACGCCTGGCCGCTGGCTTATTATTACTGGGCACTTGACAAGCGGCCACCCTTGTTCGGTACACCGATACCAAGGCCAAGGAGAAACAAGCCAGCCGTGCCAGGCAGACCGTGGCTGACCAGCCGGCTGGGCGCGGCGGGGCGTGGGGCTTCAAGCCCTGAAGAGGGAGCGCTTAATTCCTCCAAGCATGCTCCCTTCCATCTGATCCTGACGCACCCTGCTTTCGGCCTCTGCAAATTGTGCGACTACGCACCAGGGGAAGGGATGATATCGGGTGTATCAAGATGAAGCAGGATGTGGGGCAGGCGACGCAACAGGTCAAACAGCGTAAATGCAGATGGAGGGCCCGGCGTATCAGCGTGGAGTGGAGCAGCCTGACATGTCTGGAGATCAAGAGCCGCCGCGCCGCGCGCCGCGCGCCGGCCCCGCCCGCCTCGGCCGTCATTACTCAGCGATCCCATGCATAAGAACAATGCCGCCCTGGCGCCGAGCATTCATGCGCCGGCCCGACGCCGCAGGGATCGGAGATGTGCCGAGCCCTGCCGAGCCGTGGCCCTGGTCTGTTGGCTGACATGGGCATTGCGGGAGGGGGAGTAGTACAGGGCGTCAGAGAGCGGGTAGAGCTGTCGACAAGAGAGCAGAAAGAGTAGAGAGTAGCGAGAGGGCGGAGACGCGTCGATACGCGTTTGGGACTCAAAAGTTAGTGTGGTCATGGGCAACCTCGGAAGCGGCAGCGGGTCGCTGGCCCGCGGGACTGCCATCGCCAAGCTTGTTTGCCCTGTTCACCATGCGAGCGATCTAGCTCGCGACATCGCGTCGCGACGGCAACGGCAAGGGCTACGGCAACAGCGATGATGCGTTACTGCCATGCTGCAACAAGCACATTCAAACTGCCGACTGCGTACGTACGGCTCAGTGCACCGCTTTGCGTACCTGACTGGAGCTGGAGCCGGAGCCGGTTGATGACACATGACACGGGCACACGGGCTGGGCTCCTGGTGCCAGGGCAGCATCAGGAGCCAGGAAGGGGTAACCTTTTTTATGTTGGATCTGGCATGGGGAAGGTTAACAAGCACCCGCTCATGTCCTGCCTCTCCTGTCCAACTGTCATCTGTGCATATGTGCAATCGTGCGTTTCCGGGCTTACGGCACGCACGTGCTATGAAAGCGGGGTGCACTCACTGAAGGCCATGACCACAGAGAGCGGCGCTCGGTTTTGCCAGCGCGGTCTAGCTGTCAGTTGAGGGTGGCGTATGCATCTGGTTTGACGACGAATCTGCGGATAAGCAGCAGCAGGGCGTGGACGGCTCCGTGATCCGTGCCCTGCGGTGTAGTGGTGCTTACAGTAGACAGAAGGGAGGGACGGGTGGAACTGGCGCCCTGGATCGATTCCGCGAGCCAGTCTGTCGTGAGCTCGCAGCATCAGTGGGTGTTCAGAAGGTGGATAGACTCTCACAGCGGCGAGCCTCTCCTCGCACCATCCCTCCGCCACTAACCGATGGGCGCATCGTGTACAGTTGTCAGTTGCACGTCGTACTACGACGTGGTTCTCACCTACACATTGCGGCGATGCCGACGTCGTCGGGCTCTGCGGTGCGGGCAAGCAACGGCCAGTGCTACAAGGAGGGGGAAGGTGACGTCCTGCGAGATCATGCTCGACTGACGCCAGCGTGGCGCGCAGGCATATATGGTGTGGTGTGGACAGGGGTGCGCGGTCACTATTGTTATCGTTACCGCACACGGGGCGGAAGTTGGTCTGGTGCTGGGGATCATCCGCTAAGAGGTGAAGTACGGAACGGTCATCTGGCGGCTGGCGGCTGACAGTCAGCGCGTCAGCACCTTCTGGCTGTCAGACACGTGTACGTACCCATACGACACGATTCACTGCGGCCGATATTTCCTGCGCGAAGATGGAGTCGGCGTACTCGGGGCAGACGTCCCTTCTGAGACCGTGAGCGTCTCAAGAGCACGAGCGGCTGCCATAGGGCCATCGCCAATGGCACGAGGACGCGAGCGCAAGCGGTAAGGAGAGCGCGAAGCGCCAGGCATCGCGGGGCTGGGCCAGGGGAGGTCGGACGCTGTGATCTTGCGCGGAGAGATCACGCCGTCTTCCTCCTCAAAGACAAGCCAATCAAGATCCTTGGTTCCGTCAGCTTTCAAGGTCGGAACTCGGTCCTGTGGCCGAAGTTGTGGAAGCGGATGACCGAGTTCTCGTTCTTTGTCCAGTTTGCGGTACCCAAGTGCTAGCGCCGTCACCCATGGTGCGGGGTGGTCGGCACAGGTTCGTGGAGCGTACAGCACGATCTCGGGCTTATCCGGCTGCCTGAGCACTCCGACAGGAATGTGAGCATTCAGGCCGACCATGGTCGCAATACCCGTCTCGGACACGGCGGCTGAGGAGCCTCCTTCGCAGGCGATGCGCAGTAACTGAACCGACGCGGCGCTGACCTTTACCTTCTTCTCCGGCTGGTTGTGCTGTCTGCGCACAAGGGTGACTTCAAGGGTGACCCGGTCGTCGTTGACCGCTTGTAGGGCCACGTATCCGATCTGCTTCTTCTCGCGCATCGTATTATGGGCCTTGAAAACGGAGTCGGAGAGTACTTCATCCGACTTGTACTCAAAAGGACATGGGCCGTTTCCCTGCAGGTGCCGAACTTGTCGGCACGCGGCGGCAGAGTAAGGGGAAGATCCAGCCTCCCGACGCAGCGCGAGTGGTCGTTGCCGGCCGACTTGATCCCTCGCATATTGTACTCCTGACGGAGACCCAATTTGGCGGCGTTGTCGGATGCTTTGGCGGCATTGTCGAATGCGCGAACGACGGCTTCAAGGGTGCGCTGTGCTGTCCGCGCCACCGAACCAACGTGCTGGGCCTCGTTCAGGTATACTTCTCTCTCCGTACTCGCACGCGTGCTCGGATGCAGAAGAGTGTTCACCTCATAGCTGAACGGCGCTTCGATTGGAACATTCTCAAAGCGATTGCACTGAAGCTGATCAGCAATCAACGATCTTGGTCCGCGCCGCACTTACAAATTGCTGGACTGTTCTTCAAGCGTAGCGACGCGGATGAGCAGCCTCGAATCAGCAGACTGGAGTAGGCCGCGGTCCATTGTCTCAATCACAATCTGCTTGAGCGGACATGTGGTTAGGGTGTCGGACAGGGCGTCGGACCGAACACGCTGGGCATGCTCCCAACTTGTACGGCGAGGCTCGCGATAGTTGCGCAAGATTTGTCCGAGGGTACATGGGACAGGAGGGACCGACATTCTTGATAGGCGATGGAAGATGACTAAATGTTGCGATGGTGCGGTGGATGATGGATGGATAACACGATGAAAAATTGATGGATGATGCGATGGCGCGATGAGAGATGGATGAGGGTGCGAGGAAGGAAGGATGATAAATGTTGACGAGGACACGTCGGGCCGCGGGCATGTTGGGCATGTAAACATCACAACAGTGTCACGTGATCTGTGACGTCGGCGCCCTATGTGACTGTCACGTGACCGGAGCTTGGGCGCAACTTCGATTCTCAGCCACAACAAACAAGTCTCTCGCAAACCACTTTCGCCCATCCTGCCTCTCACTCCCTCTAGCGCTAGTTGACCACCGGCATCGTCATATCCTTTATTGCTATCATACTCTAATTCCAATGGGAGACGTCGCAGTGGAAGTTGGAGACATCTCCCACCCAAAGTGTGCGGCCGATGTGCCAGCGACCCCGAACACATTCCCACGCAACAGCTGGTACAGCAGCGAGGCGTTCGGGGCTCCTCCGTACACTCTCTACAGCTGCTGTTACACATCATGCTGTGCTGCGAGCGAGGCCAGCATGGCGTGGTCGCGTACGCTCGGGGTTGCGCCCATGATTCTGGTTGATGGGACGCGGTGCGATCCGCCGGCTGAGACGGGGCACCGCGACGACATTGTCGACGACACGGTCTTCATGCTAGCCATCTTCGACAAGGTGCACGAGATGTGGGTGACAACTCTAATTAGACCCGCGCGACTGCTAACTGCTCCAGCACATGGTACGCTCGTCGTCGCATGATGTTCGTGGGCATGGACAAGTGGCCGCGCCAGACGGCGCTCATGTGGGTGCGCTGGACAGATGCGACGATTGTGGACGTGTATGGCGTGGTGAGTGTTCCAGTTATCCCCCAAGCTCCTGGGCGATCACCGACTGACCTCAGGCGTGCACCACACTCAAGCGCACCCCTGGACGCGTACTCGCGCCGCCGGAGCTGGACGACGTCTACTGGTTCGTGCGCGACGCGCTCGATCTGTGGCAGCATAAGTGGCCCCTTGTCGCTCTTCCGCCTGAGCCCAGGCGCCTAAAAGACTACTTCCCGTTCCCGCTGTCTGTGCTCGGCCGCTTTTCGCCGCACTTTGAACCATACGAGGTACTTTCCTGGTCGGCCGATGGCGAGCCGCTCAGTCGGATGGTCATTCCTGCGGGTCCGCTGCCGCCCCCGTGGCAGCCGGTCGAGGAGGGCGAAGTGTTCAATGCCGAGGGTCTTGCCACCATACTCGCAGTCAAGGATAAATTCCGCGACAAACGTTTCGCTTTTTTCAAGGAGTATGCGGAACAGCAGGGCGCCGACAGCACCGAAGACACCAGGGCAGCAGATAGGGCCGCGTTCTTTGACGTGCGTGAGGAAGAGCAGCCCCTCAGTGCTGCTAGCGTTGTCGTCCACGTGGGGCCCAAATTGTAGGCTTAAGCGGGTCAGGACTTTCTGAGTGGTGGTGTGTGTATGTGACGCCGAGATATTGTTGTCCTATATTTTGTTTTCCATATTGCGATGAATCATGTAGTGTAACGGCCAGGCTCCTCAAACTTACTCGAGCTCGGAACCCTCGCTGCTGGGGCGAGGCTAGCAACTGCCTGGTCGCGACAGAACGCGCCAGACCGCCCCTTCTCCGCAGCTCATAGCGGCCTGCCGATCCACACGGACCCACACAACCACATATCCTTCGATCCATTTCGCGGGGACACCGCGCGACGCGCGACAGTCACCGCGACACATACCCCCTCTCACCTCGTGCTGCGGCTCGGAATAGCACGTTGGCCACGTCGCCCGCAGCAGGTGCTATGGATAGGCGTGTACGTGCATCTACTCGCTGGTGCTATCACGGCCAGCAGACGCAGCCCTGCCTGCCTGCCTGCCTGCGTGCTTGCCTGCCTGCTTGCTTGCTCCCTGCTCCGATCGAGCTGGGCACGGCTCGTATTCGGATGCACCGACCCGCTCGCTGGAGTGCGCATCTTCGCCGCCCCGTGACCCGCGGACGAAAGTGTCATGGGCCGGGTGTGACTAAACCCTCGATCCCGCGATCACGCGAAACATGCATCAAGGATGAGCATTCCGGACCCGACGGAGGCACCGTGGGAGCCGTGTGCCGCTTCCGGCATCGCTGTGACGCAGGTTGCGTGCCGCAGCTCGCTTTGGGTCTTGGCGAGATTGCAGCTGTAACTGTCGAGCTGGCTGCATCAGCTGCATCAGCTGCATCGGCTGCTGGCTGAGTGAAGAACGAATGCAAAATCGCAACAGGTAGAGTTTGGGTGCCATCTCGCCAGTGAGCAGAATAACCATGTGCCCGTCTAGGTCGAGGCACAGGCACCCTGTGTCTTGTGTCAGATCGTGCCTCGAATGCTGACATCCGACAATCAGCCGCGGCTAGTTGGTCGCTTCAGTCTCAAGTTCCAGTTCCTATTCTAATCCAACCTTGCTATCACTAGCGTCTCATGGTTACATGGTACGCATGCATGCGCGTGCCACTTGGCGCAGATGGCGGAAAGCACATCTCCGCTTTTCTCTACTCCTCTACAGCTCTACTCCACATCCTGCACGCCGCTGTACGCCTCGAGCTTCTGGCCCGCACCCTCCCAGTCAAGCGTGCCCTTGACAAGCTCGTCGACAACCGCAATCACGTCGTCGATCTTGCCAATAAGCTGCGCCGTCGTGTCACGCTCGCGCAGGGTGATCGTGCCATTTTGAAGCGCTGCTAGTCAGTTTCAAAGCAACATGCAAGGTCCAAGGCACCGGGGCGTGCAGACACGCCCGCCTGCGTGCCCACACACCGGACAAACCAAGTCTAGCCTCTCTAGCTCCTCTGTACTCACTAGCGAAGTCAACCGTGCAGCCAAACGGCGTGCCCAGCTCGTCATTGCGCGCATACTTCTTGCCAATTGACGCGCCAGAGTCGTCCACACGCGACGCAATGCCGTACTTGCGCAGTTTGCGGGCTATTATTAGCTCGGTGACAATGGCTTTACTCACTGAGGTCGTGAATGACCGCCGTGAGCTTGGGGTCGTTCGAGATCGCCACGATCAGCACCTTGATGGGCGCAACCAGGACCGGGAACGAAAGCACACCACGCGCCTTGTCCTGCTCACGCGCCCAGTACGAGTGCTCGAGCAGCGAGTAAAGGATACGGCCAATGCCGAACGACGGCTCAATGACGTTGGGCACGAACTCGCGCACATGCTCGGTCACAGTCTTGGGCGTGATCGTGACCAGGTCGGCAGTAATCTCGTACGTCTTGCCGTCAGAGCACTTGACCTTGCTGCTCTTGCTTGGCCCCTCGAGCTCGTCCTTGATGCACTGCAGGCGCTCCTTGTCCGACGCCAGCAGCGTCTCCTTGATCGTACCAGCGTCCTTCTTGAACTTGATGCCGAACGCCTTCGCGTCAAACGTGCACTCCAGCTTCTCAACGGTAATAGGTTCGTCGAGGCGCTGCTGCACACGCAGAGGCTGTTTGGTGCGAGCCTGGTGCACCGAGAGGTCGTATGCCGAGCGGTCCGCGCAGCCGACACACTCGATCCAGCCGTACGACGACTGGATCTCAAAGTCCCAGCAGTCGGTGGCGTAGTGCGCCATCTCGTTGCCCATGTGCTGCCGGCAGCGCATGCGCTTGGGGTCAATGCCGATCTTGGTGAGGAACAGCTGCGTGCGCGCGAGGAAGTAGCCGAGGGTCTCGTTGTCGACGATACCCTGGGCCACGGCGTCACCGATCGACATGTGCGTGATGTCCGACTTGCCCTCCATCTGCACGTCCTTGGGGAGGAGAGCAAGGACGACGTCCTTGACCTCGTTGAAGCGGGCGTGCTTCTTGTCGGCGGGGTCGACAAAGTGCTCGATTTCAGCCATCGTGAACTCGCGCACGCGGAGCAGGCCCTGACGCGGCGAGATCTCGTTACGGAACGACTTGCCGATCTGCGCAGACGCGAATGGTACACGCCCGTTGTTGAACTCGAGCAGGCGCGCAAAGTTGACAAAGTGGCCCTGCGCAGTCTCGGGGCGGAGGTAGCCCTTGATGTGGCCGGTGGGGCCGATGTTGGACTCGAACATGAGGTTGAACTCGACGGGCTCGGATAGGGCGTTGCCAGTGGTGGGGTTGGTGATGTTGTACTTCTTGATCAAGCCACCGAGCTCAGCACCGGTGTAGTTGTCAATCTGGGCGAGCACCGACTCATACTCGGCCACGACCTCGTCATCAAGCTTGACTGCCGTGCTCTTGACCTTGGACTTCTTCTTCTTCTTCTTCGGGTCCTCCTCCTTCTCGGCGTTGGGGTCCTCCTTGATCCCGCGCGCCTCCTTGTCGCCCTTGAGACGGCCCTCGATCACGGCCTCGACGAGGTGGTCGGCACGGAAAATCTCGCCGTTGACAACGTCCTTGACCATCCAGTCGGCGAACCTGTTGTCAGCGCCACCTTCCCCCACGATGTTCTCACTTGTCAACGTGGCCCGAAGTCTTGAGCACCTCGGCGAGAGTCATGATAGTCGTGTCGAGCTCAAGCATGTCCTCCTCGATGATGTAGTGCTTGCGCCATGCGTCGAGGATGTTGGCCTGGAGTGACGAGCCGGTCGGGCCATAGTCGTAGAGACCGGCGACACCGCCGTAGATCTCGAACGCGGGCGCAAAGAAGAAGCGGCGCGTAAGGACGGCGTCGAGGTTGGTCTTGTCAAACTCGTGCGCCGTCCGGTTGACAACGGGAGCGGGGGCCATGGCGGATGTAGCTTCGGTGTAGACGGTGGTGTAGGGGCGGAAAGGGCGCTTGGCGAATGTGAGAGACGAAAAGAGGGGCGAGATCGTGCGTGTCCAGGAGCTGCTATTTAGGCGGCTGATGGGCATAGACAACTGAATGGAAGTAATGAAGAGTAGCGATGCGATGGACGTATCGTGTGCGCACCGAGTCGATTCTTTCCGGGTTGATCGCCCCGTGCTTGGCGCTGCCCCCATCGCCCACTCCGTCTCGGAGCTGGCAACATGTCCGGCCACTGTTATTGATAAGCACAAAAGACTTTTCCACCCGCGGCAAAGCAACAATGCCACGTATTAAATTGAGAGGGACCTCCACCCGCAGAGTCGCTCTCGAGTCCATTCAACAACATCCAATTCACTCATGATCACTTCCTCTCATCATTTGTCTTCATTGCCAGCATGACCGTCCAGCATCATCTGCGACCTTTAAGACTGGGAGAATCCCAATGGCTGTTCGATCTCGACGAGCTGGAGATGAAGACACCTTCGAGGGATGCTGGCTTCTCCTTCGACCAGGAGCTCGAGGCGCGTAAACAGACCATCCTCTTTATGCGTAGCTTGTGGCTGAGAGTGGCAGCGTAGGTGGTTAGTCAAACAGTGCTGATGGCAGTAAACTTCACGAGACAGACCCCGAGGTCACTCCCGGCAAGGCCGTGATTACTCTGGGTGCTATCTTGGTGCACCGCTTCTACATGCGGCGCTCAGTAGGCGACTTCTCCCCCTCAGTGAGATGGTCTACATCGCGTCCTTTCTAACCGTAGATCCTTGCACCTGTGATCCTGTTTCTTGCCTCCAAGGTCGAGGAGGCGCCGCTCAAGCTACGGCATATCATCAATGCCTGCCTCGCGAAATTCGAGCCCGGTGCACCACTCTGGGAACCGTCTAACAGCGAGGACGTTAATGTACGTCTAACCATGTCCTTCTGACCGTCAGCCCCAGCCCCTCGAGTACCGAAGGTGGGAGAAGGAGATTCTCGCGACTGAGGAAGTGGTCGTTGAGGCATTGTGTTTCGACTTTGCGGTCGATCAGCCATGGCCTATCCTCCGCGCCGCCATCCGCGGCATCGATGGCTTGTGGGCCAACCAGGGCGGAGAGGAGTCCAATGGCATGGCGAGCCATCGTCTCACTGAGGAGATCATCATCGAGCTGGGATGGGCGATGCTTAATGAGGGTTATCTTTCCCCACTGCCGGTCCTGTATCGGCCCGAGTACACTGCCTTCGCTGTGTTTACTCTCATCCTTGCTCTGGTCGAGCAGATGTCTCTGGACGAGGCAAGGGCTGCTGCCATGGAGCTTGCGGGGCGATTTGGGCTTGACATTCCGTGGAGAGACATCGCCATGGGCGACGTCGAGCCGAGCGCGGAGGAGGAGTACGCGCAAGGTGAGGCGTGAGCGATCGCCGGCTGGCTGATTCCAGGGGCGATCAACCAGTACCTCAAGTACTGCCAGGAGGGCATCATCGATCCAGAGCTTGCGCTTATGATTGACGTGAGTTGGCCAAGCTGACCGAGCTGACCATAGGCATCTCGCACTGGTCCCGAGCAGTACACACGCAGGTTCAAGGTCGAGGGGCAGGTCAACGGGAATGGACCATTGAACGGCGACGCCATGTAAGGTCTCATATGGCCATGTAGCATCAACGTCATCTCATGTCTTGTCATTGCATAGTATACAGTATATGAATTCTAGTCTACACACCGATGGATGCAAGCCATCGTCGTGGGCCTTCGACGGCTCGGGCGCGCCCGCCAGGCGTAACGAGCATGAAGGGCATGAGGGGATTTGCGCTTGCTGCGCTCGCCTTGCGGTTCTTCTGCGCTGCTTGTGCTTCCATCAGCGCACAACCTCCTCGGAAAACTCACTGCAGAGGTTGATCTCGCTGATATTTGTTTCAAGGACTAACCCGCCCTGGATAATCTCGTCCAGCACGTACTGCACGTCGTCAAAGTGGAAGATGAGGTCGAGCTCGCAGACGTTCTCGAACGCCCGGTCCAGGCTCTCCACAAACACCTGGATGAGGTCCAGAATGCCGAGTTCGCTCTCAGCGCCATCCACCACAAAGACAAAGTACAGCGTCGCGTAGTGGCGGTAGATGACGCGCGTGTCGTCGCCCTCCTTCCCCGCGGCCGAGGGGGAGGGGAAGACGAGTTCGGGCGCGTCCAGAAAGTTGCATACCCCCGCCGGGCGGTCTGAGATCAGGCTGAAGATCTGCGAGATGAGCGCCTGCTGCTGCACAACCGAGACAGGCGCGTAGAACTTTGACAGACGGGCTTTGCCTGCGTGTTAGCGGGGTAAGAAGAAGTACGTACCGTGGGTGTTAAAGATGAGAACGGCGCGGATCATCGCGGGCCGCGAGGGGGGAGGAGTAGTGAGAGCAAGGAAGGTGGCGGGCGAAGTTGACTGGATATGATCGAGATGGTCGTCATTCTGAGATGGATGCGGGAGGGGGCGACGGAGATGCGCCAAACCCCGTGTCAACATGATCCACGTGGTGCAATGACGTGTCATAAATGCAGCTTGTGGCTATCGTAAGAAATTTGAAGGAGCAAGGTCCGTGATTTCCCATCCCACAGAAATTCTGGGTATCAGAGTGGGTAGGGTGGGATTAGTGGATGTACAAGAGGTGCGAGTGTGGGTGGCGTTTGCTAGGGCGTACCTGGGTGCATTGGGTGGGAGATGGTCTGTGCTCCATACTGCCTGCTCCCAAAAGTAACGGATAACGGAAGCAGAAGCCGAGCACCCGCCCAGCGTGCAGCGTTCCCGGCGTACGGCGTCAGCGCGCGTGTCACTCTCCCCCCTCCTATCGCCACTGCCCCCCCCCCCCTCCCCTTATCCTGAGCCCCCGTCCCCCCTCTTCAACTTTTTTGGCCAGCCAGACATCTCATCTCTCCTCCCTCCTCATCAACACCTTCTTTCTTCACCAGTGGGTCCATCACACAAGCGAGGACTCCAACATGGACGTAAGTACCTCCTCTACTCACTCTTCTCCCCCCTCCCCCCGTGCACAGCTCACTCCAGCCCGCATTCGTTCAAAATCTCCACCAGCTCCTTGAGGGCACCATCGCGCCTGACACGAACGTGATCAAGCAGGTGCGTATTTTGTTGCCAGCTCATCACCACCCACAAACTAACCCACAGGCGACGACCCAGCTCAACACCCAGTACTACAAGAACCCCGAGTGCATCCCCGCCCTCTATGAGATTGCTGCCAGCAGCCAGAACCAGGCGGTGAGTGCATGATGTGTGGGAGGGCGTGCGGAAATTCTTTCGATTTCAGAGCGTCACGTTGCGCGCGGACCATCAGGGCTCGCACAGAGCTGTGATTGTGATGGGCAGGGATCGCATTAGAGTATGCAGACGCTGACGCCGCACAGATCCGTCAGCTCGCCGCCGTCGAGCTCCGCAAGCGCGTGAACACCGGCAACGGCAAGCTTTGGACCAAGACGCCCGAGCCTGTCCGCAGCCAGATCAAGGCGAGCATCCTTTCCCGCCTCACCCAGGAGCCCGCGTGAGTTTTCGCAACGCTCAAATCGCGCCAGCCACCATACCTTCCCTCGCTGACACTCAGCCGTATCGTCCGCCACGCCCTCGCCCAGACCGTCGCCTCCATCGCCGAGAATGAGCTCGCAGTCCAGCCTCCCCAGTGGCCCGACCTTGTCCCCGGGTTGTATCAGGCCGTCCAGTCCAGCGAGCAGCTCCACCGTGAGACCGCCATTTTCGTCCTCTTCGCCCTCCTTGACACTGTGCTCGAGTCCATGCCCGAGCAGCTCCCTGCCCTCTTTGACATCTTCTCCAAACTCCTCCACGACCCTCAGTCCGGTGATGTTCGTATGACCACCGTCCGCGCCCTGGCCAAGGTGGCCGAGAACATTACGCCTGACGAGAAGCACGACATCAAGGCGTTCCAGGAGTTGATCGTGCCAATGCTCAAGGTCATTGAGCAGGCCATCAAGGACGACGACGAGGAGGCCGTCCGCCACGGCTTTGATGTCTTCGAGACTCTCCTCATCCTTGACGCCCCTCTTGTTTCCAAGCACGTCGGCGAGCTCGTCCAGTTCTTCCTTGGTGCTGCTTCCAACGCCGAGGTTGACGAGACCATGCGCTGCGGTGCTCTCAACGTTCTTGCCTGGACTATCCGCTACAAGAAGTCGAAGGTTCAGGCTCTTGGCCTTGCCAAGCCCATCGTCGAGGGTCTTCTTCCCATCGGTATGGAGGAGGACCCCGAGGACGTTGACGAGGACTCCCCGTCGCGCCTTGCCTTCCGCTGCCTTGACACCCTTTCCCAGTCCCTCCCTCCCCAGCAGGTTTTCCCCGCACTCTCCCAGCAGCTTCAGGTCTACATGGCTGGCAACGCGCAGATGCGCAAGTCGGCTCTTATGGCCTTTGGTGTGTCCGTCGAGGGGTGCTCCGAGTACATTCGTCCCCACGTCGAGCAGCTCTGGCCCGTCATCGAGGGCGGTCTCCGCGACAGCGAGCTCGTTGTTCGCAAGGCTGCCTGCATCGCTCTTGGCTGCCTCTGCGAGTGGCTCTCTGAGGAGTGCGCCACCCGCCACGGAACCATTGTCCCCATCCTTTTTGACCTCATCGTCGACCCCTCCACCCAGAAGAACGCCTGCACCTGCCTCGACTCGTACCTTGAAATTCTTGGTGACGACATTGTCAACTACCTCCCCCTTCTTATGGAGCGTCTGTTGATTCTTCTCGAGAACGGCCCCATCCCGGTCAAGATCACCGTTACCGGTGCCATAGGCTCGGCTGCCCACGCTGCCAAGGACAAGTTCCGCCCCTACTTCGACCAGACCATCCAGCGTCTTGTCCCCTTCATTGGCCTCACGGGCTCTGACGAGGAGAGCGACCTCCGTGGCGTTGCCACCGACACCATTGGCACCATCGCCGAGGCCGTTGGCGCCGACATCTTCCGCCCCTACTTCGAGAACATGATGAAGGCTTCGTTCGAGGCTCTCACCGTGGACAACACCCGTCTTCGCGAGTCTTCGTTCATCTTCTTCGGTGTCATGGCTCAGGTGTTCGAGGGCGAGTTTGCCGTCTACCTTCCCCAGTGCATTCCCGCTCTCGTTGCTTCTTGCCAACAGAGCGAGTCTGCCGACGAGTTCTTGGATGAGGCCGAGGGTGGGGAGAACACCTCCAGACTCGCCGCGGAGGCCTTCTCCACGGGCATCAGCGGCTCGGGCAAGGGCATCCCCACCATCGCTGGCGATGACGAGGACGACGCCGAGATCGACCTAGACGCGCTCGACCAGATGTTCTCGCGTGTCAACTCGGCCATTGCCATCGAGAAGGAGGTTGCCGCTGACACCATTGGTGAGCTGTTCAACGCCACCAAGTCGGCCTTCCTGCCATACATCGAGGAGACCATGAAGGTCCTCATCGACCTCCTTGAGCACTACTACGAGGGCATCCGCAAGGCTGCCATGGGAGCGCTTTTCCAGTTCATCAAGACTGTCTACGAGCTCTCCAACCCCCAGGAATGGGTCGCAGGTGCCGAGATCAAGGTGCCCCTGCACGCCGACGTCAAGAAGCTGGTTGACCACATCCTTCCTCACATCTTCGAGGCTTGGAGGGTTGAGGACGACAAGTGCGTATATTCTTTCCCTCCCCCCCTTCCCCTAAATGATGATAAACATAACTCAGCTCACTCCGAGCGCAAAGCGCATAAGAGGCTACTTTTTATATTATTTTCTGATCCCTCTCCCACTCCTTTTGTCTCTCTCCTCCAACGAGATCAACAGCTAACGCTGCAGGTCGGTCGTTATCCTGCTTTGCTCTGAGCTTGCCGACACCATGCAGAAGTGCGGCCCGGCGGTCGTCGAGGGCCGTCTCGATGAGATCGCCAAGCTCACCATTGAGATACTGGAGAAGAAGTCGTTCTGCCAGCAGGACCCCGATGGAGACGATGAGGGCGTTGGCGCCGACGGCGAGCTGTCCGAGTACGAGTCCATGCTCATCTCGAACGCCGCCGACGTCTTTGGCGCCATGGCCGCGGTTCTCGGTCCTGACTTTGGCCAGGCCTTCAACACCGTCCTCCCTCTCATTTCCCAGTACGCCCAGCCCAAGAGCATCTCTTCTGAGCGCTCGATGGCCATCGGATCGCTGGGTGAGATCATTGTCGGTCTTAAGGCCGGCGTCACCCCTTTCACCGTCCCCGTTCTCGAGGTCATCTCGCGCGGTTTGCAGGACGAGGAGGCCGATGTGCGCTCCAACTCGGCCTTCGCGGCTGGTGTCCTCATCCAGAACTCGGAGCAGGACCTGTCGCAGCACTACCCTGCGCTGCTCAGCGTTCTCGGCCACTTCTTCCAGGTGCCCGACCACTCCCCGCCTGCCGTGTACAACGCTCGCGACAACGCTGCCGGCGCTCTTGGCCGCATGATCGTCAAGAACCCCTCGGCTGCGCCCCTCGACCAGATTGTCCCCATGATGGTCTCGTGCATGCCCCTGCAGTTCGACCCGATCGAGAATCGCGCCGTCTACAGCGCCGTCTTTGCCCTCTTCCGCAGCAACCCCGCCACCCTCGAGCCGCACCTCGACCACCTGCTCCGCGCCTTCGCCTTCAACCTGTCCGCAGCCCACGCCGACGACATCACCGAGGAGACCCGTGCCGAGCTCCAGGCCCTTGTTGAGCACCTCAAGCAGAGCGTGCCGGACAAGGTCGCCGCTGCTGGCCTCTAAGCTCTCGGCCTGAGGCCCGACGCGGTGCGAAGTCGGGGTCTGTTGTTTCTTTTAGTAGGCTAGTAGGCTGCGCGTGGCGCCCACGGCCACGCGCCACGAGTTTAATGTCGGCAGCCGGCAGCACTTCCTCCGGGCTGGCTCGCTTTGCGCAATCTGTGTGAATACCAATCATACCCTCCATAGTTTTTCACCCATGTAGACTGCATGTTCCGGAGTGGAGTGGCATTCTCGTGGAAGTTATGGTCAGAACTGTATCACCCACAAGTCGAGGGGAGCTGCGGTTGTGCTTCTTCAGCACTTCTGCGTAAAATGCGCCACGTCACACGATGCAAATGCTACAGATACACTACTGGCCTCAGACTAACTATTTCCTCATGCTCGACAGTATTCTCCAGGACACTCCAGACCATCTAGTGCTCCTCGTGTTCCGGTGCCGGCGCACCCCGCCTCCCAGCCGTCGCAAGACATCCCTCGACGACCTGCAGGAGGTGGCTGTTCTCCAGGGCGGCTTGCACACGCTCCTTGTCGTTGAGCTGCTTGTTGACGGCGTGCTCAGACTGGTGCGTGCCAGGCTTGATCCGGATATCGACGCGGTATCGTCGCGGCAGAGCGCGGAGGAGGCGGACACGGAGCGATAGACCTGCGGTTAGCGGTGGAGGTCTGGGTCAAGCGGACGAGCAGACGAGCGGACGGAAAGCGAATGACGGGGCGGTTGCCAAGTGCGGGACACAGGCGCAGCCGACGACTCCAATACAGCCGTTTGCCACCATCCTCCTCTCTCCATTGCTCCTCGCGCTGACTCACCGATCAGCGTGGACATGGAGCAGTGCGGAATTGTCGGGGTGAGATACACGAGCACGCGGTTGCCGACGACATGGATGTCCTCGCGGCTCACGACGCGCAGCTGCTCGAGGCTAACTGGGTGCTCGGGGTCGGTGACGGAGCGGAGGAGATCTGAGGTTAGCGGTGGCGACGTAATCAGCGCGCAGAGTTAGCGCAATGGAAGAACGAGTGAGACGAGTTGGAGGTGAGGATGATAGCCTGTCAAAACGCTAGTCCAACAGCCCGCGCTCGACCGCCCCCGACCCGACGACTCGCACTCGCTCCTCCATCTCACTCCCTCCTCAACACATCGCTGACTCACCAAACACCTCCTGCGCATCGATCTCCTCGCCCACCTCGCTCCCGCTCCCGCTGCCCTCGCTCTCCTCTTCGTACGCCTCGCTCCACACCGCCTCGGCACGGTGCGCAGCCTGCGTGGCAAAAATCGTCGGGGCGGCGTTATCCAGTGGTCGGGACATGGTGTTCTGGCAGGTAGTGAAGATCAGTTGTCGTCCAAATGGCCGAATGTCCAAAGTGGAGGTGAGCCCGGTCACATGGCCCCTGCCACTCTTCAGGTGAGGTGGAGTAAAACCCCCCCCTGATTCGCCCGCGCCGCCTCACCGTAAAGGTCCGAGCTAACCCCGATTCGTCCTTCTCTTCATCGCTCACACCGCACACCACTCATCACCATGGCCGAGGAGAAGTGAGTCCGCCGGCTCCGGCTGCGCCGCGCTGTCGAGCGCAGCGCACATGGCCCGAGATACATGCATGCTGACAGCAGGACTTACACCGTACGCCTGCGAGACGGGAAATGCTGACCCTCAAGCTCCAGACTGCTGGCTTCGAGTACGTCTGCTACTAGCCTCCCGTCTCCGCTAACCCCAGCGCCCGGTTCCCTAACCAGAACCAGACCAAGCACTGGTACGCTGCGCCGCGCGCCGAGAGAGATGAACTGACCCCGCGCGATTTGCCGCCTCCCCGCATTTCCTCCACTTCCTCCGCTGCATTTTGCTCCTCCCGCTATCTCGCTCGCTCGCATCCTCGCTCTCCCTTGCAGCTGGGTACGTGGCTCGACGAGAATCGCGACACAGACTGACACCCGAACAGCAGAACTTCGTTGACTACCACAAGTGTGTCAACGCCAAGGGCGAGGAGTTCGCCCCTTGCCAGCAGTTCAAGCGCGCCTATCAGTCGCTCTGCCCCAGTGAGTACTTCTGCGGGACATAAGAGCAGATCTGGATATCTCGGGAACTCGGCAGCATGAGTGGAAGCCGCGAAGCACTCGACGATGTCCGAGGTGTGGGGGTGGTAGCGCGGTGGCTGGCATGGCTGGCCGAGGCAGCGGGCGCGGGCGAACGGGAATGCAGGAACGGGCGTCATACCCTGGCAACAAAAGGATTGTTCTCGGTTGCACCGAAGTGCCGACCCCGGCACCCCGGCTCGTGCACGGCGCGAACGCGCTGTGACGGTCCGCGGCGATCCAGTGCCACCTGCGCGCCATGTCCTGCGCCTGCACCCGCAACTCGTCAACTTGTCAAAGAGTTGCGCACCCCTGGGCATAGCTCTACCTACGTGCAAGCTACCTACACTTTTCAACTCTTCGCCGCCCGCACTACTGACGCGCAGACGAGTGGACCAACAAGTGGAGCGAGCAGGTCGAGAACGGCACCTTCCCCGCCTCGCTCGACCCTTAGAAACGTGTGTCTGTAGCTGCATGAAATCAAAGCTGCGAAAAGCATGCGGGTAAAAATGAAACACCTGGTGCATCCAACTGTACTCTGACATACACACGCGTCGTATGTTGACGCCGACCTGTCTGCTATCCGCCTACTGCTGCGCCTGCGCAGCGCCATCCTCGGCTTCGTCCTCTTCCTCGACGAAGATCTCCTGGTATTTGTCCAGAATAGTCTCGATGGCCTATTGTCAGTCAACACCTAGTTTGCCTTCAGCGTACCTTGCACTGGTAGCTCATGTCCTCCAGCTTGAGACCGCCCTCCTCCGGCGGCGCGCCGAGTAGTGTCGGCCCGAAGACGATCGACAGATTGGATGCCGACATCTGATTGATTCCCTCATGGCGGCGCACTTTATCGAGGTGGCCCATAAAGTACTTGAGCGTGGCGTAATTGGGGTCCGGGAGGTCGTTAACCTGCTCATGTAGTCTGATATGACGAAGACGATCATTATCCTTCTTCGCCGCCTCAATGAACCCGTGATACAGGCCATAGGTGAGCAGCGGCTCGGGGAGCTCGCGGAACCATTGCTTGAGTGCGCCAGACACCTCGTTGATGTCCGAGCTCCATGCCTCGTCCATAATGTCGACTGCGTCTATATCTGATTTGTTAGAGAGCAGCTGCGTTGCCCGATTGGGCTCACCCTTGTCCAAAGCATTCTTCAGTGCCGTCACCTTCGACGTCGTCCCCGACAATCGATAGATGCCGATTGAGTCGAGGCCTGTTTCATCAGCACACGGGCTTCTCAAACAACAAAGACACATCGACCCACCGTATGCTTCGATCGCCTCGGCACACTTGACGACCACCTTTGGCACCTCTGTGCCATCGCGAGCGAGCTGGTCCCCGAGGTCCACACCAAAGGTGGCCCCCGAGCTGGCCGGAATGCCCGGACTGACGTACATGTCCGCAGTCGACGCTGGCGATGGCCCGCCCTGAGATGGGGGCTGAGGCAAACTGCCGTTCCCGTTCGAGATGGGTGGCAACTGGGGAGGTGCTTGGGACACCAAGGATGAGTGGGCGGATGGCAGCTGCACCTGTTGTTGTTGTGTCGACGATTGCTGCTCCTGTTGCTGTTGAAGATGGGGCACTGCTGGAACCTTGAGGGTCAGCGTTGGGAATGGCAAGGACCTTACGTAGCCTTCATCGTACAATCCAGCGCGGCGGGGCCCTCTGGGTGTGTTACGGGCAACAGCGTAGTTTTGCATATATGCCTTGAAGTCGGAACGGTTGTCAATCGAGTCAAAGGTGGCCTTCATACCCGCTGTAACGCCGTGAGCACCGTGCGCTGGCTGATTCGTGTGCGATGCCGCTCACCTTCTTCTGGGTCACGCGGACTGAGGTGGATACCCTCTTGCACCACCGTCGACTCATACATGTACGCGTACCGCGTAAGGTGATACTGCATCCCATTGTCGAGCTCGTCTGCGCAGTCTTTAAGAGCCTGTACGTTAGTTCCCCCCTTGAAGGTATCGGCTGCGAATGAACTTACGCGAATGATCTTGGGCAAATGTGTCTCGAAATACTCTTTGCGCAACTTCTGGCTATCGACACACGCCTTGCGGAAAGCTTCACTCGCCAGCGTCATGCGAGCGCGTACATCGTCCTCATGTTTGGCCATCTGCGCTGGGTTCTTGCCCTTGAACAAGCCCTTGGTCATCGCCTTCCCAATGCCCTTCTTGCCGCCGGTGGGTGGAAGACCGTTCCCTGCTGCCGCATTCGCAGCGTTAGTCGAGCGCATGCCCGCATCGCGGAAGCTTTCTCCTTCCTTTGCTACCAGAATGCGTTCCAACTCCTCGGCCGTCTGATCAAAGCGCGCCTTGGCCTTGTCCATGACCGATTCGCTATCCTGCAAGGTACTCTGCAACCGTGTGCCATTGTCCTTGTGCTATCATTAGCCGTATTCCGAGGGTAGACTTGGGACTCACCTGCTTGCGATGCCGATCTCCTTCTCGACTCAAAGTGAACATTTCCTCGCTCATCTCGTTCAACCGCTGCGAGAATCTCATTCGATTCTGCCCCAACTGATCTTGCAGTCGCAGAGCAGCCTGATATGAAGCCACAAAGGTGCCAGCCTTGCAGTCTGCCTTGGCGTAAACATCGTTCGAGGTGCGTGCGCCGTCCATAAGGCTTCGTGCGTACTTTTCCTCGATGTCGGCACGTTGTCTGAAAAAGGTTCCCACTTGCTTGACAAGTTAGTCGCGGTTGTGCACGTAGTCACTCACCTTGCATGATGCAATGCTTTGCTTTATTCGGTCTGCAAGAAGAGGCAGTGCACACTGGTATTAGCCCAAAGTGTGCCTTAACGAGGAAGGCGATGCCACTTACGTCCATGTCGTACAGTGCGTTCAGAATGCCTTCATCCAAGGTCATGGGCGGCTCATCCTTGTCCTCGAAACGCGACGACGTCGACATACGACGCGGGCCCGGTTGCCCGGGGCCGGGGGTTGGTACCGTGCTTGACCCAATAGACACCTGATCAGAGGGTGATGTGACGCCGCCGCCGTTCGAAGATGAAGACGCGTGCATGAGAAGTGGTGGAGGTGTTGGCTGTCCCGAGTTCTGAGGTGCTGTGTCCTGTCAGCTTGATGGTGATGCACACGAGAGAAGAGCTTGATTGACTCCGCGCAACGCGCGACAGCGGAGAGGGGTGGCATGTGCAGGACACATGCAGACACTGGTGGGTACAAGTGCTCGAAACGCGACGTACCTGGGTCCGATGAGTAGCCCACTGAAGGGTATCGAGATCGGTAGTCGAGTTCTGACCCGCCGTAGACGCCTTCTGGATAGTTGTCCATGTCGGCGACAGCGATGGGGGCCGAGAGGAGGATGCAGTGGGGTTGTTGTTGGAGATTGAAGAGTTGATGGAGGAGAGAGAGAGAGGGGGGGGATGACTGGACTGCAACTGGGTGCTGGGTGAGACGTGCAGCGCGTGCACCAGTCGTGAGTGTGAGTTTGAAGAGCAAGGGGTAAAGAGGGGAAGGGGGTGCCAGGCTCCACTCTTGAACGGTGCCGCCGCTGGATCGCCGTCCGTCAGAGCCTGCGCGACCAGAGGACTGGTTTGGGGGGGGGGGGATGGGGCAAAAGAGGAACAGTCGACGAGTCTGAGTTTACAGGAGGTCGGCCACTGGAGGGGATGCCGAAGTGGTAGTAGTTGTTGTTGTTATTGTGAACAAGGAGCGAGGAGGAGAGATGATGATGATGAAGAGTGGTGGTGGTGGTGGGTGGTGAATGTGAGGAATTGGGACCAGGTACGTGGTTCGGGGAGGGGACGTGGGTGGAGAACGAGAGGGAAGGCGGTCCTCTGAAGGGTCCACACGACCTTGAGCGTGGATCGTGGAGCGCGTTTTGACTATTATTGCTCTATTACTGTATATGTCTATTGAGACTTTTGGGGTCAAATTGTATCAGACATTAGTCCCGGATGCTATTGATGTTATTATTCACAATGCCAGGTTTCAAAAGTATTAGCCACAGCCAGGACGCGTGCAGCCGGCATCGGCGCTACAGGGAATCGACGCCTCACACCTCCACTTTGCACGTCCACCTCCCGCTTCCACCTCTTCCACCTCTTCTCAATTCTTGTCCTCCTCCCCCCAACTTCCGCTCTCGGATGCATACGACATGTGATTGCGGGTGCCGCTGACAATGTCGTTTTACTCAAGCCTCTTAGGCCTCCCCGTCATTAGAGCACCGGTTATTTGTTGAGGCGGACCTGTCTCACTTCTGGCGCGCCCGTCGGTGGTCATAAGTTCGCGGCCCATGCCTGTTCTTGTTCTCGGCCTCTCTTAGACTCTGCTTCCCCTCGCCGACTTCGGCCATGCCGTATTCCTCGATGCCTTACATTTCACAAACACGCATCCCATCCCCCACCCATGCACCCCCACGCAGCACGCAGCCGACAGTCAATCAGACGTGGTCTCATCGCTCACACCCACCCCATGGCGGAGGGCTATCGCGGACCGTGGCGGGATCTCATCTCGCTCGGAAAACAGTGTATTGCACCACGCCCCCTCGTCCTCTCATGATCTCATGCTCCCATGCTCCCACTCTATCCTCGCAGACCGCACTACTGTACGCGTCTCACGCGAGTGTCACCATGTGCTGCAGTCATAGGCCAATTGACAATTGACCGATCGCCGAAATGTCGCTTCCAGGGCGCACGGTTAGATCTGCCTCGACGTCAACCGGGTCTCCGCAACATCACCACCTCCTCCATCCTACTTATACCCCACTCTCGCGCCCGTTTCCACACACGCTCCTTTCTCCTCCTCTACCTCCTCCTCCTCCTCACCCTCCTCGCTCACCCCTCACTCACGACACATCGACCGCAATGCAGGCCCCAGACGTACACCCGGCACTCTACGTGCTCCTTGCGCTTCCCATCCTCGCCGTCGTCCTCCGCGCCCGCCGCGGTCCAAGCCGCGAGAAGATCATCAAGCCCACCGACGAGCGCGTCGTTCTCCTCGGCTCCTCCTCGGGCGTCGGCAAGGATCTCGCCTTTGCATACGCCAAGCGCGGCGCCAAAATGTACTCTATTCCCGCCCCTCACCACTCTTGAGCTGACCGCAGCGTCCTCGTCGCCCGTAGAGCCTCATCCCTTGAAGAGGTCAAGGCCCAGTGCGTCGCCCTAGGCTTGAAGGAGGATCGCATCATCGTGTGCCCCGCCGACATCCGCAACCCCTCGGACCTCCTCGGCGTCCGCGACGCGGTCGTAAACGGTGAGTAGTGTCGTGGACGACACTGACGCCAGCCTGGGGTGGCCTCGACACGCTGCACATCCTCGCAGGCGTGCCCTCTACCCGCACGCTGTTGCAGATTGCGGGCGTCGACCTCGTCCCCGAGCCGCGCCCGATCGTCCCCCGCCCCCGCCTCGTTCCAGCCGAAGACCTGGCCTGGGTCGGCCCCGGCGGCGCCTACCACTCCGCCACGCATCTGCCCACCGCTAGAGGCCTGGAAGCAGTGGCTGCCGAGGCGCGCGCCTGCTCCGAAATCAACTTTGTCGGCACGGTGCTTGCGCTCGCGGCTTTCCTCCCCGTCCTCTGTGTCAGCTCGGCCTCGCCTGCCATCCACCACCTCTCCTCGGTCGCGGCCGCCATCGCCGCCCCCAGCCGCTGCATCTACTCCGCCACCAAGTCGGCGGCGCTCATGGCCGTCGAGAGCGCGCGCGTCGAGTGCGAGGGCGCCGGCGTCCGCTTTTTCTGTGAGTCAAAACCCTAATCTTCCTGCGCACCTTACACCAGCCCTCCTCCCCGGCACGATCGACAACGAGTTCCGCACCAAGACCCCCTGGTCCCAGAACGGCGGCAACTGCGAGGTCGAGAAGGGCGTCAAGGCCGGCTGGACCGAAAAGCTCCTCCTCCCGCCCCAGGCCGTCGTCGACGCCATCCTCACCCAGCTCGCTCTCCCCCCCGCGCCCTACCCCGTCATCCCGTACCCGCCCTTCTCGTGGGTTCCCGCCCTCCGCGCGCCCCCCAAGTCCACATTCTTCCTCCCCTACATGTACAAGCTCGCCACGCTCATGGCCCTCACCCCGCTCGGATACCTGTACGTCGAGCCCAACGCTCGCAAGAAGTACGGCCTGCGCCCATGAGCTGTTGTAGGCGCTGTCGATGTCGAGAAACGGGCGGTCTGTCGCACCGCTGCTGTCATGGAGGGGCGTATCCCGGTAAAACTATGTGTATTTGGTCATCTCATCATGACAGATGTGACGGCGATTTAGAAGTGATGATACAGGCTGCGGAATGTCACACCCGTCATACTTGTGTTGGAATAAAAACCTGTCATGGTCGGGAAGCTAGGAGCGTATCATGTGAACCCAGTGGGGGTGTCGAACGATGTGACGCCCCTACCTTGCTCTCTTGCTCTGTGTCCCCCAATCAACCAGCGCAAAGTAGGCGCGTTTCTGCGCAAGGCGTGTACTTCCTTCCATTGGGACTGACGGGCAGGATCAGATAACTCGTTCAACCATCCACTCATTCCGCCTGGCTCTAACTGTGACATGATCGGACTACGCGCGGCGCGCGGGTATCTTACTACTTGGCACTTAGGCCTTGACGGAAAGGCCGCCGACGTCGGGCATGTCGTCCTTCTCGATGAGCTTTGTGACCTTGCCGATGGCAATCTGGGGTTAGTTGAGACTTCACGAATCCACGCTTCAGCCAGCCTACGTACAGTTTTCCCCTGGTCGCGCAGCGTGAACCGGCCGAGCATCTTGTAGTCCTGCCAGCGCTCGATGCAGAGCGGGGCATTGGTCTCGATGAGCACCGAGACGAGCATGCCGACCTTGGCGAACTGGGGCGGCTTCTTGGACTTGCGGCGCGTCTTCTTGTCGTAGTAGTGCAGCAGGGCCTGGGGTCAGCGGGAATCTCTAATCTGGTTTGCCTCACAGTGAGCGTCACCTCCTCGGTCGCAGTGTGTACGTGCAGCACGCAGGTGTAGCCCGAAGTGATGATGTTCTGGGTCTCGATGATCGAAAGGTCGGCCTTGAACGCCGTGACGGCCTTGACGGGCTTGGAGGGCGAGGTAAGAACGTAGCCGGGCTGGACGTCGTCGTCGTCGATGCCGCGGATGCGCATGCGAATGTTGTCGCCGCAGAAGGCGACGTCGAGCTCCTCGCCCGTCTCGGTGTAGATCGCGGCGACTTCGACCGAGCGCTTGTTGGGCATGAGCAGGAGCGTATCGCCCTTGCGCACACGGCCCGACTCGATCTTGCCCATGACCATTGTGCCGAGCTCGTTGAACTTCTCCGAAACGGGGAGCATGAACGGCGCGTTTACGTCGCGGTCCAGCACCTCCATGCTGTCGAGGTACTCGAGGAGCGAGGGGCCCTCGTACCACGCCGCGACCTTGGGGTCGACGCGGTCCTTCATGTTCTGGCCCATCTGCGCCGACACGGGGATGAAGGTCAGGTCCGTCTTGGGGTTGAAGCCCACGGACTTGAGGAAGGGCGTGATCTTAGCCTTGATCTCGTCGAAGCGCGCCTGGTCCCACTGCACTGTCGGGTCGTCCATCTTGTTCACGACAAGGATGAGCTTGTTGATGCCGTTGTTCTTGATGAGCATGGCGTGCTCACGCGTCTGGCCGTCACGCTCGAAACCGGTCTCGAACTCGCCCTTGCGGGCCGACAGGACAAGCAGCGCAACGTCAGCCTGCGCAGCACCCTGGATCATGTTGGGCACAAACGTCTTGTGGCCAGGCGCGTCGAGGATGGTGTACCGCCGCTTCTCCGACTCAAAGTACGAGCGACCAACCTCGATCGTCTTACCCTGCGCGCGTTCCTCCTTGTTCTGGTCCAGGGCCCACGAGAGATACCAATTCTCACGACCGGCAGTCTTGGCCTCCTGGCTCAGCTTCTCGAGCGTACGCTTGTCGACAGCGCCGGTGAGCACCATGAGCTGACCACCCATAGTCGACTTGCCAGCGTCAACGTGGCCGGTAAAGATGATGTTCAGGTGCGACTTGACGTTGGGGTCGGCCTCCTCGGTGCCGTACAGGTCCCGAAGAGCATCCTGGCCCGCGGCCGCCATCTCCTTGTGGACCGCCTCGGCGTCGTTCTTGGCTGATGCCTTGGAGAAGTTTGGGGTCGAGGTGCCGCTGGGAGCAGCAGACGAGGCAGACGGGGTAGCGGCAGCCTTCGCGACAGCCGGCTCAGCCTTGGGCTCAACCTTGGCCTCCTTCGACTCGGCCTTGGGCGCCTCGGACTTTGCCACCTTCGGCTCCGGTGCAGGGGTGGAGGGCTTGGAGGGGGTCGCCGACTTGGAGTCCTCGGCCTTCTTGCCGATAGAAACGGGCTGCTTCGACCCGCCAATGCTCAAGCTCGGAGCGGGCTTGGACCCGCCAATGCTCAGGCTCGCCGGCTTGGACCCGCCGCCGATCTTGACGCTGGGTGCCGGCTTCGCGCCACCGATGCTGAGCGATGGAGCCGCCTTGGGCGCACCCCCACCGATGCTCAACGACGGCGCGGCCTTGGGGGCGCCACCTCCGATGTTGAGGCTCGGTGCGGACCGGGGCGCATCACCAAACGACGGCGGCTGGAAGCCCTGGCGCGCTGCAGGCTGGTATGCACGCTGCTGCGGCTGCGGCTGGAAGCCCTGCCCCTGGTACTGCTGCTGGTACCCGCCCTGCTGCTGGTAGCCGCCGCCGTACTGGGGGTACTGGCCGTACCCGTCCTGCTGGGGGTAACCCTGCTGCTGGCCGTAGGGCGCGCCGCCGTACGCGGCGTACTGGTCGTACTGCTGGCCTTGCTGGCCCTGCTGACCCTGCTGCTGCTGGCCTCTGGGGACGAAGGTCTGGCCGGGGCGGAACTCGAAAGCGTTCGGGTTGTAGGGGGGCTGACCAGACATGATTTTGTCCAGTTTTTTGAGAGAAGATGGGAGAGGAGGGAGGAGATGAGAAGAGGAAAAGGGAGATGGCGAGAGGCGACAGAGAACAAGTGCTCGTAATGGACTCTGCCCTCCGCCCAGACCCACCCCACACGCGCCACCTCTAAATCTCTCCTGTGATATCACCCGAATAAATGACGTGGAGGATATTTCAGAAATCCCCTCCACCTGCATCCAGTAGATTGCGGATCGCTCCAGAGCCCGGGGTGTGCAAGTCGACCTCCAAAAACAAGTGAATGCTCCTGCTCGCGCGACACCGCCTCCCATTCTCCACGCCCCGTATCCCCTTCATCCGCGCCATGTCCGATATCGCCCAGTTCGTTGCCGCGGCCCAGAAGGCCGACCCCGTCCTTGTTGGAGCCGACCCCGTCCTCGTCCAGAAGGCTGAGAAGGAGACCGAGTCTCTCGTCGGCGACCTCAAGGTGTGCAACTGATCGTGCATGCACTAACGCCCAGGCCCTCAACTCCAAGCTGCTTCCTCTCACCTACCTTGTCGGCAATGCGCCTTCTGCGGCCGACGTCTCGCTCTACGCCCGCCTCAACCCCGTCATGGTGCGTTATCCCCCGACTCCGTAGCTAACTTTAGGCATCGGCGCCCGCGACCCAGCACCCCGAGTTGCCTGCCGTCCTCCGCTACTTCCTCCACATCCAGGAGCAGGCTGGCGTGAAGGCCGCGCAGAAGGAGCTGCCCAACGCCTTCCCTCCAGTCGATATTGACGTGAGCTCGCTGGCCGCGCCGGTGCGCGTGGCACCCCCGCCGAAGGTCAAGAAGGAGAAGAAGGAGGGCGCGGCCGCCGAGGGGAAGAAGGACAAGAAGGCGGACAAGGCCGAGAAGAAGGACAAGGCGGACAAGACCGAGAAGAAGGACAAGGCCGCCAAGGCGGACAAGGAGGTGCCCGCCGCCGCCGCTGCCGCTGCTGAGGGTGCGCCCAAGGAGGGCAAGAAGAAGGAGAAGAAGGAGAAGGCGCCCAAGGCGCCCACGGCGCCCGCCACTCCCGCGATCCCCATGCCTTCTATGATCGACTTGCGCGTCGGCAAGGTCCTGGACGTGAAGCGCCACCCGGACGCCGACTCGCTGTACGTCGAGACCATCGACGTCGGAGAGGCCGAGCCGCGCACCGTCTGCTCCGGCCTCGTCAAGTACATGAGCGAGGACGAGATCCGTGGCGCGACTGTCATTGTCGTGTGCAACCTCAAGCCCGTGACGATGCGTGGCGTCAAGTCGTTTGCGATGCTGCTGTGCGCGAGCGAGAAGGGCGCCGACGGCGAGAAGGGCGGTGTCGAGTTCGTGCTCCCGCCCGCGGGGAGCGTGGCGGGCGAGCGCGTCTACTTCGAGGGCGAGAAGTACGAGAACGAGCAGCCTGAGGCGCTGCTCAACCCCAAGAAGAAGGTGTTTGAGACCATCCAGCCCAACTTCTCCACCCTCGACAACCTCGAGGCCGTGTGGACCGACCCCGAGACCAAGTCGGTCCACCGCATCCGCACCAAGGACGGAGTGTGCAAGGCCAAGTCGTTCAAGGGCGCTGCGCTTTCGTAGACGTAGAGATTTACATGTTGCATTGTCATCTGGGGAGGTCCGGGGTGAAAGGGGCGAGCGGGGCAACTTGGGGAATGATAGGCGTCAGAGAAGTAAGCGTCAGTTCGTGCCACACACCCGCACTCGCACCCAACGCCCTGTACAATGCAGATACATACACACAACGCCTAGTTTTCATGTTTACTCGAGCACCGGGACGGGCGGCTTGAACGCGCCAAAGCCCTTGGCCTCGTACAGCAGCTCCGTGCGGATGACGATCTTGCCGCCGTCCTTGCCGACCGCGCTGCCCTCATGCAACAGCGAGCCCTCAGTATCGCCGTGTGCTGCTGTCAGCTCCCTCATATAGCCCACTCACGGAAACACAGCACAGCGCCCTGGATGGGCCGCACGCTCGTGGCGTCCATCACCCCCATCTCGTTGGAGGGCATGAAGAAGGTCGTGCACCCCGTGTCCTCGGGCACATCGCTGTTGAGATACACGAGGAGGGTGTAGCGGCTCCACAGCGGGTCGTCGGGCGGCTGCGAGTCGTGGAGGTACTCGCCCGTCGTGGGGTCGAGGCCTGCGGCGGGCCACGCGCCATCAATATGCGGCCGATACAGCTGGTTCTCGGTATACTGGTATACGCGGAAGCGGGCGTTGATCCCGCGGACCTTACCGAGGGCGCCGGGCCCCGCCGGCGCGGTGGGGTGGACGAAGGGCAGGATCTGGGCGTAGAAGTGGTCGAGGAAGTGCTTGTCTGCCAGCCAAACGAAGTTGCGCGCAAGGATCGAGGTCTTGAGGAGCGCGCTACCCTCTGCCGCCTGGTCTTTCTCGAAGCCGATGGCCGACGCAGCCTGCACGATCTGGAGGCACTCGTCGGGCGTGAAGACGTCGAGGATGATGAAGGCGCCGGGCACGCCGGGGACGTCGAGGCGGCTCGGGGCGCGGCGCGCCGCGGGCGGCGTGAGCCGGATCGTGCCCGGCTCCGAGGTGTATACTGTCGAGTCGTAGAGGTTGGGCGGGCGCCGGTCGGCGCCCCGGATGAAGTGGACTGGGCGGAAGCCGGGGTGTGTCTTCTTCTCGAGTGCCTCGGGCGGCACGAGGGTGCCGGCGCGCATGCGCGCCCAGATGGCGATCTCGCCGCCCTCTGCGCCGAGGTACGGCCGCGCAAGCCAGATCTTGGACTTGCGCACGTGATCACCGGCGACGGCGCTCTCGCCGGCCGGCACGACGCCGGGCGTGTGGTTCGCAATGCGCAGGATCATGTCGAGGCACCGCAGGGCTTCCGGGTCCCCGGGCGAGCCGTCCGCGCCAGACGTCGCATCACACTCGCGCACCCAACGCTGCAGCGCCCCCAGCTTGGGCGGCAGCCGCCGCGTGTACATCTCGTACAGGAGGATGAGAGCGTCCGTGAAGCGGTAGTCTTTGAGGGCCGCGCTGATGCGCGACGTGAGTGACGTCCCGATAGTCGCGCCGTCCACCATCACGCGGTGCAGCTCGTACACCGCCCGCTTCAGGTCCTTCATCTCCTTGCCTGCGAGTGCGGCGGGGTTCTCCGCTAGCGTGCGCAGCACGAAGACGGCACTATCCACCTCCTCGGGGAGGAGGAGAGCGTCCGTCTCGCTCTCGGGTGTGGGCGGCGCCGCGAGAACCGGCGCGGGCTTCGCCACCTTTGCGTTCGGGACGGCAGCGCCGTTCGTGCGCTTGCGCTTTTTTGCTTGGTTCTTGGCCATGATGCGTGTGAGGTGGAGTGAGGTTCGCAAGTAGCTGCTCCAGAGACAAGATTTGTGGTGGAGGCGGAGGCATTTCGGTCGGTGGCGATCAGTGCGGCCTACGCCGTAGCTGGTGAACCGCCACGCGGGTGGAGTGCGGAGTCGTGGCATTGGGTTCATCGACAATGCACGGGGTGATAACACGCACAAGACAGAGCGCTGACTGACGATCTGACGTTGGCACGAGAACTGCATGCAGTCGCAAAGCCTCCTGCGACCAACGGCATCCAGTTCTCGTGCCATGGCGAGCCTGCAACTCCACTCCACAAACTCATACATCCAACTGAAGTCATCAACTTGCCATCTCCCTCTACTACTCCCACCTCAATCCCACACAAACAATCCATCATCACGTTATGTGCATTTCGACCAGCAAGCTGGGCAAGTTCGTAGGTAATAGAGTAAGGGTCGTTAGGTGCGAAGGGGTTGGTCGCAAAGGCCCGGGGTATCGTGTGCAGATGGGGAGGGAATGACCTGGCTAGTGCACAGGCAAGAATAGCGAGGAGGAAACACATAGACGGGGCGTACGCGAGAGACGATGCGGTGAATGGCAAGTTTACTTGCCGAGGCCGAACCGCTTTTTCTGCACCGTCAGCTGCTGCGGATTTTGGTTACTCACCGAGCCCTTCTCGGGCGTAAGCGGACGGCCGCTCTCGATACGCCGCTTCTTGTCCTCGAGCTCGAGACGCTGCTTCTCGAGTGCCTCCTTCATCTCGCGGTGGCGAGCATAGAGTTCCTCCTCGGACTGCTTGAGCTTCTGTTCCTTCTCCTGCACCTTCTGCTGGAACACCATCTTCATCTCCATTTCCATCTTCTTCAGCTTGGCCTCGTGCATCGCACGCTCCTCGGCCTGCTTGGCAGCGGGGCTGATGTTAGTATTTTAGCTGCACGCCAAACTCACTTGGTCTCCTTGAAGACGCTCTCGTCCTGGGCAACGCCCATGGCCTGGAGCTTCTCCGTGCGGTACCGCTCGTACAAGATGTCGTTGGTGTGCTCACGGAGCTCCTCCATATGGGTGCGAACAAGCATCTGGCGCAGCTTGACAAAGTCGCAGTGCTGCTCGTTGTCGACTTCGATGACACCCCACGGGTACTCGCGGCCGCGGACTTGGCGGCCATCGGGGGAGGGGACAATGTGGTCGGAGCCGACAACGGCAAAGGGAATCTTGGAGATGATCTCGTGGTTCTCCTGGATAGTCTCGTCGTCATCACGCTCGTACGAGGGTGGCTGGAAAATGTTGATGCCGTGGTACTCGATGTCGGCGAGGATACGGCGCTTGAAGAGGTCGACTTCCTCCTCGGTGAGTGTGTCGGCCTTGGCGATGACGGGGATGAGGTTGACCTTGTTGTGGAGCTGCTTCATGAACTCGATGTCAATAGGCTTGAGAGCGTGGCCCGTGGGCTGGATGAAGTAGATGCAGGCGTGCACACGGTTGTCAGTCATCTTGAGCCGGTTGACGCGGTTCTCCTGCTCCAGGTAGGCATCGTAGCGCGCCTCAATGTTCTCGAGAATGGGCTTCCAGCTGAAAGTGTTAGGTAGGCGGACGGGTGTAGGGCAGCGCTGATGAAACTCACCACTCCTCGTTGTTGACAAAGTCACCAAAGCCGGGGGTGTCGACGACGGTCAGCTTGAGGCGGACACCGTTCTCCTCGATCTCTGTCGCACGTTAACACGCGACCACACAAGGGAAGGGTGCAGTGCAATGCGAGGGAGAGGGAAGGCGTCATTCGATCTCTTCCCATCACAGCTCGGCACGGCACAGCACAGCAAAGCAAAAGCTAAGCGAAATACTCACCGGCATTGATGCTCTCGATCTGGACCGTCCTGCCGCGGTCGGCTCCGGGCTCGGGGATGACCTTGGGCTGGTAAAGGGTGTCCTCGAAGAGGGTGTTGATGAGAGTCGACTTGCCGAGACCCGACTCGCCTGGAGTTAGCACGGGCCCCTTAAGTGTGCGCGCGGACCGCCGCGCGCCGAGATGAACGACGGGGAAGACGCACCGACGACCATGGCAACAAACTGGAAGCCGCGCCTGCGGGTGTTAGCTATGTACAGTGGGGAGGGAAGGTTTGGGCGGGGCAGAAACATGGGCGCCCCCAACGCGTCGCGCGTGGGCGTGGAGGACGCGTCGGGGGGCGGTTGATGGTGAGCAAGTGAAGGGGCCCGCGCGCGCGCGAGGGGGGGGGGGGGGGGGGGGGGGGGGGGGGGGGGGGGGGGGGGGGATGGTTGGGAGTGAGCTCACCTGACGCTGCGACGGTGGACCTGGTTGGGGAGGTTTGAGAAGCCGACCCATGAAGCAAGCGTCTTGCGGATCACGTTGAGGCCTGCGGCAGCGCCGTTGGAGGGGGCAGCGTCGCCGTTTGTGGAGGCGGGGGCAGGGGAGACATGGCCGTTGAGGGGGGCAGGGGAGAGGCCGGGGTCGGGGTAGGCGACCTGGTCGACGTGGTGGTCGGGGGCGGGGGAGTTGTCGTATGCGTACTGCTGCTCGGCCATGGTAATGGGTGATTAAGAGCAAGAGCAGAAAAGGAGTGTAGATGGAGGGGAGGAGGATGCGACGTGGGAGGATGGAGGATGAGGTGGTGGCATGCGAGGACCGGGTGACCGGGTGGATGGATGCCAGCGAGCAGCGCGAGCAGCGCGAGCGAGCGAGCAGAGAGCCATGTCGCGGGAAGCGTGTCCAGGGAGGAGGCCACAGAGACGGGGCGTACGGGGCGGCTTGTGGGACGCCTCTGGCCTCTGGGATGCTTGAGAGCCAAAAGAGCTCTGGTCCCTTGCCCCATCCATCCGTCCACATCCCCTTCCCCTGTACCCCTGGTACCTGAACCATCTCGTCGCCTCGTCGCGTGCGCGCCCAAGGTCGCGTAGCTCGCAGGATGGTTTTGGTCCCGCGGGTTAGAGGCGCGGAGGGGGGAGGGTGAAATAAATTCAAAAACTGCCCCACTTTCTCTGGACCATGGACCCCGGGTGCAATCTCGCACACTTGGCGAAACCCATCCGTTTCTCTTCTCTATCAAACCTTGTGCCACACCTCTCATATCCCGCCCTTTAACGGCGGCGATATAACTTCAGCATCACCGCCGTGTACCGTTCCGCCGTCAATTCCGTCAACAACACCGTCCGCGTCCTCCACCGTCCTCCACCGTCCACCTCGATCCACCAACTCCAGACAGCACCGGCGGGACCTAGCTCACCGCGCTCTCCGCCATGCGTCTCACACCAGAGGTGCGTCCCCGCGTCCCTGCCCCCGACCCTTCCCTCAGCTGATCCCAGTTTGTGTCAAATACGCACTCGGTTAGTATCCCACCGACTGACCTCGCCAGCTCGCCAGATCGCCAGACTAACCGCAGCACTTGAATCCGCTCAAAGAGCGCGAGCTCGATCTGCGAGGTACGTCGCATCTGCGTCGGCGCTGACGCTAGGCCTCGCGATCCCCGTGATCGAGAACCTCGCCTCGCACCAGGGGACATACGACACACTCAACCTCACAGACAACTCGCTGACGGTCCTTGGCAACATCCCGCAAGGTAACTTTGAGCCAGTTCCCAACCTGACCCCAGCGCACCGGTTACACACAGTGCACGCGGCGCAGAACCAGATCTCGTCGATCTCGCCTGCCCTCGCAACGAATGTAAGCCTCCGCCCTCGCGCACCGCTGACGCCAGCTGCCGAACCTCACGACGCTCGTGTTGAGCGACAACGCGCTCGCGTCCCTCTCGTCCCTCCTTCCCCTGGCCGACACGCCGCTCCGATACCTCTCCTTGCGAGGGAACCCTGTCACGGCCGCGGAGCACTACCGCGCCTTCGTGATCTGGAAGGTGGGGCGGGGGGCGCTGCACGTGCTCGACTTTGAGCGGGTGAAGGATGCGGAGCGGGCGCGCGCAAAGGAGTTGTTTGAAGACAGCAGCGGCGCGCCGAACGAGCTCGCGCGCAAGCTGTCCACGTCGACGGCGGGCGTGAGTGGCGCCGCGTTGGCGGCCGCCAAAGCCAAGGGCGGGAAGGGGCGGCTCATGACTCCCGAAGAGAAGAAGCGCGTCGTCGAGGCCCTCACGCGCGCCAACACCGCCGAGGAGGTGCGCAAGCTCGAGCGTATGCTCGCCGACGGCGTGATACCCGAGGGTGGGATGGAGGGCGTCGATGGCGAAGAGTAGGACCATAGAGGCTGCTAGAGCGGCAGTGTACGAGCGCACTTCGTAGATCCATGTTACAAGATTAGCATTGTACGCATACTATCTAGCTGCGTGGTGCGGGAGCCGCCCTCTTCAATCTGATCACAGCCGTGCGCCGGCGTCCCGCGCCCCGCCCTAGTTTGCGCCCTCGGATTTGAGGCACTCGGTGAGCCATGCGGCGAGGTCGGCAATCTCCTCGTTGCACGCGCTGTGCCCCATGCCGGGGTAGCTCTTGAACACGAGACCGGGGCGCGCAAACGCCTTGCCCTCCGGCACCTCGGGGAAGCCGAGGCGCTTGAGGAGGTCGATGGACTGGCGTCCGTCTTCGTCAGCGCCGCGACACGGCACACCCACAGTCGTACTGCACGATCTCGTCGTCGCGCCCATGCCCCCAGAACAGGGGGTAGTCCTTTGCGTCTTTGCGCGCCATGCCCTCGACCTTGTGTGCGAGCGGGACCCACGTCGAGAGCGAGACGTATCCCGCGAGCTTGCGCTTCCCGAGGAGCTGGGAGAGGACGGCGATTGCGCCGCCCTGGCTGAAGCCGCCGAGGACGATGCGGTTCTCGGGGATGCCGGCGTCGACTTCGGCTTGGATCAGCGCGTCGACGGCTTCCACGGTCGCGAGGATGCCGGCTTCGTCCTCGGGGCGCGGGGAGACCGAGCGGTCGAACGTGATCACGTCGAACCAGCCGGGCATGCGGTAGCCTGGTGTGAGCGGGCGATCGCGAGCGGTGAGTACTCACCGTTGTTGACGGTGATGGGGATCGTGGGGGCGTGCGGGAGGATCCACTTGACGTGGGGCAGCTGGCCCCAGAGCATCTTTGCGACGGGGAGCCAGCCGTGGCCTGGTGTGAGCAGGGAGGGCGGGGAGGTGAGGAGGGCGAGGGCGCATTGAGGAGGGGGGGGGGGGGGGGGGGGGGGGGGGATATGGGGAAGAGGAAGACGAGGGGATGGATCGCTGAGCAGAGCACAGCACTCACCGGTGTCACCGAGACCGTGGAGGAAGATGACGGTGGCGGTGTGGGCGTCCTTGGACGCCATGCGGAGGTGCTTGAGCGGCGCGGCCATTTCGAGTGCTGTCGGAGCTGAGTTTTGCGAGGAAGGAGAGCGGCGGGGTTGGGGCGACGGGGTCGGAGTGAGGTACGAGGGCAATAGGACGAAGAGGAGGGCGGCCAGGAGCGAGGCGGCCAGGACGAGCTTGTATGCGAGACGAATTGTGGTGGTGGTCCGGGTGGAAAGTGGGAGACGGTGAGTCTGGGAGCCGGAGGGAAAGCCGGCCAGGTGGAGGTACATGTATCAAAATGGTACCGATCCACCGGCTTCGGCTTCGGATTACGCCTCCCGACTTGGGCTACCCTCCATCCTTATCCGGGGTACGCGTCTGACGCGCCCACCCACGCGCGGTGCATTTATAAGAGATTCATTCCAACAGCGCCAAAGAATCAGAGCGAATGAAAGGCGGACTCGTACAGCCCAAAGTAAAATAGTCACAGTCCATGAAGAACAGGTAGAGATACACGTGTGCGCAAGGCGCCAGCGCCTGGCTCACACTTAGAGGACGAAAGCGAGAGCCGCGACACCGGCGACGAGGCCGACAGCAGGCACAGCGGCGCGGGACAGCGCGCCCGAAGTAGGGAGGTTGCCACCGGCCTCAGAAACGATAGCGCTGGTGTAGCTGTCGCCGCAGACGGTCTTGATGCCGGTCCAGAGATCAGACTGGCCGCCGAGGATGGGCGAGTTGCCAAGACCGGGGCCGTAGCCGATCGCGTTCTCGTACTTGATGTAAGTGGCCATGATCTGACGGGTGCACGAGGTGCAGAGCTGCTCCTTGGTCATGTCGGGCTGGAGGAAGAGGAAGGGGAGGTTGGTGTTGCGGTACGTGGTCGCGTTGGGGGTGACGACCGAGGCGAACGACTGCGACGAGGACGCGCGCTTCGACAGGCCAGTGATGTCGTACAGGTAGTCGGCGGCGCTGTTGGCAATCGCGGCGACGACGTTGATCGACTTGGCGAACGAGGTCGAGTTGGCAGGACCCTGCGCCGGAGTTGAGGATCCCGACTTACGGATCGTGCTAACGCAGTAGCCCTGGGTGGCCGAGTCGACCGAGCAGACGGCACCCTTGAGCGGGGTGAAGACGTAGAGCACGTCGTACAGCTCAACAACCTTCGAGTTGCCCGAGTCAATCTCAGAGCGGCAGGCAGAGTAAAACTCGTTGAGCTTGCCGACAACGTAGCCCTGGTCGCAGCCCGAGGCCGAGCACATCGTCTTGAGCGCCGAGTTCAGGTCGCTCGTCGACGGGCTCTTGCCCGAGACAGGGGAGAATGCGTTGGTGGCGGTGATGAGAGGGTTTACGCAAGCCTGAAGAGTCTGGTCGGCGTTGAGCGACTCGAGGAACGTTGTGCACCCGGCCGAGATGCCCGAGGGGATCAGAGAGGACTGCGGTCAGCGAGATGTGCGGGTGCACGCGGATTGCTGAAAGAGAAAAACGGCCCAAAAGACGCAGAACCGAGCAACAGGGGCTGGGTGGCTCTGTGCTGTGCATTGCGCGCATCCATAGTCACGCAGGAGGATCTGGGGTGGCTTCAGGCTAAGATCGCGGACCACGAAGGTCTAGCAGTCGTCGGTCACAGCGACAACCAGAGCGGACGACACCATGAGCAGACATGCTGGGCGGTGGCAGCAGCTGTAGCGTGACCTCGCGGCGGTGGCATGTGTCACAGTCCGACTGGCATCTCAGTGGACCCTGCCCGCATCTTCCCGGAAACATGCACACAGCTCACTGAGCCCTCTGATCATTCCATCACGCCCCCTTGCACACATGACATGCTAGCGACGGAGATAGACTCACAGAGGCGCCAAGAGCCGTGGAGGCGAGGATGAGGGCAGCGGCAGAGAACTTCATGGCGACGAAGAGGGAGGGGAGGGCCGTGGGGTAGGAAGAGGGGAGGTGGTTTCGCGCTGCGATGTGCGTAGGAACAATGAGCGGGGAGGAGCGTCGACGGGGTTGTCGAAGCAGTCGTCGCAGACGATGGAGTAGTGGGAAGGTGTGAAGATGAGACGAGGTAGCGAGGTAGAGAGCGTGTAAAAGAGGGTTGTTGAAGAAGGAAGAGGTTGAGCAAAGGCCAGAGGGAGGGAGGTGGGTGTTGCTGACAGGGTTTCCTTCTTTGGGCTGTTGGGTGAGGATTGTAAGGATTTGGGTCAAGTGGGGTCCAAGCCCCGATGCCCATCACTCGCCTTGTTCCTGAAAATGGGGTCATTGTATTTGTTGGGTATTACGAGGCAGTTGGAAGCAATTGGAGGAGAGAAGGGATAGCGGCACAGGCCCAGAACACTTGCTCACCCCGTACCCCCGAATCTGACCCCCCGAAATGGCCCATGGCCCAAAGGAGAATGCCGGGAGGCTCGCCGAACAGGGGATGGAGGGGGCATTGAGGGTTTGCTTGGGCCACAATTAGAACAGCTCGAGTGCGCCAAGGGGAGTTGCTCAACAGCTCCTCGTGCTCTGCTGCCGTCCAGACGCGTATATGTCGATCTGTCGCGTCGAGAGTTGTCGGAGCCCGATTGACTCGTCTTCCCGCCGCATTCAAACATTCGCTTGTTTTTTTTTATAGCAATGCAACATATGCTCCTTTTGATGATTCTATTATGACCTACCGACGATTGTTGGAAGCTGGCATCTTGCAGCTGGTAGTTCGAGTCCCCACTCTACAATGCCACAACGCCCCGACGCCAGATCGCGCGACGCGACGACGCGTAGCACATAGCGCAGATCTGGCCCAGGATGAAAAAACAGACGGCAATCGGCAATCCGCAACCAAACCCCGTCTCAACTGCGCGCCCTCCTCTGCTATACTGCTGCTCCTCCTGCTGCCCAAAGCGTCAGACAGCCACGCCCCAGTCGCGTGGAAATACCCCCGGCCATTGCCGCCGGCATGCGGACCGGTGCATCCGCTCCGCCGCCAGAGTGACTAGCCCTCGGTGACCTTTGGACGTCATCTTGGTCCTATTCATGCTATTCACGCCCAATTACACACAGTCACCCAACTATGCAGCTACGCAGCTCTAAGGACGTGCCCATCCTTCCCTCCTCATCCCATTTCTCTGTCTTTCACACTCACTCATCACTCATCACTCGTCACTCATCGCTCACCATGGGCACAACTCAACGTAGGCGTCGCATGCCCCGCGTCTACCTCATCCGTCACGGTACGCTCACCACCCATCTCATCAAGCTGACAGCAGGCGAGACAGAGTGGTCCATCAATGGTGCGCAGCCAACTAACTCGCCGCACCTTCCTTCCTCCCTATGTCAGCTGTCAACTAACAGCAGGTCGTCACGTACGCTCCGCCCCACATACTCTCAACTAACCCCAGACTGGGACGAGTGACATCCCGCTGACCGAGAACGGTGTCAGAATGGTGCGGGAAATGGCCCCTCGCATGATCGGCGCCGACAAGCTTATCGACCCCGCCCACGTCCGCCACATTGTCGTCTCACCGCGCACCCGCGCTCAGGTCACGGCCAAGCTCCTTTTTGAGAAGGACATGCCTCCCGAGTGCTCGTGGGAGACGGACCCCGACATCGCCGAGTGGGACTACGGCGCGTACGAGGGTCTCCTGACCAAGGAGATCCGGGCCAAGCACCCCGGATGGGAGATCTGGCGTGATGGATGTCCCCCGGGGAACGGTACGCCCGGAGAGACCCCAGAGCAGATGTCGGACCGTGTCGACCGCGTCATTGCCCGTATCCGCGAGCTGCACGCCCAGGCGGAGAGTGCGCCCGATGACGAAGTCGACTATGCGGATGTCATCCTCTTCTCGCATGGCCACTTCACGCGCTCGTTCATCGCGCGCTGGTGCCAGCTGCCAATTGCGGCGGGGTACAACTTCTCTTCGGACGCCGGTGGTGTAGGCTTGTTAAGAGAAGGAGAGCTAACAGCAGCTTGCCGTCCTCGGTTACCAGCATATGTCTCTGAAAGAGCCTTGTGAGTAGCTTCTTAAGTCAGGGCTGACCACAGCGCTACTCGGCCTCAACTGGTACACCGAGTACCAGATGAAGACGGTCCGTTGAGCTTCCCTCCTCTGCCCTCGAGCACAGGCTCTAGATTCGACTCCGTATACTGGCATAGGCACTGTGAGCGCACCACAGGATTATTGTCATGCACAAAATGCCTGGCATAGATTGCGATTGCGATATGATACAATGGCAAGGGACGATGTTATGGAATAGAAGTACAATGGTTTCGACGTCCTCTACACACAGGCCGCAGATTCCACAAAGATTCCGACTATTCGTCTCCCTCATCCGACGAATCGCCCGGGTGTTCAATAAACTGGCCCTCCGGGATGTTAAATGTATAATCACCGTCGTCGTCGTCGTCGTCGTCGTCGTCGTCGTCGGCCTTGTGGTCCATCTTATCGTCGTCCTTGTCGTCCTTGTCATCCCCATCCTCGTCCGGCATGCTCTGGAGATCGTACTCCTCGCCGGCGTCGAGGCGGCGGATCGCGTCCATGTTGATGCGGTTCGAGAACTTCTTCGTCGCGGCAAAGTTGTCGATGGCCTCACGCGCGCTCGCAAACGGCGCCGTCCGCTTCTGGCGCTTCGAGCTCTTGCGGGGCGCCTTGCCCGCGCGCTTAGCTTCCATCTCCTCGGCGCGCTGCGCCCTCTTGATCTGCCGCTCCTTGTCCTCTTCAAGCCACCGCGCATTGTGCGACAGCCACATGCGCGCGCGCGCAGCCTGCTCCCCCTCCTCCATCACGTAGATGTTCTCGAGCTCATCGTCGTCGATATCACTCAAGCTCTGGTAGATGCTCTGCTTGGCGTCGTACTCGCGCTTGTGGTGCGCCCACTGCACGCGGCGCATCTCCGAGATGACGTCTTTGGGCTGCCGGCCGCGCAGCCAGCGCTCGATGCGCGCGTGCTTGTCCGCCGTGCTTTGGTACAGCAGATCGCCCTCGTCCCCGAAGATGTTCACCTCGATGTACTTGTACACGGCCTCCTTGTCGTCCCACGACGGCGGTTCAGGAAGGTCCTTGAACCCGCCCGACGCGGCGATGGCAGCACGGTCCTCCTCTTTGTCATCCTCTTTGGCGTCCAACTTGTCGTCGAAGTCTTCTGCGTCGGCGGCGAGCTCGTCCAGTTCCTCGTCGTCTTCGTCGGAGCCGGCAGTTGCCTTGACGCCGCGGAAGAGCCGGCGCCGTTCTCGGCGGCGTTCGTTGCGGGCCAGCTCACTGTCGTCGCCCGCACGCTGGATGTCTCCGACATAATCTTCCTTCGAGAGCTCCTCGAGATTCTCGTCCTCGCCCTCCCCGTCCGACTCGCCTATGTTAAGTGCAACCTCGGCGATGGCGGCGTCCGCTGCAGCCTCATTCCCGTCATCGGCAGGCTCCATGGCCTTCGGAGCGACGCGCTGGCGCTTTGATCGCGGTGCGGACGGCGTGGCGGGAGTACCGCCTCGGCTGCTACCGCGCGACTCGGAGTCGTCATCTTCCGCTGCGGCCGTCTCGAGACGGCGCTTCCGCTCCTCTCGCGCGCGCTGCTCCTTGACAACGGGGGGCAGCTCGTCCTTGTTGGGCGCCTCGAGCTCGGCGTCCGTCATGGCACGCCACTCCGCCACACTCTTCGACGCCATGGCCGTCTTGGCAAATTCCTGGAGACGCTTCTTGATCGTCTGCGGTGACACCTTGACGACCTGTGCGACTTCTTCGGGCGTCCGGAGGAAGTCGTTCATGCGTGACGCGATGACGAGGCATGCGCCGCAGATACCCGCAGGGCGTCGGCCAGCCGTCATCCAATCGGCCTTGAAGCGCTTGACGAGACGCGACGCCTCTCGCGCGACCACCGTGGCCTTACTGCCAAAGTCGAGGCGATTCGCAAAGCGGATGTTGTACACCGCTGGGTCAATCTCCGGCAGCACCTGGTCGAGATTGAGCGCCGCGCGCAATTTCAAGTAAGTCGCGCCGAGCTCGTACACGTTGATCTGCACGTCAGCTGAGAGCTCCGCACCAGCTCACCTGCATGCGCTCGCTGAAGTCGATAAGCATTAGCGCGTCCTTCTCAAAGCGGGAGTAGAGATAGATGCAGCTCGCGACGACGTAGTCTGTCCGGCGGCCCCTGTTAAACTTGTTGTCAACAGCGAGAGAGTAGAAGCGCTGCGCACCACGCTGCACCGACGGGAGGATACCCATCTGGTTGCAGATCAGCTGGATACGCCTACGTCCTGGTGTCAGAGGCGGCCTGGACGGCGGACGTACCTTCTTCCTTGACGTTTTCGGATGTTGGCCCAATGCCTCGAAATGTGTTGATGCCCGCTGTTCTGTCAATCCTGCTTCTCCCGGCATTGCGCAAGACGTACTGGAATGGTGCGACACAAAAGTTCCCTGCACATGCATGCGCCCGCCTGAGCCCTCCGTGAACCCGACCTCGGACACGAGGATGCCCTGCTCGAGCTCAAGACCACATGACTGGCACCTGGGATCAGCGCCGCCCACCCATCAGATAGCACGTACACGACGACTCCGAGCGCGTAGTCTGTCGCGATCTCTCTGCTCTTGCATTGCGGGCAGGTGGCCTGGACGTCAGCCCGAGTTGGGAAGGGTCCTTACCGGGGGCGCCATCTTTTACGTGTCACTCGATCGTGAGAGCCGCTCTCGCGGAGTCGAAAAAGCAGAGACCGCGAGGGCCGAGCTGGGGTTGAGGATGTTAGATGAGGGATGAGGGCCTCGCTCGTGTGATCGGGAGGCGCGTGAAAGATAAGATATGTCGATAAGATGCTGATGGGGAGAACGGCTGAGGAGGAGGAGAGTGCGGAACGGCAAGATTTAATCCACAGAGGAGAAGTGGTCGAGGTGCGAATCGAACACCGAACACGTCCAACGGGACCAGACTTGGCTTGGGTGGCAATCCACACACTTATTAACCGTCGCCCCAACAACACCCCCTCGCACCGATTTACCCTGTCGCCCGGTGGAGGCTAGCCATAACAAGTTCCTAATTCATTCGCACGTGACCATTACATACCTGATGTGGTCATCTCCATGTTGCTCACCAACTGAACGGACACTTTGTTACCTTCCTCTCATCTCTCTTCCATCAAAACGCGCCTCTCACACTATCATCATGGGGCGCCTTTCTAGCACCGAGGCTCTTCTCGGCCCCGAGCTCTTTACAAAAGTCCGCGAAACGCCTGTCCTCGTAGTCGGCTCCGGCGGGATCGGGTGCGAGCTCCGTGAGTGACTCACTTCAGGCGCGTCGGCGCGTCTAACCAGCCCAGTCAAGAATCTCGTGCTCGTGGGCTTCAAGAACATTGAGATCGTGCGTAATACTGATCATATGGCGCTTCCCGCTTCCACTGCCAAGCTGCTAACGGCAGATCGATCTTGACACAATCGACCTCTCCAATCTCAATCGCCAGTTCCTCTTCCGCAAGCCCGATATCTCAAAGCCCAAGTCCATTGTCGCGGCGGCCACGGCGCGCCATTTCAACCCCTCCTCGGGAATCGAGATCCATGCGCGCCACGGCAATGTCAAGGAGCCTGAAAACGACATTGAGTGGATCAAGCAGTTTGGTGTTGTCATGAGCGCCCTGGACAACATGGGTGAGTGCGCGGATGCCGCATTCAGCTGACATCAGACGCGCGCCGGCATATCAACAAGCTCTGTCTCGCAGCCAACGTGCCTCTCATCGAGTCGGGCACGGCGGGTTATCTTGGCCAAGCGAACCCGATCATCAAGGTAGGGAAAGGACGTCCAAGGAGCCCGCTGACCACAGAATGAAACCCTCTGCTACGATTGCGTCACGCGCCCTCCTCCAAAGTCCTTCCCCGTGTGCACTATTCGCTCCACGCCCAGCGAGCCGATCCACTGCATCGTCTGGGGCAAAACGTACCTCTTCGGGTGAGATTTCCGGGAAGCGAGAGACCAGCTGACGTGCCAGCAAGCTGTTTGGCGAAGATGATGAGGCGCTTGACGAGGAGGAGCTGGACAAGGCCAAGGCCGATGGCGAGAACGGTGAGTCGTGTGGTAACTGCCCAGGCTAATCTCAGCGGATGAAATCGACAACCTTAGGAAAGAGGCCGAAGCATTCCGGGAAGTGCGGCGCATGCTCGGCGAGGAGGATGGGCCGCAGCGAGTGTTCACGAAGGTAATCTTGACCCCGCTTTCAATCTGACTTAAGGTCTTTTTTGACGACATCAACAGGCTGTTGGCGATGGAGGACATGTGGACGCGTCCTGGGCGCGTTAAGCCTGTCGCTCTCGACTATGACAAGATCATGGCTGGCGAGTTCGTTCCCCCGCCATTGCGTCAGGCGCCTCCGAAAGGACCTACTGCGAACGGCTCCATTGCGTCGTCCAAGCCGGCGCCGCCTCCCAAAGCGAAGGGCGCAACTCTCAAGGACCAGAAGGAGCTTTCCACTAAGGAAAGCCTGGAATTATTCCTTGACAGCTGTCGACGACTCTCCTCCCGCGCCATTGCGCACCCGGAAGTGGTTCTCGCGTTCGACAAAGACGACGAGGACACACTGGATTTTGTCACTGCTGTTGCCAACCTCCGTGCCACGGCGTATGGCATCCCCACTCGGACGCGATTCCAGATCAAGGGTACGATCCGAGACATGCGCACAGTAGCTGACGACAGAAATGGCTGGCAACATCATTCCTGCCATCGCAACCACCAACGCGATCGTTGCAGGCCTCGTCGTCATGAAGGCACTGGCGGTGCTCAAGGATAAGGCAACATTAAACCAGTCCTTCCTCCGCCAGTCCACCAACTGGCCGATCAAGAACAGCGGCGTTGACCAGCCCAATCCCGCATGTCCGGTCTGCAACGATGTGTACATCCCGTTCAAAGTCGACCTGCAGAAGCTCACCCTTGGTCGGTTCGTCCAGGAGGTCGTTCACCAGTGGCTGCGCCAATCGATCCCCGACGACGCGGAGTACGAAGCTATCGTCATGGAGGGCGGACGCCTTCTTGCCGACCCCGACTTTGAGGACAATTATGGGCGGACCTTGGCCGATCTCGGCGTGACGCGCGGTCAGTATCTTACAGTCGCGGACGAAGACAGCGTTTACTGCCGAGTGCACTTCTGCATCGCTGCTCCAGACGAGGGGTCAGAGAGTGCGTACACACTGCCGGAAGCCATTCCGGTAGTGCCTCTGCGTCCCGCTGCAGAGAAGGAGCTGTCAGAGGCATCTGAAGACGAGATTATTGCTGGCAGCGCCTCAAGTCCTGCACCGACAACAGCGAAGCGGCCGGCGCCTGACGATGGAGAGACACCATCCAAGAAGCGTAAGATGGGGGCAGACCAGGCAGACGCGATCGAGATTGAGTAGACGATAGATGTAGCAGTAGAGTTGAGTTCAGGAGAGACACCGCATGCACGTATATGCTTCTCATCTCATGCAATCTCTAAACAAGGCCACCATACGCCATGTCAACCAGGCCTTGCCAGTTCCACTCCTCCGGCTTCTCCCGGAAGTCACGAAGCGCCTGCTTGCGCTTCAGCCGCTCCTGCTGGTCCTTGGCGTTCTCGTTGGGCGGCGCAATGTCAGAGCAATAGAACCGCTGGAGGGCGAGCGAAAGCAACTGAGCCTCCTGCTGGGTGAGGAGATACCCCGGGTTGTCCACTGCGCCAGGCGGTCCTCCGGCGCTCTGGGCGCTAATCTCGCCGCGCATGAGTACCAACCCGTGGCTGTCGGCAAGGTCAGGATAGTTTGTGAGGACGAGGTACGGCTGGGCCCACTCGCCGGCCTGCTTGAACTCCTCCAGCGGGGTGAAAATGATGCTTGTGACGGGCGGGAGGGGTGCGCTTGGCTTGCCCTCCAAAGGCGGGGCAGGTGGTGGCGCATGGAACAGCCACTGCATGTAGAACATCTCGTAGGCGCCGGCCTCGCCGTCCTTGCCCGCCCTGGGCAAGGGCAACACAAAGTGCGGGTCGCTCTTCGCGAGCTCGAGCATCTTCGTGTACGTATCCTTGGGGATGGTGGCGGAGACGAAGGAGGCGGACAGCGTAGGATGCGTTGTGTGGTAAGTGTTCCAGATGCCCGCGATCTGTGCCTGGTCGTGCGGCGTCATGAGAATCAGCGGGAGGTTGATGATGCTCGCGAGCGGCTTGACCCCCGTCGTGTCCTTGTCGGGGTTGGCTACACGCGCCGCCTCCTTCTTCTGCGCAACGGCCGCATCCTTCGCCTCCTTGGCTTCGGCGAGGGCCCGCTCCTGCTCCTGCCGCAAGCGCTCGGCGCGCTCCAGCTCCTCTTGGCGATACTGCTCGGCCTTGCGCTTGGCGAGGATGGAGGGAACGACCTTCTTGGCCTTCAGTGCGTCGAGATTCGCGACGCCCTCGCTGTGTGTAAGCGGGTGCAAGTAATCGTGTCGGGCGTTGGACTACTCACGCCTCGACCTTCTGCTTGAGCTTGTCGCCATACTTGGCCTCGAACTCCTTACGCTTCCGCTCGACTGCCTCTCGTGGGGTGAGGCTCTCCTCGAGCTTTTTGATGATGTCCCGCGAGGCAGCAGAGGCAGTGAATGCCCGCGCCGTGGCCAAAGATGCGCCAGCACGGGGGAGGCGGATAAGAGTCGCGCGGAGCATGATAGGTACGTTGTCAACCGTCGCCGCATCTCGCTCATCGGCGTCATGTCCTTTCCGACTTTTTGCTTCCGAACCTCCACTTCGGACTTCACAACAACGCCTTCTTGTCCTCAAGATCCTCATCATTCAGCATCCACCCGGCCATGACATCCCAGGCCCAGCTTCTTCCGTCTCTCTATGCCCTCCTCCCCGCCGAGCAGCTCGAGCTCATGCTCGCGCGCCTCTCCAACACCGCCCTCCACGTCGAGCCATACCACGTCCGCGACAGTGTGTATGTCAACACCAACCCCGTGATTCCCGGACAGCACAGGACTCTGCGCCTACGAGGACGTAAGCGCCGCCGCCGCCGCACGCGCGGTACGCCTCGCTGGGCCGGTGGGCTCGAGGACGAGGCGGTCGATCGCTGGGAGTACTCTCTCGCGTGGATGAGCCCTCCGCTCCTGGGACGAGAGTATGCCGACATGCATGTGCAGGCGTGCATATCGCTCGAGGTGGCGGGGCTTAGTACGCGGGAAGAGGTCGAAGAGTATGTTGAGGGACTAGGGTTTAAGTAAGTCGGGCGAGTCATGTAGGAAGCCCACTGACTTCAGACACCAGCATACAACGACGCGTGTCGGCCACCTCTTCTCCCTCCCGATTGCGGGCTTTACAACCACGCTCCAGCTCACGGTCACCCGCGTACTCGGTGACGAGGGGTTGTCCAAGACGGCCGAGCCGTACTTTGTTCAGATGACGCCCGCGCGACCCGTCAGCACGACAGCGGAGCGTGGCCTCCTCACGCTGCAGGACGCGATGCGGGTCATGCAGGAGACAGCAGGGCGGATTGAGGGCCTCAAGTGGGAGACGGGGAAGGATGGAGCGGCCGTCCCAGCAAGGCGATAGCGATGGCGGCCGCGGGGTCGGCGAACAGTGAAGTGTTCGGCGTCTCCAGCGGGTCGGGCACCTCCGCGCCGAGGAATGCCATCGACCAGCTGCGACACGCTGCGGTGTAGTCGGCGTAGTGTACTATAGCAGATAGAAGAGCTAGAAGACTGCATGCCATCTCAAGTACATGGCCACCCAGTGCAAGAGACAGCGATCTGCATGCGCATCGTTTGGGAGGTATGGGAGGGTCACTGTCGCATGTCCAGTACTTTCCCACGGTGTGGCCGTGTTTGGGTCAACAGACAGATAGGCACCACACCGTCCGTGGTCACCACCTTTCCACTCCATCAACTCTCCATCACCGACATCACCTTCACCCACACTAACATGCGTTGGACTTGAAGTCAACATGAGCAATTATCAGGCGCGCGAGCTTAACAAGGTCCGCCTCGAGCCGGCGCGTCCTGTCGAGGACGCCGATGACGAGCTCGAGAGCGACCCTTCAGACGACGGAGAGGGTGTTGAGTTCGACATTGGTACGTCTATACTACACACCCGGGCGTCCCGTATTTCTGGACTCGAGGAAGCTCGAGTGTTTCTCCTCGCCGGCGGGATTGGGCGGCGCGAACCGCTTGGCTTGCTTCTCCCGGCGGTTCACGAGGACGCGTTTCGTGTCGCGACTCCAGAGTCCGCGAGGCTTTGCATTGTTTGGCACCACCTGACACTAGACGCCGTATGCTGGGCCGAGTACAAGGACTCGACGTTCGAGCGCGCCAATGGGAAAATCGGCTGGGTGAGTCAGGTCGAAGGGCAGCGGCGGACGACAGTCGCGGCCGCACGCTCGCGGTTGAGGATGCAGCTGACCGCAGCATTACTACGTTATGGTAATTCCATCCAATATTTGGCTGATGGCAGTGGCAAGGCTACCTGAAAACAGGTTCAGACACGTAGGTCGCTTGATGTGCATCGTTAATTCAGTGTGGAAACGCGATCATCTTTTGTCGATGACCCAGACGACCCAACTGAGACATCTGATGCGCTGCTGGAGTGAGTTCATGCCTGCTGGACGCGCTCGACGGGCCTGTATCCAATCGCGCGCTGAAGGCCGTTGCAGCCGAGTTGCGCCGCTAACCGCAGATTCTGGGCCTCGGTCCCAGCAAAGAAGGTGCGGAAAGGCAAGGACGAGCCTGGTGGCAAGATTGGCGAGATTCGGTTTGCTTCTGATGACCTCTTGCGTATGTCTGGACATGTTCATGCATACCCGCAGCTGACTGCCAGGACGCAAGTTTAAGGATGGCAAACCAAAGCGCAATTTCGCGGCGTACAAGCGTCGCCTGGAAGCCTTCAAAGAGGCCAGAAAGGCCGGCTTCGAGCGGGCCTTGGTGTACAAGCGCGACTCGGACTACTACATCAGAAAGAAGAGAAAAGCACTACTAGCGGCGGAGAAGGAAGCGGCAGGGAGCGCCCAAACCCAGCCGATTCCCAAGAAATCCCGCGCTCCAGAGCCAGAGCCTGAACCCGTCGCTGGGCCTTCACGTACACGAGAGAGAAGCAGCAGTAGCGACGAGCCGTTGGCAGGCAAACGACACCATGCGAAGAACGGCGTTAATGAGATGCCGCCGCCGGCTTTGACGCCATCTCGTCCCGCTCCGACGCCTGTTGGCGAGTCGCCTGCGCCAGGACGCTCTCGCGCGCGCAGCTTCGACTCGCTGTTCGACGAAGCATCTCAGCCAAGCAACAGTCAGCCGCAGGCATCTGCGCGAAAACGGACATCTGAAACACCGCGCGGCTCGCCGGACAAGCGCGGGTCTAAACGGCGTCGCGTTGTTGACAGTCCGCCCTCCTCGCCGGGAGAAGACCAGGGCAAGGCCGCTGCGGAAGCACCAAGGTTTGAACTCGACACAAGCATCTTCGGCGCGACAAGTCCCCAGACATCCCCTTCCCGGCAGAGAGCGCAACCACCTTTGTTCGACTTTGGAGAGGACGCCCCCACCCCACAGACGGTCCCCACCACGCAGATGGCCCCTGGCATCACGCTCCAGGTGCCGACTCCCGCAAAGCCGATGGAAGCTCGCCCTGTGCGCTCAGACGATCCCGATGAGGAGGAGGAAGAGCTCGAGATACAGGAAATTGAGCCACCCCCGCTTGCGAAGCCGAACTCTCCCATCTCAGTCGCAGATAGCGAAGAGGAGGTTGTTGCCGAGATAGCGCCGGCAGACGATGGTCCCGCGCCACACGCCCAGGCTCCGGGCTCTCCGCCCCTCGGTGACTTCATCCCCTTTCCCAATTCCTCTTCCGAGGGTTCGCCATCACCTCCCCACTCTCCCCGCCGTCTTGACAGAGGTAACCGGGATGGCGCCGCTGAGTCAGGCTCTATGTCCAACCATGAAGGGGTTCGGCTGGCAGCCAACTCGGCCCGCCCTGCCGCTCTTGCAGCGCCACCCGCATTGTTGACAACGCAGGCCGCATCCGGACCTCCTGCTGCCCCGAACCCTCCTCGGCCAGCGCCCGCCCTTGCCGCCGCTGTGGCACCGCCTGCGGCGCCTATGGCACTTGGGGTGTCGCCGACCCCAGCGGCAACACATCCCGAGAAACCCGGCCTTGCTGTGATTACACAGAATGCTGAGGCTGGCCACTCTCACGCGTCAGCGTGGAGCGAGACACCACTTTCCGCGACACCCACATCCGCGACTGTGCGACCGAAACAGCTCCCGACGGCTCTCAAAGACAGGCCAAAGTATCAACAGCCGAGCCGGATCCAACTCCTCGACCTCGCAGTGGACCCCTCCCGCGACCCATCTGTGCGTCACCTTCCTCCGGCCCGCAGGTTCTCAGCATCTCAGATGTCCCCTACTGCCCCCCAACCTCAGGCTCTGCCTGCAGTGGGGCCGAGTCACTCAGCTGGCGCTGTGTCATCCGTTGCGACGTCTGCATATCACTCTACCGCTCGACCCCCTGTTGCCGCCCCGCCTCCCCAGCCGCATCCTGCGCCTCCCACTCGTCGGACATGGGCCGCTCCGCCGCTTGCGCCACCGCAGCGCCCGCCTAATGGGCAGCCCTCATGGGCAGGCGGAACCTCGCCCTTGTCTGGATCGAGCCGTCCTCAGTACGGCTCGTTCAGCGGTGGCGTGTCTCCACAAGGCGGTGTATCCCCTTACGGACAAAGTAACCGGTCGCCGTACCAGGGCGGGGCGTCCCCTGCAAATGGTCTTAAGTCCCCTAACGCGCAAGCGGGCTTTGGAGGCAGGTCACCGAACTATTCGGCTCCTGTCCCTGGTGGACGTCCAAGTATATCCTCTGCTCCACAACCCCCATCGCACCAGGGCTCGATTTCTGGGCCCTCTCAGCAGTCCCGACCGCAGCCTCAGCAGCCGGTCGCGCAAGCTCAGCGCCCTCCGTCGCAGCCGCCTGCAATCATTCCCAGTACGGGTTTGTACGAGGCCAGACGAGACCCACGGCTTCGCCGGGCTGCAGCCGCTCCCGGTCCTTCTACAGTGGTGCCGCCACCACCGCCGCCCGATGAGACACAACCGCCAACATCCACCATTGTCTCTGCGGTCAAGGCCTCGCCGACTCTCGCAGATACCCACCCACTGTGCACACTACGGGTAGCCCACGTGGAAGGAGCTGCGGACAACTATGTTTCTTTAAATCTGCTGAGCGGCTGGGCCTCCGACGCGTCCTTCTTGCTGGAGAAGCACATCGACGCCCAGCACGTCTACTTGTTTCAAGAGGTCGATCGACGGTGCTTGCAGTTATGTCTCATCCAGGGCGCACACATTATCGAATGGGCGCAGGCTGAGCCGCCTGCTCAGCCCACGGCAACCTGGGCGAGCCTGCAGAGGAAAATGGACCAACGTCGAAGTGTGAGTCCGGAAAGCCACACTCCCTGACAGCAGATTCTTGTGTTCCTCGACGAAGTCCGAGCGGCTAATCAGCCAGTAACGTCTCACAATATCTTGATGTTGGCGCGTGCCGAGGAACTACGAGTCGGCGTCGACTTGAATCTGAATGGGTGGAAGCTGGATCGGTTGAACTACGTTGCCTTCATTGTGAAGGTGCCCATCAGGCCAAACGCCAAAATTGACATCCTGCCGAACCCTCTGCGCCCCTTTGTCCCGGGCGAGGAGTCACCCCCTTCTATCGGACCCAGGCGAGTCGACAGCATCGCCGCAAGTTTCGGATTTGACGACAAGACCGCCTCCGAGTTGGGTCAGCAGAAGACACTGAGCGTCATCCCTGCCAATCTCTCCCGCACCGTAATGTACAACGAACTGGTGCACATCGCCTCCAAGTGCGGAGTGAAACCTGACAAGGATGTACCGGAAACGGTTCTCGTACTCAACGGTTTCTTCCAATCTGCGACCATGTCACGCCTGTTTCGTCGGACACTCACCAAGAAAACGCAGTACATGTCCATTGGCGCGGACCTCAACTCGCTGATCTCTCGCTGGGCTTTGCGGCCCATTTGGAAGACAGGAGGACTGGTGACGTTTTCACCTACCTTTTTCCTCTTCCAGCACGACCGCCTCAATGATATCATGAAGGTTGTTCGCTCGGCGCCCAACTGGGCGGCGTACATCGTTCCCACGACGCTGTTATACGTCGATGAGGCGATTGAACAGAACAAGGCGCTCGACCCTAACAGTGCCTTCGCTGCGCTTACGCGGGCACTCTTTTTGGATGACAATAACCGGCGAATAGCGGGTGAAATATCCTCGGACACAGGCGGCATCGTTGTCTCAGCAGCGCCGCCGCTCCTGGCGCTGAAACAGCCTTGCGAGAAGTGGGTGAAATGGCTCGACGACATCTTCGCGTGCACCGAACATGCGCCACTGCTTGACCTCTGCCGCCAGTGGGCCCGGACGTGGGGCCACCGACAAACGGGTCTCACAATCGAGGAAGTTGAGAAGATTTCAATTGGTGACATGATAAAAATGCGCACCCTGCCACACGTCGTTCCCTATCGCCGCTGCATCTACGTGGGCAGCATCAACGACGACCTCATCCGCGAGGCGCACGCGAGTGGCATCGACGTTATCTCACCCGACGCATTCTTCTCGACGTATATGGCCTCGGTGTAAACCTGTGAGTCCGCGCGATGATGTCTACGTAAAAGGTGTGAGCTAGGAGACTGCGCGACCCGCAGGAGCGTCATATTGCAGCACCTGCGCCAGAGCAATGGTGCAGGCGTGTAAAGGCGGACGTATATTTTGCCTGGAACATTGATCTCCCCGCCGCGAGGAGGCGGGGAGGCAAAGGCCCGGGCGTACAGCGCGCTGCACTACAGCAGCGCACTCTAGGTTTCGGCCTGCCGCGTCGCCTCGAGTCACGGCTGTGCGGGGAACCTTGAGGGACAGCTTGCGTCGAAACAGCGTGTGGTCATAGCCGTGGTCTCACGCGAGGATTGATGCGCACACTTGGCCTGGCGCTTCGGCGGCTGGCTGAGGAATCTGCTGACTGGGACGCGCACCTGGCCAGGAACCCAACATGATGTACAATTGCTGAGCGCTAACGACTCAAGGCGAATTGAACAGCGAGACACGCGCCATGCTGCTGAAGCGGCGTGAGTAGAGGGGACAGACAGCGAATAGATCTACTGTGAAGCGCAAAGAGTAACTCTGCAGCCTGAGTTGGAGCACGATCGCACCTCTGGGTTCCTCAGGTTTTGTGTATAGTAATGCATTAGACCTTGCTGCATGCCTGCCTGTATTGGCTCTCGGTATGGAATCTTGCAACTTGCCCCGGGCACTTTGTCCCGTCATAGAGATTATAGTATTTGTGCCCACACGATTCCATCACACCGCTCACAGCAGCTTCGTCACTCGTAAAACAGAGGTACAGCGGTCCGGTCGCATGGAAGGACTGTGTGTGCAGACTCGGCTGGGGTGGTGAGGAGGGCAAAGCGTGTCCAAAGTTCAGGGCCAACAGCCAAGCGCAACAGCCAAGCGCAGGTGAGGGTAAAGAGGATCGAGATCTACAAACAGAGGTCAAAGCAAGGTGAAATCGGTGGCGGCCGGGGACGATGCATGCTGATCGTCAGTGTTCAAAACGCTTTGAACTAGTTAGTGGTGCACTACGATGTTGCCTCTGCGGCGCGTGGTTGTAGGTAAAACATAGAGGCCGATGGCAAATGTTGGTCTGCCCCCGCCTCCCGCAACCTGAAGATTGGTTATTGCGATCAAGCTTAAGATGTGGAAGCGGTGGAGGAATCCGCGATCAGCGATTTGCCACCCAGTCACAAGAGTCGCAGTGTCGAGTCGACGCCGAGGAATTTCGAATCGTCTGCTCACCTTTCACACCTGTCACATTGCTGTATGCAGCAGGCAACTGGCCACCGGCCACTGCCGAGAGATCTCGGCGAGTCTGAGTCGAATGTTGCACAGCTGTTGTGAGATTGTGAGACTTGCCCTGGGTGGCAAAAGGGTCTCTTGGGGCCGGAATGCGCCTGCGAACAGGCCCCTCACCATGCCAGCACAGCACTTAAAAGGTCGTGTCACCCGCATACATTTGTTCTTCTCATTCTCTCTTCTCACCTGTCATCTCTCCCTCACACCGAGAGAGGACAAAATGGCCAACACCGAGTCTCAGTCCTCCTCGGCGGCCAAGAGCGCCTGGGCCATCCCAGCCGCTCTCAAGGATTTGATCGCCCTCGACGCGTCCGCCCGCACAGCCGTCATCGACAAGATGCTCCAAACCACCCACCCCGGTCTTCCCGCTACCGCCGCTCCCCCAACCCCGGTCCCATCTGGTGAGCCTGCAGAGACCTCTTCACTTCGTAAAACTTACCTCTAGCCCCGTTCCTCGATGCGCTCAAAAGGGTACCTGACACTATCACTTGGAACGGCGCCGCAGCGTTCAAGAGCACTAACAGTGCGCTACTCGACCTCTTCGATGGTCTGCAGGCGGGCGTAAAGGCAGAGGACGTGTTTAAAATGCTGCAGAAGGCGTGGAAGGAGGATCCCGACAAGTGAGTCCCTCCTCCCTGCTGCAACTCCCCTTCCTTGCAACCCGCTCCGCCGCTCGCATATCCAGCCCTCGAGAAGAGAAGGCTCCGCCATCCTTTCCCCTCTTCGACTGTTTTGTCAGGCCGACACTGATGCCAGAACATTGCGCATCATCCTTCAAGCCCGCTCAATCCACGAGGGTAAGGGCCTCAAGATTGCATTCTTCCACTGTGTGGCGTGGCTCTGGGACAACCACCCGCGAACACTGCTCGCGAATCTCCGGCAGATCGTCGAGCCCACGTGCGAGCGAGCCCGGTCCCAGAAGAAGGATGCAGCCAAGGCCGAACGCAATAACAATGTCGTCGCCCTTGACGAGAACGGCGAGCCCGAGAAGGAACCCGAGTACCCTCCCCGTCCCCACGGAAGCTTTGACGAGTAAGCTGCCAATACGCTGGAAAATGCTGACAGCAGTCTCAACGATATTCTTGTTCTCGCAATCAACGGCCAGCTGACGACAACGTACATCGGCAAGCTCACCGCCATCGACGAAGCCCTTGCCCCATCTTCCAGCGCATCATATTTCAAAGCGAGCCGCGTTGGCGACACTGCTGAAGGCAAGAGCGGCCGCCAGGGCTACTCTAACGCCGCTCGTGAAGCTCGCAAGAGCGAACAGATAGCAAGGAAGGTGGTGGCAAAAGCCCAGACCGAGACCGGCGTCAACTTGGACAAGAAGCGCAAGGCTGAGGAGGACAGGGGAGCGACTCTGCGGTTGAAGCTCGCACGTTGTGGCACCAGTACGTCACCACCTGCGACACGGCTGACATGTAGAGCAAATGCGCAATGCGGCCATCTCTGCGCACACGGAAAAGGGTCTCACTGACCCAAAGGTCCAGATCCTTCTGGCGGAAGTAGTCAACATTTATGCCGAGTTTCTCAAGGCTGACCTCGAGCGTCTCAAGGCGCACGAAGCTTACCTCGAGCGTCCGGCAGCTGAGCGCCAGGCTGACGGCTATGGGGCCCCAGGCTCTTCTCCTCATCTCTTTGGCATGTCGTACGCCGCCAAGTGGGCCCCCACCCCTGGTAAGAGCGCCGACAAGCAGTTGCACATGGCGACAGCCCTAGCCTTCAAGATGTTCCCCGCCGACGACATGCGTCGTCGTAAACTCCAGGACGAGGTGCTCTCGCCGCTTAGGCGCGTCCTCAATGTTCCCGAGCGCAGCATGGTCAAGGGCAAATGGAAGATCGACTACACCAAGGTTCCAGCACGCTGCATGGCACGAAATGAGAACAATTTCCTTGAGCACGACCCAGTTGGCTTCGAGGCGTATCTTCTCGCCGTCGCCTCCGGCAAGAAGACCATCGCTGGTGCTTCCATGATACCTCACGAACTGTTGCTGAAGGCGCTGAGCACATCGTCTATCATCAGCCGTGTCGCCAACCTCCAGTGGACGGCACTTGTTGACTCCATTCGCTCAAATGCCAAGGGGGAGCTCACCAACTGCATCGCAGTGGCCGATGTCTCGGGTTCGATGGGTTCCATCTATTACCCTTCCTCTGGCGGAGGTCGTGTCGAGGCTATCTGGCCCTGCATTGCCCTCACGTTGCTCATGACGGAGCTTGCGCGCCCTCCTTGGAACGGCGCATTTATCACCTTCTCATCCGACCCCGAGATCCAGCGTGTGGACAACGATCTGTCAGTCGCCGAGCGCGCTCGCAATTTGAGCAAGGCGGACTGGGGAATGAGCACCGACTACCGAAAGGTGTTCGAGAGCATACTGCGAGTCGCCAAGGAAGCCAAGCTCGCCCCGGGGGATATGGTCAAGACGGTCTTCGTGTTCTCGGACATGCAGTTTGACCAGAGCGGTAGATTTGGCGCGACGGAGCACCAGGTCGTCACCCGACGCTTCCAGCAGGCTGGGTACCCCATGCCCGAGCTTGTCTACTGGAACCTCCAGTCCGCAGCCGCCAAGCCCGTGCAAGCCGACACCCCTGGCTGTGCCCTCGTTTCCGGCTTCAGTGGAGCTCTCATGAAGTACTTTATCCGTGCCTTGGGCGACGATGGTGACGACGAAGACAAGGAGCCCAAGGAGGATGAGGACTGGGACGACCTCAAAGATCTGGATATCAAGGACGAGGACGACGGGGACGACGAGGACGAAGAGGACGACGCCGAGACACTGGTCAAGGGAGACGCGAAGGAGAAGGCGGCGAAAGCGAAGAAGACGCCAATGGATCACCTCAACGCGATAATTGCGGCCAGGCCTTTTTGCGGCGTGGTGGTGGTTGACTAAGTGCTGGATACAGTTGTACTGTATGATAGAAGAAGTAGCACCGGTGGCACCTGCACACAATTGATGTACATGTTCTGATAGCACACAAGCGAGCGGCAGGCCGGTGATACAGTGAATTCAACATGAGATCATGAGAGCTAAAGTGACAATTCACCTCGGGGCAAGCCTCAGGCCTCAGGCGTCCCGCTCGCACGGAAGCCGGCTGAATGGATGAGGACACAGGCGCGAGACATCACCAGGCATGTCCAGACATCTGTTGGATCAGGAACACGACGGGTTGGGCGAAGTGCCACAACACGTGGCTCCAGCTGCCACCGTAGCGGAACTTTTCGGAGCTTGAGGCGTAGCAAATTCCCGTCACACGTGACCTGCACCTTCCTTCAATTTCCCTCTTGCATCGGCAGTCCGTTGTCTCATCCCTCAACACCACGCACCAAAAGTCGCCATGCCTCCCGTAAGCGCCTGCTCGCGACGAGTGCTGACGTTCGCAGAAGAAGCAGACCCAGCCCAAGGAGGCCGCCGTTGCTCTCGGCCCCCAGGTCGCCGAGGGCGAGAACGTCTTCGGCGTTGCCCACATCTTCGCCTCGTAAGTCGCGCGACGCGGATGGAGGATTTTGCGCGGTTGTGCGAGGAGCAAGGGCAGCTGGCAGCCCAAACGTGGTAGCTTGGATACATCTGGTGCGCGCGCTGCCATCGATAGCAGAGCCGCCTGGACCAGCATGCTCCTGCCCTTGTCCCGATACACCTCGCTTTTTTCCCATCGAAACAATCCCGCTATCCCAATTTGTGCTAACGCTCAGGTTCAACGACACCTTCGTCCACGTCACCGACCTCTCGGGCAAGGAGACCATCTCGCGTGTCACCGGCGGCATGAAGGTCAAGGCTGACCGCGACGAGTCGTCCCCCTACGCTGCCATGCTTGCCGCGCAGGACGTTGCTCAGAAGTGCAAGGAGGTCGGCATCACCGCCCTCCACGTCAAGCTCCGCGCTACCGGCGGCACCGGCACCAAGCAGCCCGGCCCCGGTGGCCAGGCCGCCCTCCGTGCCCTCGCCCGTGCCGGCATGCGCATCGGCCGCATCGAGGACGTGACCCCCATCCCCTCGGACTCGACCCGCCGCAAGGGTGGTCGCCGTGGTCGCCGCCTGTAATCGCGTGCGCGCGTGGCTTTGCCGTGTTCCTTTCGTAGATTGGAGACGCGGATACTCGTCGCTAGACAGCACGCGCTATGCCAGTCCGTGGCTGTCCCTGACTTTCTGGCTGCGGGATGCAATCGTACACTAACGGCGTGAGGAGTCAGTGATGGTCGTCGGGTGGTGTTTGGCAGACGGTTCAGTCTATCGAATGAGTGTAGTGGTGCAGTGAAGCCAGTGAGCGCGTTTGCAGGGCTCTCCAGACTTCCTTCACGCGTCATGCTGGGCCCCGGCAGTGGGTGCTTTACCCCAAACAGTCGGTTGCAATGGGTGTCTGTGACAATACGAATGCAGAGGAGCCTTGCATTCACACCCGAACCACCACCAGTCCTCCATCATGACTCCCACTGATGATGCATCTAGCCCTCTACCGTGACATGCCAAAAACCCTAGTGCTACACGCCATACTGCTCGCGCACCTTGTCCTTCCTCCTCTCCAGCAGAATCCGCCCCATCCCTTCTGTGTCCGGGAGCTCCGGAACCTGCAAACTCCGCGGGTCGAACACGCTCATGAACGCCGCGACCTGCGCCCCAGCGGGGTTCGGCATAGAGCCCGGCCCGCCCGGCGGTGGTGGAGGCGGCTTCTTCCCCTTCTTCCCCCGCTTCTTGCCCTTGCTCTTGGTCTCTGGCTCATCCTCGTCCGGCTCGGGCGACTTGCGCTTCGCGCCTTCGCCTGATCCCTCGAGCGGTGGCGGCGCAACAGGCTCAGGATATGGCAGCGCAACATCCTCCCCCAGCAGCTCGGCGGCAGCACGCGACGCCTCTTCCCAATCTGGCGTCAGCTCGATCCTACGGCGGCGTACCTTTCCTCGCCGCAGCGTCCTCCTCGCCAGCCAGAGACGGATCCATCTCGTCAAGGTCGCCGTAATAATCTGTCCCCTGGTTTCGGAACATCTGGAAGCTCGTGTTGCGCGCCGACTCCTCCGTCGCTGCCTTGGCTGGTTGTCAGCTACCTTCCTCCAAACCTCCTGCCGTGAGGTGCGACTCACCGCCCTTTTCAAACATCTCCTTCACGCCGGGAAGCTCGCGCGCCCGTCCAAAGTACTTGTACCCGCGCGTGCCCGGCACCTCACGCCCTGCCTCGTCGACCATAGACATAGTCGCGCGCTTGTAGTTGGCGCCGCCGAGCGCGACGATCTGCGACTCCCAATGCCGCTTCTCCTTCAGCAGCTGGTTGATCTCGTCGTTCAAGTCGCGGACCTCGTAGTTTGTGAGCGACGAGTCCTGGATCTTGGACACCTTGCGGCTGATCTCGCGCATGATGTCGCCGCGCCAGCGCTCACACTCGCGCAGACTTGAGACGGAGCTCGCGACGCGCGGCCGCCGCTCGCCCGCGCGCCGGTTGCCAAGCCCCATCTCGACAGACTGCTGCTCTCGAAAGCGGTAGAGCATCGACTGCGCCTTTTCCGAGTTGCGCGCCATGGTGGATGATATTGTGGATGGCGAGAGCTTTCTGGGTTAGTTGTGGTTACATTCGTTGTGATCGCGGTGATACGAGGAAGGCCACGTCAGGATTGGTGCCTGGATAGAATGTTGAATCACTGGAAGTGGAGGTCGCTCATCTCAGCTCCTACACTGTTGCTCATCATCATCTCCATGGCATCGCCGGAACAGCTCGCGGAGCTAGGCATTGCCGCCCCAAGAAAGGATCACGCGTCCCGTCTCCTTCCACCCACACCCCGCGCTACATATCGCACACTCCTCCACTGCCTCCGCTTCATCCGGGATCCACATATTTGGCTCATCGCCTCCATCCGCTTCCGCACCCTCCTGCACGAAGCGAACAAGCAATTGCCAGCACACTTGAAAGATGGGAGTCCAGAGCTCGAGGTGTGCAAGGAGCAGCGTGAACGCGCCTGGAAGCATCTTAAAACAGTACGCCGTTGCATCAGCACCCGGAAATACTGACTGGTAGGAGCTGAACGAGGTGCGCGCGGCCTCGGCATGCCACCCGCACGCGCTCACGCGACTGATCGAGGAATGCTACGGTGTTCGGGGACGAGTCAAGTGGGAACTCATCAAGGTAGCTACCACGATACATGCAATCTGACAACAGAACGTGACGCTAAGTACACCGTTGAAACGCAACGAGTGGCCTCAAGCCGTACTCGACAAAGTCCCTGACCCGGAGACGCGATATCCACCGATGACTCTGCAACCGCTGCCCCCATGTTTACGACCGCTGTCGAAGAAGCGTCCCGACGAGCAGCCTGTCCCGCGAGCACGCACCATTCTGCCACCCGCGGCAGTGCGTCGCGTGGCGCGCAAGGACTGGGAGTGGGCGTGGGCGAACGTCTCGGTTCCCGTGGTCTTTCCGGAGAACGAGGATGGAGCTGCCACAGGTTGGGAAGGGAAGGGCGTGATTGAGACGATGCGGCAACTGGCTGGACTTGAGAGTCCGCCGGCCGCTCCTACTCCGCCGCGGCGAGCTGGGGTCGTCACATTACGAGGCCCAAGAGATCCACCACCGTCGTTCCAGAACCTCCCTAACAGCCTCCAGGCCGCCTTCCCTCGCCGCAGTCCTAGATCATACCGCCCACTGCCGCCGTTCCCTCCTCCTCGGGCGAGCCTTACGCGCTCGAATCCTCAGACCTGGAAGTACCCGCGCAAATTGACGGCGCGTCTCATCCGGCGCGTCTACAAGAGCGTTTGGGACCGTCTGGACTGGGTCGCCAAAGTACCCCTCCGGAAGAACTCTGCGGGCGTCGTGATCGGGGGATGGCAGCGCAGCGACTCCGAGACAGTGCTGACCGGGAGCAGCCGCGGTGGGCCTGCTGAGTGGCGCGACGCATCGTCGCGCTGGGTAGAGGCGGGGGAGGCGGATCTGAAGTGGCTCACAGAGGACGAGGTGGAGGGCAACTGGGACGCGAAACGGTTGCGGGCGGCCAAGCAAAAGGCCGAGGCAAAGGCTGTGAAGCGGAAGGCGCCCAAAGACGCCGAGTCGGAGTGAGCAAGCACATCGATCCTTACACGTGTATGCATATATGGCCTCGGCCACAGCCGAGGCACTTCATTCTGAGTAATGCAAGTCCGAGGCGCCGACGGGGGTTGAGCGCTGAGCAGTGGTGGTGGGAGAGTGACGCCATCGGAGTTGGCGGAGGTGTGGGCCGAACCAAGGAGGAGGCCGAAGTGGGAGAGGCATCTGCTTACGTACGGTGATTCGCTCCTGCGTCATTCGGCGCGAGGATACTAAAGCAGCTCCCTGCTTCAGCTACACTCTTCCCACTCCCCACATCACGCTCATCGTCAAAATGGTCGCCGTTCTCCGCTCGCTCCCCCGTGCCGCCGCCCCTGCGCGCCGCGCCTTCGCCGCCGCCGCCGTCCGCAGCAAGCACACCCTCCCGGACCTCCCGTACCCCTACGACGTGAGTGCTTTTTGCCGAGCTCCGAACTCCGAGCCTCGCGAGACGACGCTGACCACGACCGCACCTGCGCCTCTCACCGCATTCTATACCCGCTGCAACAATTCACTCCAACGGCTCGCTCCGCTCAATGCGCTCTGACCTATCCCACCTCCTCCCCATTTCACGTTGCCCCGGCTTCTCACGTTCCTGGTGACTACCCGACCCGTCTCACATCAATCTCACATGCACTCTCGCTTTCACACTGCAGGCCCTTGAGCCCTCGATCTCAAAGAAGATCATGACGCTCCACCACGACAAGCACCACGCGACCTACATCGCCGGCCTTAACGCCGCTGAGGAGAAGCTCGCTGGCCTCCAGGCAAGCCAGGACGTCAAGGGCCAGATCGCCCTCCAGGCGGCGCTCAAGTTCAACGGCGGTGGCCACATGTGAGTAGATGGCGGATGACATGTGTCAGGGGTCGCAGAGGCTAACGGCAGTAACCACTCGGTGAGTTGCAGCGAACGAGTCTGCCTTTCGGCTTCAGCGCGGCTATCTGGTTTCTGCAGATCGTGTTCTGAATACCAGGCCCGCTGACCCCAGCTCTTCTGGAAGAACCTCGCGCCTACCGGCTCGAACCAGACCCAGATTCCCACCTCCGGTGCCCTCGCCGACCAGGTCAAGAAGGACTTTGGCTCGTTCGACAACCTCATCGAGCAGATGAACACCAAGACCGCGGCCATCCAGGGCTCCGGCTGGGGCTGGCTCGGCTACAACCCGACCTCCAAGGTCCTCGAGGTCGTCACCACCGCCAACCAGGACCCCCTCCTCACCCACGTCCCCCTCATCGGCATTGACATCTGGGAGCACGCCTTCTACCTCGACTACCAGAACGTCAAGGTCGACTACCTCAAGAACATCTGGAAGGTCATCAACTGGGAGGAGGCCGAGAACCGTCTCAAGGCCGCCCTCTAGGAGCTAAGATTCTGAGTTAGTTCTTGGTTAGAAGATGCAAAAGTGAAGCAGTACCCTGCTCATGTGCAGCGTGAGGTCTGATCCGGCGGGCGTTAGTCGTCTACATCGCTCCTGTAAACAGTCTACAACGGCTCGTCTCAAGCTAAAGCGTGCGGCGGTCGGCCATCACGCGGTTGATGCAACCAACGCCAGCGACCTCGACGAGCTGGGGTGAGCAGCGCACTTCGCAGCCCTATGCAGTAGCTGCAACTCACCTTCTCATGCCAGGTCAGCAGCACAGATCCGGGAATGTCGGCACCTTTGCCCAGCGCGGCCATGTTCTGAAGTCAGCGAGAGTCATCGAGTCAGGGGGCGCGGCTTGCGTGGCCGGGCGGGCGTGAGCGAGCTGACGCCTGTAAACAAGGTGGCAGCCATCGCAAACAGCTACTGTAGCCCCCGTTCGCCTCATGCCTGAGCTGCCCCACGTCTGAGCGTGCGCCTGAATCCTCGCTTCGGAGCAACCATTACACACCTTGTACAGGTAGGCCATGAGGTATGCCTGCTGCTCGTGGTCAAGTCCCTTGATCGCGTTGGGGATGTCAGCCGCGCGTGTCGAGTTAAGGATCAGGAGCACAGCTTGCGTCGTCAACTCCTGTCCGTTAGCTGTGCCTTCCATGTGGCGCGATCACGATCTCTAGGCCTAATCCAGAGATATGACCAGCGCACAGCACGACACGTCGTCACCAGATGTGTACCAGTAGTGCAAATAGCGTCGCCAGAAGGCAGTCACAACGCCTCAGTACCTACCTTGGCCTGGTCCACACCCTCGCCATATGGCGGGTTCGTCAGGATCGTCGACAATGCGCCCCCAATGTCGCCCCTGTAGTCAGCAGCTGCCTCTTTACCTTCTCCCAGCCGGAGTGGCCTGTCACTTCTCACAGCCAACAACGACTGGCCCCGCAGCAGTTGACAGTGCCCACCGTACTTCTTGCTCGTACGAGAAGGCGCGCGACTCACTTCGACACAAGATTCCGGCACTCCTGGCTGCGCTGTTGGGACTCGGCGTACGCGCCATCTGGCCCGCGCGGGTCGGGCTCATACAGGTCGGATGGGAGAAGAATCTCCTCCTCGAGCGCGTCGATGTCGATCTTCCGGAAGGCGTACTCGTTGCTCATGGTGTATGGGTGGAAGAACAGTCGTCGATGGACATGTTGGCGTGGCTATGACGCCGGCCCTATCTATTGGGGGGGACGGAATACGGGCCGAGCAGCGGTGGAGGTCGGCTGCGAGACTTCGTGGAAGAGCCTCGAGCGATGCACAGCCATCTTTCAACCACACATCATGGTCAACCCTAACGAGGACACTGAATTGTGAGCGCTTTGCGGGCAGTCTGACAGCAGCAACGACGCGCTGCGTGCGCAGGGCATCCTGCCCCCGAAGCCCCCTTCGCGCTCTCCATCTCCCGACATTCCGCACATTACGCGGGCGGACGCGACGCGCGCGCTCGCCGAGGTCGCGGACGCCGACCAGTTGGGTGACCTACTCGAGGGAGATGGCCTTGACTCGGACGATGAGCGCATGTTCGAGGACTACCGCCGCAAGCGGCTGGCGGAAATGCAGCAGGCGGAGAAGAAGGGCAGGTTCGGGAGCATGGAGCCGCTTGCGCGCGAGGACTTTGTGCGCGAGGTCACGGAGGGGAGCAAGGCCGTGCCGCCTGGCGAGGAGGTAGACGAGGACTCGGACGACGAGGCGCCGAAGAAGAGCCGTGGGACAGGTGTTGTGGTCTTCCTCTTCCAGGACTCAATACCGCTGTCCCAGCACTTTCGACCACTGCTGAACCAGTTGGCGGCCGCGCACCCCGAGACCAAGTTCCTCGCCATTCCCGCTCAGCTGTGTATTCCCAACTACCCCGACAAGAATGTCCCCACACTCCTGATTTATCGCGGTGGAGAGATGATGGGGCAGGTCGTGGCTGGCGCCGGCCTGAAGGGCATGAAGACGACGGCTAGGGGTGAGCTACAATGCTCGTATCAGAGCTGACGACAGATCTCGAGGCGCTTCTCATCCGTTACACGGCGCTGAAGGGCCCATCGAAGGCGCTGCGCGGCGGCGGCAACCGTGAGGAGGACAGCGATGATGATCTCGAGGACGATGTTGGTGCCGTCAATACCCGCGGAGGGGGTATCCGGAGCGGCGGCGTCGGCGTGGGTACGAGGCGGGACGCGAGCGACGACGACGACAGCGACTTTGACATGTAGACTAGACGTGCATGCATTCATTTCGATGGATGTACAAACGGAATTGCGGTTGGGGAATTGTTGGTCTGGAACTGCCAAGTCATTCCGCCCTGGCCAGCGCAGGTTCACGATTCACAATCCTCCCGGCCTCCATCTCATTCTTCACGTCATCCATCCATGACACCCCGCGCGGAAGAAGCGCGCAGTCCGCGTAGCCCGCGCGGCCGCGCGTCGCAACTCGCCGACGACCTGCACACCACCTCGAGCTCGCGTCCGCGCTCTCCTTTCCCCATGTCTGCCGCGGCACCGGCGGCGGTATCAACAGCACATGTCAACGTCGAGACGGCTTCGAGCCTCGACGCGTCGACCTCGAGCTCGCTGCTCTCCCCACCACGTCCCCGCCTTCCATCCTCCCGCAGCGCACCGAGCGTCTCTGCCGCCGCCGCCTCCGCGTCTCCCTTCACGTCCGACGAGTCGCGTGCCCCATCCCCAGCCGTCGCGTCGCTCGTAGCCACCCCGCACACACCGCGCTCGCGCCGAGTCTCCGCTACCGGTGCGACACCAATACGCACACCAAGCCGGAAGGGCAAGGAGCGCGCCGCGGAGGTCGAGGCTGACGCGATCGGCGAGGTGAGCGTGCAAGGCAGCGCGCGGCGCGGGTTGCGGGAGCTTGTCGCTCGTGATGAGCGGCGGCGCGAACGGGAACGGGAGCGGGACAGGGAGCGAGGGCTACCAGTAGCGCGTACCAAGGGTGAGTCTGAGGGCGTCCGACAGCAACTGACTGCAGACATGACGGACGTATCACCGGCGCCAGAAACGGCAGATGCCCGGCCGCGGCGATATTATGTCCTCACGAACGCCGGCAAGCCTGTTTTCAGCATCGGGCACGCGGACGAGGACACGCTCACCAATCTCATGGGCGTGGTGCAGGCGCTGGTTTCGATCTTCGCCGAGGACGACGATAAACTGCGCTCCGTCGTTCGCGGGCGCACACGTATCGCCTTCCTCATCAAGCCGGAGATGTACCTCTTCGCGGTCAGCGACTGGGGCGAGCCGGAGCACGTCCTCCGCATGCAGCTCGAGTACATCAACCTGCAGATACTGAGCGTCGTATCGGCCGCGCAGCTCGCGCGCGCATTCGCCCGCCGTTCCAATTTTGACCTCTCGCGGCTGCTGGTGGGAAGCGAGAAGTTCCTCCACTCGCTTGTCGAGACCTGCCAAGACGACCTGAGTTTCATGACCACAACGTTGCAACCATTACGCATGCCGCCCGCGCTACGCGAGAGCGCGGGCAACACTCTCACGCCTCCTGCCAAGTTCAAAGTGAGTCAGAACGCTCTCGCCCTGTCTTCAGCGATTGCTAACCCCAGGACTTGTTGTACGTTCTTCTTATTGCGGGTGGGCGGATAGTCACCCTCCTCCGACCGCGGCGGCACGCAGTGCATCCCGCAGGTGAGGTTTCTGCTTCGTACTGCGGCTTACACCAGACATGCACCTGCTGTTCAACACAATCGCCACGTCTCCGACACTACGCGAGGTGGAGACATGGCTTCCCATCTGCTTGCCCAAGTTCAACCCGCAAGGCTTTGTGCACGCGTACATCTCATTCATCCGCGAGGAGGTAGGCCTAATCTTCATCTCTGCCGATAGAGACGCCTTCGAGCCGCTGTGCGGATGGCGCGAGCTGGTGGTGGAGCAGCTCTCGCGGGACGGGGCCCTCGACCGCATCGCAGCGTGCGTCAAGAACCACCCGTACACTGTTGCAGAGATTGGATCGCCAGGTCTGCGACACTTCGTGTACAAGAACCGTGGCATGGTGCAGATCACCTCGCCCGAGTGGGAGGAGCCGTACACGAAGGGCAGCGAGGCACGTCGCCGCCTCGTCACGCTCTACCAGAAGGCGCAGGATGCGTTGTTCGCGCGCCCGGGCACAGGGCAACCAACACCGCTGAGGCTGCTCTACCTTGCTGGGCCACACGAGGCTGTCCTCGCCTGGCTGACCCGCCCTTTCGAGTTGTACGTGGCCGTCTCCCCGCACCTCCCCATGAACGCGGTCGTAGCTACCGCCAACCGTGTCGCTAAGTGGGTGAACCTCGAGGAGAGCCGCCTGTTCCTCCGAGACGCACCGGTCTTTTAGTTGTATGTATGCATCTTCTATCCCTCTATTCCGCTTCTTCTGCATCCGAGTCCGTGTCATTGGCGTTGAGGTCGCCCTCAAAGATGTCGTAAGACGCCTTCTCTCCTGGCGGGAACAGGCGCTCCGACTCCGGCACCTGCTCCACCACAGGCTCCTCACTTGGCCCCGTCTCGACCCAGCCCCAGCGGCGGACGAGACGGCCCTGGATAGAGCCGAAGAAGACGGCCATGACGGTCGACGTCATAATAATAACGTTGTACGGCATCGAGAAGTCAGGCGTTGGCACGTCCAGAAGCAGTTTGGCGGAGTACACGCGGCGACGGGACGATCGGCGGTGGTCTACGTCCGCCTCACTCTCGTCGTCCTCTCCCTCAACGTCGAGCAGGGTCAGCACGCCGGACGGGATCTCGCGCCCGCGCTCGGCGTCTGGCCGGTGGTCGTCGTACTTCAGCGTGAGCTTGGTGAATGGGATTGAGAGGCGTAATGTGCTGCGCGCTGGCAGCGTCAGGTGGAGGTGCAGTGTAGTCGTTGAGGGCGTGGGCGGGACGGAGGGTATGTACTCAATGTCGCGGAGGAGGTCACCTACTGTCAGCGGAGCCCTGGCCGAGTAGCCGGCACTCACGTCTGTCCTCGCTGTCGATGGAGACGGCCAACTCGCTCATCCAGCCCTTGACCCACCACGGCCACACCTCGGAGTAGACAGCAGGCCGGTCGACGTCGGCGTTGTTCGCGATATCCACCACCAGCGTGGCGTCCGCAGCGTTCCGGTCCGCCGCAACGCGAGAGATCGTAACGAGCGGTGGCTCGAAGGAGAGCGCTGGGGTCAGCCGTCATTGCTTGCAGCCGGACGTACGGTGCTCGAATTGCCCTTCACCATCCCACCAGAATGCCATGTCCTTGCCTGCCACCTTGGCGAGATCCCACTCGTCCACGGTCCGCTTCCTCCCGTCCATCCAACGCTCAACAGTGCGCGGCGGCGCGGGGTCTGCGCGGAACCGGTCGTCGCGAGGTCGGATCACCCGGATTACTGAGCTCGAAGCCGCTGGGAACACCCGCGGCAGCGGCTGCTGGAAAACCTTGTTGATGGTAAATGAACGCTCACCGCGCTTTGGTACCAGGTCGACTACACCTTCCCACCACCCCTTCCATGATCCAGGGGCGTCCGCCGTCGGCATCACCACGTCGATGCCCTCCGTCTTGAAGCCCCATGCGAGCACGACGCCCGGCTTGGCGAGGAGCGCAGAGAGGCCGGAGACACCCTTGCTCGGAAGGAGTGAAAGGAAAGGGGTAAGGTTCTCCGTGCAGAGGTGCAGGTGGGGTGTGGAGACAAGGTAGTGGGAGGCATCTGTAGTCAGTCGTGACAGTTGCAAGCTGGACCTACTCTCACCGTCGCGAGCAGGGGGATACAGCTCGCCGAAGGTGCGCACGGCCTCGCCCGAGTCCTCGGCGCCGACGACGCCCGCGCAGAACATGCCGCCAAATGCATGTGTGACGGCGTCCCACGCGGCGTCCGTCTCGGCGGGCGAGCCGCGCAGCCAACCTCGCACACTCCCACCGCCACCACCAGCGTCGTAGGAGAGCGGACCCGCCTCGCCGTGCCGACGCGCGTGCCACTGGCCAGACGTGAAGGACACTGTGAGTTCAGAGACATTGTTCCGCTCGAGTGGCAGGAGCAGCCCCGGCGGCGTCAGTGAGTGATGGCTCTGGTCTGGTGTCAGCTCAGCTCGGCCAGATCGCTACTAACGTGTTGAGCCCGCGCCGTGATGCAGGTCGAACTGCGTGGTGTACTCGAAGAGGACGCTGAGCTTGCCATCAGGCAGCGGGTGGAGCGTGAGGGACTCGTGGAAAGTATCGCGCGCCACGGCGGCGGCCGCCAGAAGAATGGGTGCGGCGAGCCGCATGGTGGATGATGACGAGACAAGATCGTAATGTGGAGGCAGTCAGACTTTGTTTTCGTCCACTTTCTCTCAACCCATCCACGAGTCAGCCGCCCGTCCGGGATACGGTCTGGCCGAGCTTAGCTCGCTCAGCGCGCACGAAATGAGCGGAATTGTTGCCCCACAACCAATACGGGCGGGCGGCCTCTCGACTCCTGCTGCGGCGGCGTCGGGCTCGGCCCTGCCCTCCCCGAGCATACGAGGCAAGAGCGCGCCGAAGTCTCCCAAACCGAAGAGTCCCAAGTCTGGCCCGCCTTCACGGCCCCCATCTCGCACTGAGCGCCGCTTCGCATGCACCTTTGCCGGCTGCGATAAGGCGTTCTTCAAGCCGGCGCGCCTGGCGGAGCACATGCGCACCCATACCGGCGAGCGGCCATACGTCTGTGAGTGCGGGCAGAGCTACCGCCGCGCCACGCACCTCACCGCCCACCAGCGTACGCACAAGAGCGAAGCAGACAAGACGTTTGTCTGCGCGCGCGAAGGGTGCGGGAAACGATTCTGGACTGCCACTCATCTGGCGCGGCATCAGACGGCACACGACACCGCGGAAGTGCACGCTTGCACGCAGTGTGAGGAGTCGTTTCCCAAAAGTCACCTTCTTCGCGAGCATGCTGCCGCTGCGCACATGCCGGCGGGGAGCAAGCCGTGGCCATGCACGCACGAGGGATGCGGGCGAAGCTTTGACACAAAGCAAAAGCTGAGGGCACACGAGAAGACACACGATCGTACGTTATAAGTTGACGCTGACTCGAAGCTGACAGCAGCTACGCGCTACACCTGTTCGCATCCTATTCATGGGCTGAACATGCCCTCGTTCCCCGTCTGGTCCGCGCTGCAAACACACATCCGGGAGGCGCATCCGCCGACATGCCCGCACGCCGAGTGCGAGGGGCGCCCTTTCAAGAACGCCGGCCTACTCCGACAGCATCTGCGAGTGCATGCCGAGCGTGAGGCAGACCTTGCCGCCGGGCGCGACCGGGAAGAATCGGCGGACCTGCCGCCGGTGCTGGCGGAAGCGTCGACGCGGAGGAAGAAGCGCAAGCTCAGCGCCATCTCCGAACGGGAAATAGCGGCGCTCAAAGCGGATGGCACTCTTCTGCCTACAGCGCCATCGGGCGGCTCAACCCCAGCAACGCCAGGCACACCGAAGAAGCTCCCACGCATCCTTGCGGGGGAAGCCGGCAAGGACTGGACGTGCGGAGCGCCCGGATGCGGGGCGCGTTTCAAGAGCCGTTTTGCGCGCGATGAGCACGCGCAAGCGGCGCACTCGAGCGGGCGGCATAAGTGCGACGTGTGCGGGCGCTCATTCCGTCGCCCAGTGAGCTTGAAGCGGCACCAAGCCGGCGAGTGGTGCGGTAAGGACGAGCCTAGTGGGGGTTCTACCCCCAAGCGCACGCGCAGCGCCAACCTCGACGCTATATCCGCAGGCGATCTCCTCACGGGCAGCGCGACGCTTCCGGGCGGCGTGCTACATCGCCGCTGGGCATGTCCATACGTTTATCAGCTTCCAGAGGGTGAAGAGGAAGGCGGAGGAGAGGCAGGGGCGAGTGAGGAGGAGGACACGAAGGACGGGACGGACGACGGTAAGCGGTACACGTACTGCTCTGAGCGATTCCATCGCGTGTACGATGTGCGTCGGCATCTGGCGGCTGCGCACCAGATGGTGTTGAGTGATCTTGCGACTCGCGAGATGTTGCTGGCGGATGGACAAACGGGCGAGGATGATGAGACGCAATAGACTTATGGTTCAGTTGTATTGTTGCTGTTGGTATTCGTGCCATGTACTTCTTGTTGTGGGGTCGGCGATGCTTCGCTGTTAAGTCAGACTTGGATCAATGAATTATAACGTCGTGTCATGTCTATTGTGATTTCTGGTAGCGAAGGAAACTTCACGAGAGATGGAAATTGGAGACGTAGTGCGAAAGAGCATTCAACTACCGGTGGTGATGCTTCAGCTGAAGGATGCGGGAGAGGAGGGGTGAGTTCGCAGAGACAACAGGCACTCGCTCGAAATTCTCTGATCGTGCAGCTTCTGCACAAGATCGCCAATCTACAGTGCTGCATCCACTCGTAGTGTGGCGTATTCATCCTTCTCTCGCCCGTAATACCTGTTGCCCCATAATGCTCCGTCCTCCGTAATCACTTGCATGCCAGCTTCGTCGATGGCCTAAGCAGCCGCAAGAGAAGAGGCCTTTATGGAGATGCAATGGCTGGACTAGGCATCGACTCGATAATACAGTAGTCGAGGTCGTCGTAAGGGGATCGGAAGGACAAACAGTGCCGTGATTCCACATCCTCGTTGGTACTTTTTGACGGCTGTTGTACGCTACTCGTATTATCGTTACCTTCTCCAAGCTCCCAGAGTGCGGCTGGAGCGCTCATCATGAACAGTTGACGGAAGTGCGCCGTTCTCATATGATTCGAGTGCGAGCGGAATCGGAGTCACGTGATTTGACATCACCTTATGAGGGTGGCGCGGGAGCAAAGCCACGTGGCCCTCAACCCGCCATCCGTCTGGGGGTATGCCACATAACGCCTATTCCCGTGACGCCGGACGCTCTTCGCCCACATTAGTGTACCCTTTAAGGTGCCGCAAACCACCCAGAGCTCGCCCACCTTCGGGTGGGCATAACTAAAATTGGAACGATACAGAGAAGATTAGCATTGCCCCTGCATAAGGATGACACAAAAATGAGACAGAGAGGTGGACTTCGGTCCAAATATTTTTTCTCCTTTGGGTGCCATGTCGCTGGCTCTGAGTCGAACGCATGCACTGGGGGATGGGAGGTTCGCTGCACTGTCCTCTGGTAGGCGTCTCCAACCTTGCTTGCACCAACAGTCTCCTTTCTGCCGCATACTTGCAAAGCATGCATTCGACGGTCCACGGCCCTGCGGTGTGACCACAGCAATGACGAGGACAGACAAGTAGCTCAACCAGCAATGGGCGACAGCGAAGAAGCACACCTCTGGGCGCACCACTCCCCTCACCCTCACGGCTAACACTCATAAAGTACCCACACCCCTCGCCCCCAATCCGTCTTCTGAACGCATACATACACGTCGTCGCACAGAGCAAATACATAACAGGATAGCGGCACACCTTGCGGCGTGCCGCCCGCCTTAGCCCGGCCCAATCTGGCGTCAGCCCTCGTCTTCTCGTCTCCCTTCGGACTCACACGCGGCATGTCGTAGTGCTCGCTCATCGAGTCAAGGCGCGCATTGAGCTGCGCCACGCGCTCCTTGTGCGTAAGATGCACGTTGCGCTTCACGCGCTCCTCGCGCCGCTTGCGCTGCACCTCCTCGAAGCGGCGCTCGGCCTCGGTCATACGCCTCCCGCCCGCCGGCGCGGGCGACGCGGACGCGGACGCGGATGCGGATGCGCTGCGCCGGTCGTCGCGCTCGCGCTCGCGCGCGCCGTCCTCGGGCGTACGTGCGCGCTCCTCCCGATCCCGTTTAGTCTCGGCAGCGGCGACATCAGCCTCTTTGCGCGCCCGCTCGTCGGGCGCGTGCGTCTTCTTCTTCTTCTTCTTCCTGCCGTCAGCGCGGCCGGCGGGCGACATACTTGTCCTCGCCCTTGAATTTGAGAGAGCCGCCGGGACGCGGCACGGCGTAGTCGCTCATGTTGCGGATGACGGACCGGTGACGCTTGGGTGGCGATTAGTGTGGAGTTACCAGGGGATCAAATAAACTACTTTTCGCCGCTTGAGCTCCTCCATCACCCTCCTTCCATCCACCACCAACACAACACCTAAAACATGAGCGCCGAGCAGAACCTCCAGTTCGACGCCGCGACGCAGGTATGTCTCCAAGAGGGTGTAGACAGAGGCTGATCCCAGGCCGAGCTCCAGGAGTTTGTCGAGACCGAGTGCGTACCGCATGCTTCGGCACTGACGGCAGGCGCGCAAAGGCCAAGATGCAGGCCAGCATCCACGAGCTCACGGACCGGTGTTGGAACACCTGCGTGACGGGCGGCATCAGCTCCAAGTTCTCCAAGTGAGTGGGGGGTGACCAAGCGACAGGCGGCTCTGGACCGGTCTGGACGCCGAGTGGTCGGGACACCAAGTGGTCTGTACATCAAGTGGTCTGGACGCCGGGTAGTCTGGACGCTCCGAGTCTGGATCGTGCGGACGTCTGACTGCGAGGAGTGTATGCACCTGCCCCCCCAAGGCTTCGCTTTTGCGCCGCGCCACCGCTGACGCCAGGTCCGAGGCGTCGTGTCTCGAGAACTGCGTCGACCGCTTCCTCGACACGTCGCTGTACATCGTCAGCCAGATCGAGCAGCAGAAGCAGCACTAGAGGCATCATGTATCGCTTGTCCGAGCGGGCGAGAGCTGCGCAGCGAGGTAGAGCGCGGTGGTGTGTGAAAGGGTGTCGTGGGCGGGCGAAGATGCCTGCCAGTGGTGGTGGGACTTTATGAGTTGGATGGTCTAGATCACTGGAAAACTGACGTCGGCACGAACGCGGCTGGGCTCGACTGGGTCTCTGATGATTGCTGCCGATATACACCGCTAGGACTTGCTTCATTTCGCAAACGGAGCGACAGAGGCCCCAACCGATGTGCACAACAGCCAAAGCAGTCGGCCACACCTGTCCCCCCCCCCCCCACCGTCCAGTCCGTCCAACGTCCAGTCCGTCACTCCATCTCCAGCACCCCCCCCCCCCCCCCCCCCCCCCCCCCCCCCCCCCCCCCCCCCCCCCCCCCCCCCCTCTCACACTGCTACACTGTTGCATGACCGAGATATGTCTGGGTATAATGTCCTCTCGAAACACGCTCACCGCTGGTATCTGGCAGCGTGAAATCGCCCAGCCTTCCGACCTTTGTCGCACCCACGCCGCCTTTTCCCCACTTACGCACCACCACCGGACCGCTCGACCGAGATGCGCGGGCGCTTGTCCTTGTCCTCGGGGCTGAGTTTGGCGAGGTGCGTGAACGCCGAGTCGAGCTGGAGCTCCTTGAGGCCCGCAGCAATGTCGAGGAAGTCCTGGAAGTCGACGGCACCCTTGCGCGTAAAGTCGACCTCCTTAAGGATGCTGGCCGCGACGTCGGGGTTCGCGTCGTAGCCGGCGCTCTTCATAGCGCGCAGGATGTCCTCGCGCGTGATCCGGTTGTCGTGGTCCAGGTCGAGGCTCGCGAACTGCTCCTTGAGGCGTGCAAGCTCCTTCGGGCTGAACGCGGAACGCGCGTAATGCGCCGCCTCCTCCTTGCTCGCGAGACCCAGCACTCCGATCTTGCCGGCACGCGCGCGCACGTCCTGCAGTGTGATCTTGGTGGCGTCGGGAAGACCCATCGACTTGAGGAACTGGACAGCGTCGTCGAACTCGGCGCTCTTGCGCACTCCGTCCCAGCCGAGCTCCTCGCCCATTATGTCGATCACTCTTGGCAGGACCTCGAGCGTCACCTGGACGTTGAGGAAGGAGAGGCGCGTGCGGCGTGCGATGAAGTCGGTCGCCTTGAGCGCAAACTCGTGGCGCACGGCGTAGCGTGCCTCGGCCTCGATGTAGGGGTACAGAGGGGAGAGACGTTTGCCGTGGATAGGCCAGCTCTGGCCAGTGGGGTCGGCCATGGACGCTACCGCCCATGCGCGGTCGCCATAGCTCTCAGCAAGGTGCTTGGCAACAGCCGTCTCGAGACCGAACTGCTGGATGAGCTTGATGTACATGGTCGGTGTCCAGGCATGCGCGCCCATCAACTTGATGTGGTGCGTGGGACATGGGCCATTGGGCTTGAGGCCAAACTCCTTGATGGCCGCGTCCACGGTCTCCTCGGCCATTTCACGGTAGGTAGTCCACTTGCCGCCGGCAATAGTGAGGAGGCCACCCTTAGAAATGTTGATCATGTGGTTGCGCACGAGCGACTCAGTGTTTTTGGCCGCAGGGTCGCGCACAAGCGGGCGGATACCCGACCAAGCGGAGAGGACGTCACCACGGCGTACCTTGACGTCGGGGGAAAGGTAGCGGCGCACCTCGTCGAGAATCCAGGTGATCTCCTCCTCGGTGGGGATGGGGTTCTGGCTAACGGTTGCGGGCGAATCGGTGGTGCCAGCAATGACATTGCCCTGCCACGGGAGGAAGAAAATGACACGCCCATCGGACGTGGCCGGGTCAAGTAGACCCATCTTCTGCGGGCCGTAGTAGTTCTGCTGTCAGCCAAATATCGGCAAAAGGTGACTCACCGGCAGAGTGATGTGCACGCCCGAGGAGGGCGCGACGATCTCCTGAGTCGTGGGCTCGTCGAGCTTGCGCACGCCGTCCGCGAACGGACCCGTGGCGTTGACCACGCCACGGCAGCGCACGTCAAACTGCTCGCCGGTCATGCGGTCCTTGAGAGTCGCAGCGCAGATGCGCTGCTCACCACCGCGAGTTGGGTCGGGCTTCTTGTGCAGTGCTACGACCTCGCACTGATTTGCGACAATCGCGCCGTGCTGCACGGCAGTGGCCACAAGGGATATGTTCATACGCGAGTCGTTGTGCTGGCCGTCGTAGTAGACGACAGCACCGACCAGACCGTCGGGCTTGAGCATGGGGAAGGCCTCGAGTGCGCGGCTCTTGGTCATCCAGTACGAGCTCTCCATGTTCTCCTTGCCGGCGAGGATGTCGTACATCTTGCAGCCGGCGTAGTAGTAAGGAAGCTGCCACCATGCGTAGAGGGGGAGGAGGATTGGGAGCATGTGGGAAAGATGGGGTGCCGTCTCGAGGAAGATGCGGCGCTCGCGCAGCGCCTCCTTGACAAGCTTGTACTGCTCATAGTCGAGCTCCATGACGGCCTTTTGCAGGTAACGGACACCGCCGTGCACGAGCTTGGTGCTCTTTGACGACGTGCCCGAGGAGAAGTCGTCGCGCTCGACCATTGCGACCTTGAGGCCGCGCGACGCCGCGTCCACGGCAGTACCCGCACCAGTTGCTCCGCCGCCAACGATCAACAAGTCGAATACGTCATCATCGTCCTTTGGCGTTGCATCCTTGGAAACAAGGCCGGGTTCAGGCCCGCCATGCGCTGTACGCTTGATGAATGTGCCCGAGGAGCGAAGGTGAGCGAGCATCTGCTCACGGCTCATGGGTGCCCAGAGAGGGCCGGGGCGGCGTTTGGTGACGGGAGCAACATCCGACTCGAGCTTGGTCCGCTGTTGCAGGTAGAGGTAGGAACCACCAGCGACGAGAGCGGTGGCTGTCAAGTACGCGGCGCGTCTTGGCTGGACGGCGAGGCGGAACATGGTATGCTTGGGTGGGCGGGAATGAAGAGGTGGGGGGAAAGAGATGCAATGGACTTTGAGGATGGACACCAGATGACCAGAGGTGCAGAGCGAGCAGTCACCGCGTGGTTCTAAACCAACAGGCACGGGGCTCTATGACGGCAGAGATGACGGGGGGTGGGTGAGTTGGGTCAAAGCCCTCGTAACTGCAGCCCAGGGTGAAGTGTAGAAGAGGGTGCCGTGGGGGAGGGGGGGTGATGGAGAGATGGAAAGAGATGGAAAAGAGATGAGAGGGAGACGCGTCAAAGATAAATAAATAGGAGCAATGTGAGATTGTGGTGGAACGGGAATGTCGACTCGAGGCACAGCGCCACCGTGCGCGCCCGGTGCCCTCTTCCCAACTTTGAAACCGCCGGCAGTTGTCCCCAGCTCAGCGGCCCAGCGGCCCGGGTCACCGGCCGGCCTGTGACATTCCCAACTTTGAAAGGCTACTTACTCTGCGCAGATACATGAGTACTTCCCATGGGACGACACGAACGGGACGTTGTATCAAGTAAATTGCATGAGGAGTGAGACATTGTGGATCGAGTATACACATGGATGATCAAAGTTGGGGATGGCTAAGGCCAAGTTGGGGATGGTTAATCAATCCTTTGCAAATTCCTTAATGGCGCCAAGTCACCGATCACCGAACGGCAATCTTGTCGACAGTACAGCCCACACCAACTTCGTCTATCATGCTATCCACCACAAGTTGAAGGCGTATGCAATGCTCTGCGGCTCATCCCCAACCTCAGTTTTGTGTTGCATGTTGCACTCATCGCTATCCCCAACAACACTCGGGACATGCTCAATGCTCAATCTACCGCCCATCGCCGACTACACTTCCCGTCACAGTCCGCGAGAGTCTCTCACACAAGCGCCCTCACGTCAACCGCAAATCAGAGGGCGGAGCGGATGCGCCCGTATCGATGGTTGGGACGGCTCTGTGGTCTGTCATCAGTGATCAGTGTTGGTGCACTTGGTTCGACGCGTTCGGCATCAGAGGCAATAGGAGGCATTTCGGACCTGGCGGGGTGGAGGTGCGGAACGGCGATCTACGCACAGACTTGTGGCTGCCACCTCGTGCAGAACACACGTTTTCCATCACGCCACCCAATCCATCTATCGTATCAATCTCCAGATCTCCAGCTGGTTTTGAGCTTGGAAAACCGCTCATGTAAAACGCTAGGACGAGATAAGGCCTAGGATAGGCAGGTCCACGCACCAGTTCTAGACAAGTCCGCATTGCGAGCGTTTCAGGACGGGCCGTCTTATGCCATTCTGTGATGTGACTGACAACCAACATTCTCAACCTCCAGAGCGTCAGACGTCAGAGCAACGCACCTCCGTCACCCCTCAAATCCTCAAATAATCATCGAAAGGTTTTGCACCCGGTAGGGGTCAAGTCATCGATGGTACAGTAGAAATGGGCATCCTCCGAGTCGGGCCCGAGTGGAACGGAAGTCCGAGGCGGAGGAGCCACTTGCGCCGGGGACTCCGTTGGACACCCTCACCAACGAGCACCTCGCCTGCGGGTCTGCTTTGACTCTTGACTTGGTACCGCAAGCGAGGGCGTATTCTCCGTCGATCACGTTGCAATGGGCTCCGTGCGTCAGCGCACGGGTCTCTCTTGAACACGTTTCGCTGATCTTATTTGTGGTGACTACCCGAGGCCAGGCCAACCTTTGGTAGATGGAAATCCTGCGAGAACGCTAAAGCCTCGATGACGCCACTCTGCGCCTCTCCGTCGCGGACGTCCATATCTGTCCGGAGGCGCCGATAAACGGGGCGGAAGTCACTGCACACAGTTGGAGCCGCCGGCCTTGACTTGGGCGCGTTGAGCGCTCTGCCCGCTCTCAACGAATTACCTCGAGCGAGATCTGGTTCCTGCCCCAGAGATCGTTCGGGCAGCGGTGGCAGATGCGGCGGCCATACTCCGCAATAAACATTACTGGGTGCCGAACAGCCGGAGGCTAATGACGCGAGCAATTCGTCAGCAGTCGGCAAGTGGAGCCTTTCGGATTCAAATGCTCCTAATGATGCTACCATTTGCCAGCTAACTACCATCTATACCCTCCATTCCGTCGCGATACTAGCCGTTGAATGCAGCGATATCATCACTAGGGCAAGGTGATCAGAGATCTGGGCATTCACACGTCAGCTCGCGAGCGCAACCCACAGGTCATACGCCATCGTCTATGATCTGTGAGCCTGAGACACCGGAGTTACTATTACTGAGACATCTGTAGAATAAAATCGGAGAGCTTAGGGCCATCCATCAGCGGCGTCAGAGGCTTGGCTCCACCACGGATGTCCGGAGTGTACCTCGCGGCGCCGGCAGACGCTGGGGTCGCTGACGTTTTTAGACCTCTACCACACACATCGTGCCAAGCATGATATATGCTGCGATCGCCGACACCGATCGCGTGAGCCGGTCCACGGAGGACCCGCACAGTTTTTCGTGCTGGACATGGACAATTGTTGACGTCAAGTGACAAGCTTACTAGCCGGTTGCCGGCGGCGGCATCAGCTGACGTGCCGTCTGGTGCCGTCTGGTATGCCCCCTGCCCTGCCGGCTCCCCTCGTGCCCCTGCCGCAGCGTCGTACACTCGTACACTGGACAAGTTTGTCGACGCCAATCACAGTGCGCCGGGCTGCAGGCACAACGGCAACGCCACAATCTGGGCGGAGAACAAGTGGATACTGCATCACGCTGATCGACAGGGCAGGGCTAGCTGCCAAGCTCCACTGCGCTGGGACGGGAGGCAATGGTGCCGATCATCAGACTAACACACACCACACCTCAATTGAATCAAAATTCAGAACGAGCGGGGTCGGCCGACATCGGCGCTCTGCGGACCCGACTTGTTCGCAGTCTTGTACTGTCCTAGTGTTGACGTTTACCGGCCGCGGGGACGACGCAGACGGACAGGCGTAGGAACGGTGCCAGGCAACACGATGCATTCCAACACGAGAGATCCGAGGTGCTTGACGACACGGAGGCGACGCCGGAGTCAGTGGCGAGAAGGAGAGTTTGGGCAGGCAGTGGGGAATACGCACGTGTTAATGCACCGACGCCGCCGCCACACGCAAGGAATAACAAGCCGGCTCTCGTCATCAGGTTCAGGGCGGTATGCACAACATGCAGGAGGAATGACGCGTGCCTCGATCCAGCGGTGCCTCCGTTGCCTCGTTGCCCGCAGGCCGCAGCCCGTGGGCCGTAGGTCGGAAGCCGTGGGCCAACGCCTCCGCCGGCAGAAGAAAGGGCACTTGGCCAGAGGGCAGAGGGCAGACAGATGTCAGACGGCAAGCGACTCGTCGTTGTGTAAGCAGCTCGGCCGGCTGACCCCAGCCACCGGTCAATGTCGACGCCGCCCCGACGCAACGGAGCCGGGCACAGGCGCTCTGGTAAACTAAGCACGCTAGCACGAGCAAGAGCGCCAGGCAGACGTCGTGCTGATTGAATTATATATCGTGCCCCGCGCCCGCCTCGCTCCCGTTCCCCTCTCCCAGCCGAGTAAAGAAGCCAGCACCGCCCACCTGTCCCCCGTTGGCATCACCAAGCAACGGTTGCATCGTTCACAGATCTCAGACTATACACATCTATATATTCTTCACATCGCCATCTCCGCGCCCGTGAACGAAATCATTTTTCCCCCGCCGCCCCACCACCGTCCACCCACTCTCCCACAGTCCACTGGGTGCCCACGAGTTAATTGTGACGGTTGTTGCACAATTGCGCAAATTGCCCGCCAGTAGGACCGCCACATCCCCCCGCACGCACAATAAGAGGCGCGCGCCACGCCTTGCATCGCACATTCCAATCCACAGACGCTCCCCGGCTGTTTCACCACCAAACGAATGCACCACCAGGAACCCTCGCCCGCCCCGCCGCCTCGCCTTGTTCCCTGCAATTCCTGCTGCTCTTCATAAGCACCAAACAATTCCCTCCCCCTCCCCAACCGCTCTGCCGTATTGTAGCAAAACGCGCTCATCCGCTACACACCCACTCCGCCCGGCGCGAACATGGGCTGGCTCGACGTCTTTTGCTGCTGGCGCCGCGCCGATGCGGGCGTGAGTGTGAGTGCATGTGGCGATGCCACCGTCGCGCGTCGATCGCAGAGAAGACCGTGCACCGACTAACAGCAGGACTCCGAGACCGAGGTCCTGGTCGCGCCAGCGCGTGCGCGCGGTCGCGGAACATCCGTGACGAGCCAGGACGGATACGGGACTATGTCAATGAGCGTGGGCGCGCCGCGCGCAAGCCGCGTGACGGACGCGCAGAAGGAGCGCATGGCCGAAATAAGCCGTGCAGCCGGAAGGTGAGTCGGCTTTGGCAGCGAGCAAACGCTCCAAACGTCTTGTAAATGCGGCCGAAATCGCTGTGGCAGCGCTGACGGCAGCCACATGCGCCCGATCGACGGGTATACTGGCACGGGCCGCTCCGTCTCGCCACTTTCCGAGTCGAGCGCGTCCAGCCGCACGCCCTCTCCCTCTCCACCACGCCCAGAATCCTCCCCGCCCGGCGGCATCATCTCCCCCGCGCACTCGGCGACATCACGGCGCTCGCGCGCCTCCTCGTCGCGGCACAGCTTTGGCTCGCGCCCGCGCGTCGTCTCCGCCCCCGACGAGGTGGTACACAAATCCATCTTCGACGGGCTCGCACCCGCGTCGCGATCACAACCCAGCTCGCGGCGCTCGAGCGGCAGCTCGAAGAAGAAGAAGCGGCGCGTCAGTGGCGCCGGCCCGAAGCCATAGCCACCCGCCCCCACCTCCCCCCCATCATACATAGCACATACACATTCATATTGCCCGCACTACAGTAGACGGCGCAGGACGCCCTTACACGCCACGACCCGAACGACACTGTATTCTAGTAGTGTATGCAGAGATGCTTTACGCTCGCGGGCGGGCGCGGGTGGGGCGCGGGAGGGCAGGGTGGCAGTCACGCCTGCCTCGGTGCACGGCCCAGCACCGCATCAGGCAGACGTGACGCCGTGCATCTCGATCACGCTGCGCCTGAGTTACGCATCACGGATAACGGAGATGGATGCTCAGGCGTAGCTTGGCAGAGCATGGCAGAGGGGTGATTCCAGTGCTCACCCGGAGACGCCGGCCGCCTCCGCCGGGCCCCGGCGATCCGTTCCTGCCGACTACCTCCACCCAAAAGTTCGGGCGGATTTCTCAACTGGATTACAACTGCATCCCCCATGTCCGACACGATCACGCTCCCCGCGCCCGCCGAGTGAGTAGAGGGTTCCAAGCATTCTCGGGGTCATTCTATGCGACCCCTCTACCTCCCATCGAGGGTTGCGGGCCCTTCCGCTCCGATGCCGTTTCGCCTCCTCGGCTCTCCGCACCCATTTTTCTGACACCAGCTTCCACGTCCACGTCCGCCAGGGCGCCATGTGCGAGCTCGTGACGCCGCACGTCGCGGCGGGCGGCATCCGCACCGCCTACGTCATGCCCAACCTCGTCCCGCCTTTGACCAAGACCGAAGCCGTGCTCGCGTACAAGAACGAGCTCGAGCGCATTGCGCCCGGCGTCGAGTGGCTCATGACGCTCTACCTCCACCCCGAGGTGACGCCAGAGGAGATCCGCAAGGCGTCGAAGGCGGGTGTGAGCGGTGAGTCGGCGCTGCGAAGCGGAGGCGGAAGCGGAAGCGGAAGCGTGTCCGAGCGCGACTGATCCCAGGGGTCAAGTCCTACCCGCGCGGCGTGACCACCAACTCGTCGTCCGGCATCGAAGACTACGGCGTCTACTACCCCGTCTTCAAGGCGATGGAGGAGGAGGGCATGGTGCTCAACCTGCACGGCGAAGTGCCGTCCGACGACGAGAAGGTGAGAGCGCGGCAGCGCGCGCTGACCGCAGAACATCTCGGTGCTCAACGCCGAAAAGCACTTCCTCGAGCACTTGCGCAAGCTCGCGGCCGACTTCCCGAACCTCCGCATCGTGCTCGAGCACGCCACGACCGCCGAGGCGGTCGAGTGCGTCGCCTCCCTCGGCCCAAACGTCGCGTGCAGCATCACGGCGCACCACCTCTGGCTCACGATCGACACGGTCGCCCCGCAGCCGCACCACTTCTGCAAGCCGCTTGCGAAGGAGCCGCGCGACCGCCGCGCCCTCCAGGACGCCGTGAAGTCGGGGAACCCCAAGTTCTTCCTCGGCTCGGACTCGGCGCCGCACCCGTCGGCGGCGAAGGCGCCCAAGATCTCCGAGGAGGGCGAGCTCCACTCGTGCGCCGCGGGGTGCTACACCTCCCCGTACCTTATCCCCCTAGTCGCGACTCTTTTGGAGAGCTTTGGCGCGCTCGACAAGCTCCAGGGCTTTGTGAGCGACCACGGGCGCAGCTTCTACAAGGTCCCTGCTAAGAAGGGGCAGGAGCTCATCCTCCGCCGCCCCGCCACGGCGATCAAGGTCCCTGCCAAGCTTGAGGGCCACGGCAACGAGGTCGTGCCCTTCTGGGCTGGTCGCGAGCTGGGCTGGGAGATTGCCCAGTAAATCTGCGTAGCAAGGAGCATAGGGGAGGGTTGTCATCTACATGCATGAATATACAGAGTCTGGATCTATGCGGCGGCTTCCATGAGGGCCTGGGCGACGGCGGTGTGTGCGGTCGCCGCGCCGGCGAGGGCTGCCTCGACCATCTGGTGTGAGCAATGTTGCATGCATGCACATGAGACAAGGAAGGTACTTACTTCACACACGGCTTCCAGGTCAGCCTCGCCCGTCATGTGCAGGCTCGTTGCGCGGCCAAGCGCAGGCATTGCGCCGAGGGTGAGGGTAGCGTCGGCGCCCGCGCACTCGGGCCCAGAGGGGTCGAGCAGGGCAGTGGATCCTCGGAGGGCCTAGTGTTAGCTCTCCAGTAGTCGCAGCTGCAAATCTCGACATCACTCACGACTGTACTTCCGACGGCGAGGCCGCTGAGCGGAATCCCAGCGTCGGCGAGTGCAGCACATGCCGCGCTCAACCCCGCCGCCAGCACGGATGCATCACTGTCACCCTCGAGCACGTAGACGTGCACGTCAACGCTCATTTTTGGGAGGAGGTGTAGGTGCACGGCCGGAAGGAGGAGGTTGGTGAGCACGGCGGCGTGTGAGACGGGCTCGGTGTCCTGCTGTCAGCGGGGCCGGGGGGG